CGGAGAGGCGGCAATGTAGATATCTCTGGGTAGAAGATAGTTATGGACGGTCCATTAAAAGGTTTAGAATATATTCGTCATTGTCACTGTTAGGGTATAATTGTGTCGGGAACTCCTCTATGGCGATATTATTTTTCTGGTTTCGAAAATCTCTTGTGCTAACGTATCTTTCTTAGTTTCACCGTTGACTAGCCTCTGTAAGATGTCTGTAGCTTTCTGTCATTTTGAATTCTCTCTCGTTAATTTATCTTTTGGTAGTTACCTGGTCTTATTTCTGTTTGAAGTGTTTCCAACTCGTATTCTCGATAGCCTCGTTGAATTGTTTTCAGTCTTTTTATCTGCGAGACTTGCTCCTACATGATTCATCTTTGATACCTTTTTTTGTCACTGATAAAAATGATGGTAATATGGATGACAATTCCACAACGTACACTGAAGCTGACTTGAAGATGGTTCTGAATTTTCATACCAGCTTGTTATGTTCGTTAAGGGCTTCATTCGTATCATCTTTGGGGTCTACGCTTATCTTTACGAAATCCACTACTGCTCAGCTTTGATCGAACTTGACGGAAGTTTAACCTTGGATTTAAAGCATTTCTTCATTTTCTGTTTGGTCAAACCAAGGTAATGAACTGGCCTTGAAGAATTCATATTAGAACTAGCGGTTTGATAGTTGTTGTCAGGGGGTTTATACCCAGGTGATTGATGTCATACACAGAGTGAATATCTAGGATAGGTAGACCAAAAGGACGATATATTGAACTAGTAACGCCTGATTCTACTCTCTTTCGAGGGCGCGTAGCGCCCTTATATAGTAGATAGACCCCTGTAGGCCTCCGTACCCACTTATACCCTGACAGTTGTAGTTGGTCTTTTACTTCTTGATCCTGTTTAAGGACCTGACTTGAACCAATCCTTATGGTTTCCTGATATATTCGTGTCTTAATCCTCAGTCATCCCGAGTAATTCCTACGAGCGAGCCTTTTCAGGAAGCTATGATCATCGTAGATGATGACAATCTATTAGTGAAAATGAAAATATCGAAATAAAATCATCAAGGTACAACTTAACGACCGAATTCAAAATCATGGTTTAACTATATTCAAACAATTCAATATGCCTAAGGCTTACCTTAGGATATTCTGTCAAACACGACTCAACATCTCCTATTTGGGATATATGCGTTATAAGAAGTAGTAAGAAAACACAAATGACAAGGGAGGTAGGATTCTATTTAGGTATAAATAATTTAGGGGTAGATTTAGGGTTAGATCTACTAGGAATGGGTATATAAGATCTGTGCAGAGCTCTCGTGAGAGGCATTCATAGTTTAAGCTATCTTAATATTCACTAAAGCTACAATACCTGATAAATATCAAATATCAGGTATGGTGAGGTGTAATCCTTAGGCTTCTATGTTCCCCAGGGGGTAACCTCAAGTGTATTCTATTCGTTTTCTCTTTATCCTTCTCAGGTCTAGCATATTACATTTCGGAAACCGATCCATTTCGAGGCTCAGGAAGATATGAATACCTTATTATATACATCCGAACCGCCCGGTACATCTAAGACGTTGAAAAGCCTTCCCAAAATCAACACCACGATGGTATTATTATTGACCGGAACTTATGGATCTATTTAATCCACGATAAATACCGTGAAACAAATCTCTCCATATCCGTTGACAGATATATCTCGCTTCGTCTTGGTTGTCTTCTCTATTAAGCGGTACAAGAGGTTAATTTTCTTGTACTCTCCCTCGGATGCTCTCAATATTGGAAGATGATACTTCTGGGATTTCAAATAGTCCCAGCCGAGTCTCTGACTATGATGGACAAATCCGATCTGGGGATATGCTCCGGTTTCCTATTCTCGTCAACCTTGGAGGGACTTATGATTGCCACGGGAATGAATTATCCATAGATATCTAAGCAGTCGAGTTTAGAGTCGGACTTTATGATATTTCAAAGATCTCTCAGCATTATGACTTTGGATCGTTAAGCAGCATAATGCAAAAGGGGCGCAAGTAAGCACATCTATTCTAATTGATGCAGGTAGCCTATGTAAGACCCTATTGAAAATGATACGAGCGGTCATAGAGGAGAAATGCTGTGGCTAGAAGTGATCTCATATGCTCAATTTCTTGGATATATCGCCCGACGTATGATTTTCATCAGAAATCACAATCGGTTCCAACTTGATTGGTGAGGCTACGGAATCAGATCCTACGACAGACGATACGCCTAGAAGAAAAGTCAATTATCGCGAGCGAGGGGGGTGTATTCTAATAACGCTGTGCCAGAAAAGAGGACTGATGTACGGGAGTCTGTTTCCAATGATTTGATTATGATGCTCTTAGATCAGATTTAGCAGGCCAGTCTATCAAAGGCGTGTCTCTGAATTCAAAGAGACAAGTTACCAACAAGGCTACAGCAAAGGAGTATGCAAATTCTGACGAGTTTCCCTTGATGGACTTCTATATAATTGGTTACTCGACGATATTAGATTGCACCTCAAGCCTCAGCAGACGAAACTTGAATAACGTAGATACGCGGTAGAACCCCAACAACTCGTTGCCACGAAGATCCTGCCGTGCGTCTATGTCTGGATTGATGTTCTGAATGGGAAAATGTATCCTCAGTAATGGAAAGTCGCACTTGCGAAACAATCATCTATAAACCTGCATTCGAAAGTTCTTCAGACCATGTATGCTGCGAGAAGCCTGCGACAAGCCTGCGACGGGAAGTATGGGGAGGCTGTGTATCCAAAGCAATTGAAGAACTGATCTGTATTCTCAAGACATTTGAATAGATATATTCGGACCTTACCGGAGGAGGTATGCGGGAGGTTATGTATCTAAAACAATTCAAGAACTGATTTGGATTCCAAAATCCTTCATGTAGAGATATCCAGGCCTTGCCAGAAGTATGGGGAGATCGTGTATCTAAATCAATTGAAGGATTGATTTGGATTTCAAAGACCTTTGAATAGAGATGTTCAGACCTTACAAGAAGTATGCGTGAGGTTATGTATCCAAAGCAGTTGAAGAACTCGTCTGTATTCCAAGGGCCTTGGGGTTCTTCAGACCATGTATTATGGAAGAGCGACGGGGAGGTACGCGTTTCGAAATAAAAATGTATGTATTGAAATGGAATCCTCGAATTGAACTTCTCACGAGAAGCCTGCGACGGGAAGTGTATTAAAGGCTACGTATCGAAACGATCGACAGGATAATCTTTATTCCAAAGGCCTTCAAATAGGGTTCTTCGCATCGTGTCTCGTTGGAAAAAACCTCGAACGCTAGGCTTGGTCTTTCGGTCGCGATGGAGATTCGAGAGTGGGAGTTGGATGATTGAAGAGGCAATATATGCGGTGGCTGCGAAACGTATGTCGGGGAAACTAGGACGTAGGGAATTTGGGTACGAATCTGTCTGTCAATGATGAATTTGTATGGGGTGGTAAGAGCCTTGATACTACCTCATATGCTGGTTAGTATGTGATGGAGATTGAATGATAGACAAGGTGCCAGTAGTTCTCAAGTTGGTTTGTTGTATCCTATTGAATTGCGTAATAAAAATTAGGAGGGGACAGATTCCTTTTGCTGCCAAGCTTAAAATAAAATAAAGTTTAGGCTTGAAAGCCAGTGACGTATGCCCTCATGAATTTAGCCCTCGGTTGCAAATCAATCAAAGTCGGAAAATACGTAAATGAAATCGATGGCGCCCTTCCTATTAACAATGGCGAATATGTCCAACCAGCTCAAAAGGCAACGCGCTCGGTATTTGGTTTCAGCTTCAGCTATCTGATTGACGGCCCATCAATTCCAATCAATTCAACAAAAAGCTACATAACATGCGACACAGGTTACAGAAGCTGGAAAAGAACTTCGGACTTAGTGTAATAGACAAAGCATTCGTTGGGATATTGAAATAGTTTCAGCTTGCGCAGGTATCATTGAAATTTCCTATTTACAATACTAACAGAGCTTCCATATGTTCCTCGAATAGAACGGCAAGGCGACCGGCAATCGCAACGGCAACCTATTACCTATTGCGTTCAATGACACGTAACACATCTCGAGCATTTCGATTCGTATGCAGCAATCCGAGATCCCGCCCGTCTGACAATTCTTAAATTATACTCGGTGAATTGAAGTGTGAAGGGGTTAGCTTTGATTCCTGTTGGGGACCTCTGGCGATTTGGCTTACACTTCACGTCGACGAAGGTAAACTTCTCTGCGACATCACCACGAGCGAGGATATCATAGGAGGAATATTTTATGCGGCATGAAGGGTCAACATTGCGGATTCTCAAGAATTGGCGCTCCGTAGCTGTTTTTCACGAGCTTTTGAGGGAGCTTAAAATATAATGTAGCTATTTTCGTCTCGACGTCAGGCCCAGGTAATCAGATAATTTATATTATACACCATGCTATTGGCAGGCATACACGTTATTTTTGATGCAAGTTTATCTCGTAGGCTATTGTATTGGTTTTAGCTTGGTCGTTAATCAGTTACCTTGTTAAAAAGGGTTGGACGTAATACCTATTCCTTCGGAAAGATTATGGTACGTCAATCTATCTATGTACATTGGAGCTTGCCCTGAAATAAGCTTTGCGGCTCTTTCACAAGCGTTCAATATGGATACCCAATCTCTAAGATGCACGCCTTTTTATTGGCCAACCTCACCTGACACACAGGTTAAAGATCACTCAACGACCTCATTTTCAGCCCTTTTACCTCGACCTTTTACCTCAAAACAGATGCATGTGACCAAGTAAATTCATGCATCTAATAAAAATAGAAGGCCTTGCATCGTCATTTGAGTTGATTAAATAGAAATTGATAAGATGTTGTATGAAAAAGAAAAAGATAAGGATAAGGATGCTGCCAGGTGGTGGGTACGTATCTAAAGCTTGTATCTATACCTTCTTTAAGTGTATGTAACTACCGATATGTACTTTCTAACATGAATATTTCAGTGATATGCATTTATCAATATCACTGCAAGGCCATAAAAGTCTCCAGTAACTTCGGATAGTTTGGTGTTCCCAATCCACTCGCTGGATCCCACCCTTCCACAGCTTTGAAGGCTTCCATATCGCATATAGAATTGTCGCCGGTTACAATATCATCGAAGATTTCGGGATTGGAATAGAGAACAGGATTGACAAATCCCACAGTCGATTTACCGACCGCGAGCCTCTCCTCGTTGATACGATTAAACATGGCACCAACCAGCGGAGTAGCGGCCGAAGTCCCATCGGCGACGTCAAGCTCGCCCAGAACAGCGACTGCAACATTCTTACCTAGAGCCGAGATATCGGGAAACCCACGACCAGAGCTATTATACATACTTGAGCGACCTGGGTTATGTTCTGCGAAGTAGGTGGAAACGGCAGATTGTTGGTATGCTGGTGTTGGATAATACCATGAGAACCCACCAGAGGAGGCCCAATTAGTATCTTTGGCTACGGTCTGGCTATTATTTGACAGCAGCATCGTGGCACCGACTGACGTGACGTACGGACAACTATTCACCGGGTCAGCCTCCAAGTATCTTCAAAAAAATCAAAAAGCCAACGCTATACATACTTTCCGGGATGAGAAGCATAAAATGAACCAAAATTAGACGCCATACACTGGCGGGTTGCGAGAGGACCGCTGTTTCCGGCAGAACCCACGACAGTGACGCCTTGGAGGCCTAGTTTCATCCACCTAAGTATTGCAGTTAGTTCCCCGTTTTTTTCTTTTTTTCACAAGATGGGTTTATTCTGAATGACTAACTCATTGCATTGTCGCATTTGGTAGTTTGTACTAAAAGTTGACTCGGCTCTCGAATACGATATTGAGATGACGTGTGTCGGTTTGTATGTACCACACATGCGTTCCCCCTTATAGGTCCCCGGATCGAAAGGCTCTGGCCGGCCGGGAGCGGTAACATTTCGGTGATTGGGGTAGCTGGGATCGTACTGAGAGTTATCACCTGTTTCGCCATAGGCCGAGTAGTTGCAATATGTCTATCCATCACGGAATACTCTTAGTAAGTTCCCCTTAAAGAATATATACTGCATATAAAAAGCGACAAGGACTTACTCCATCTATAGCATCAAGGAAAGTGTTGAAAAGGCCAAAATACGCATTCGAAGAGTGGAGCGTGTAATAGTCATCGTCTGTCTGATAGACTGTGGTGGTTTGAGGATAGATGATTGGATACGCAATATCAAGATCCAGGTCCGCTTCGTCAGGCTGACTAACATACCGATCGTCTTCGTTGTAATGCCAGACGGCTTGGTTAATGCTCAAATTCAGAGGCCGAGTACCCTGTGGTATATGAGGAGCGTACGATTTGAAGAACAGATCGAGATCCCCCTCCTGATACCAGGATCCCTTTTGGAAGAACCCCATGGAGTTGTTGGGGTGTGCCTTATCAGCAGGTGGGATATCATAGAGTTTAGCGATGCATTCTGGCGTTGCTATTTCGGAGCAATTGGATTGTTGACGCCTCTCGTTTATATAACGGGGTGTTGATCTTGTCTTTCTGTCCTGGAGTCCAGATCGCCTCCTCTCCCTACGTGGCCCCTTACTCTCGGCCATGACAACCCCTGGGTATATAAAGTCGATGTGTTCACTAAGCTGAGCTGGGACATGATATCTGTTCGATTTCGTATAAGCATAACCGAACGCAGGGATGGTTTTATAAAAGCTTCTCACTTATCGCAACCGATCGAAACTCCCTCAGAATCGTCCTCGTATAGCCAGTAGTTCGTCTCAAGCAGCTTCTCGGCTTCCCTAACTGTCGCGTTAAAGACTAGCCACCCACCACTCGAGGCGAGCCCAACGCGCTCGTTATCAATTCCCGACGATATGATCCAGTCCCGAGTTTCTTCCACTGTTTTCCGATCCGGTTGGAACATGTTGGTAACATCTTTAGGTTCCCAATACTTTCCATATCTAGGGGACTTCGGATCTGATACATCCATGAGAAGCTCGTAACCTCGATCTAAATTCTGCTGCTTTAGGCCAATGCGCATCTCAAAAACGTCATCCGGAGGCGCTCTTTTCCGCTTATTCCAGGTATCTTCCTGATTAAAATTACGTCGTTCATGAACCACTGTCCGGCGAGTTGGCGCGGGGGACGCAAGTACAAGACTCGCGCCCAATATGGCAACAATCGCCCTTTTCAACGACATGGTAAAAGAATTCAAATCCAATCCAATCCAATCCCAGGTCTTAAAGACTTACATAGACTATAGAGTCGAATAGACTGCTAGCTACTTTATATAGTTATATTATCTAGTCATCTATATATTCTCAATGTTTATATGTATGCACAATCGTATTCATTGGGAATACGGGATCATGCTCGTATTGAATGTCTTGGCGGGATGGCCAGACGGTTAACTGGTAGTTTGAGGTTATGGCTCCGGATCGCTAACAAGGGTCTGCGTGAAGGTATCAATCCTAATGAAACCCCGTAAAGATGTCCTGCATTAGTATCTACCTAAATAATTACCTAATTATGCAGAAACATGCATTATAATCAAAGATGATTGCAAGGATTCCTCAATCTTAGGAACTAATAATTATCATTGGTGGATTATGTAATTCCATGTTTACATACAATAACTAATGGCTCCACGATCAGCGCACGTCAGGCATTACACCATTAAACAATGCGATCATCAATTAAAATCGATAATATTCCAGGTCTAAGATATAATTGAACTAGAAAGGCTTCCGTTATAACCACTTTTAGATCTATCGTCTTAGTACGTAGTACGTACTTCTCAAACGGTCGTTGGGTGTGTTAGATTAGATGCGATCAGATTAGATTAGATTAGGTTGGATCTTGATAGAATTGAAAATGTATGACCTACAGTACCTAGGTACCTAACCTAAAGCACAGGTACCTACTAATATCCTTAGAATACCTACTTCGTGCCAATGCATCCTTTTCTTCAATGGGAACCCTGAACTGCACCATGAAGAGTTATCATTTATTATCCTTAACGAAGTATTATATGATGAACTCGCTACCTATTCGATGATCTCATTCTCATTTTAGCGGTCAAGTACTTGGGTACAAAACCCCACCGGCTACTACGTCGATGTCCCAGCGTCTCCATCAGAGAACATGGATGGGGAAAGTGAAGTTCTAAAGGACGCGCGGCTCATTATAACGGTAGTGGTATATCGCTAAGGATGTAGCATATTTCATATTTATTTATATTAGGCGGAATGGCCCCTGATGTTTGTTGCCCTCAATCAGAATCCGTTCTCATAATCTGATGGCCTTCTAATACCAATCCTCCCTAACACCTCGCATCTAGTCTCACGTCTAGTCTCGCTTCTAATGATTTCTCCACGAAAATTATTAGGCTTAACCGCCTTAATAGGTGCTGCGAGAGCTGCCTCGCTATCCGAATACTGCACACCTGCTTTTGCTGCGAGCGTATTGCCGGTTCAGGACCTTGGACTAGGTGTCACTATCGACGTCTCATCGGTATCAGCCATTCTTACATCTAACAAATCAGTTAGCTCCGAATGGTTTGGGACTACTGCGATTGATTACTGCAATATCACCTTCGCCTATTCTCACGATGGAATTGCGAACGATATCGTCCACGTGTCGTATCTTGTCCCGCCACCCGACAAGTTCTTAAATCGATACGTCTCTACCGGAGGAGGCGGGCTTGCTATTAATTCGGGATTATCGTTCAGTCCCGTCGGCATCATTTCCGGTGCTGTGTCAGGCATTACGGATGGAGGATTTGGCAACTTCAATACTCAGTATGATAAAGTATTCCTCTTGGCGAATAATACGGTCAATTGGCAAGCGACATATATGTTTGGATACGAGGCGCATCACGAGCTTGCTACACTTGGAAAACAATTCACCAGAAACTTGTTCAACATATCTGATGGCGAAAAGATTTATTCTTACTATCAAGGGTGTTCCGAAGGTGGCCGTGAGGGATGGAGCCAAATTCAACGCTTCGCAGATCAATTCGACGGACTTGTAACTGGTGCACCTGCTTTCCGATTCAGCCATCTGCAGACCAACCATCTGTCAGGAGCGGTTATAGAAAAGGCAATCGGTTACTTTCCGCCACCTTGCGAGCTCGAGAAAATCGCCAACTTAACAATAGCCGCTTGCGATGGCTTAGATGGTAAAGTAGACGGAGTAGTTGCGCGGTCCGATCTCTGCAAGCTAAACTTTGACTACAATTCGACAATAGGTCAGCCGTACTATTGTGCGGCATCTAATGGTCCGTCTCTGCGCCGGCGCCAGTTTCCGGGCTCCAGCCCTACGCCTGAACAGAATGGTACCATCACTGCCGAAGGTGTAGCAGTGGCCTCCGCGTTTACGAACGGTCTGATAGACTCCAAAGGGAAACGCATCTATATTAATCCCCAACCCGGCTCTTCCTTCACCGACGCTACGACTCAATTCAATGAGAATACAGGCGAATGGGGGCCCAATCTCTCCGGCTTAGGGCCACAGTGGATAACACGTTACTTGTATCTCCAACAGAAGGATTCGCTTGATAATCTCGAGAATGTGACCGCCGATACTCTGCGGGATTGGATGGCGCTTGGCATGCAAAAGTATCAGGACTCACTTCAGACGACCTGGCCCGATCTTAACCCCTTTAAAGCGGCCGGGGGTAAAGTTATTCACGTCCACGGAGAAGCAGACTCTTCAATCCCAGCTGGATCTTCAATTCATTATTACGATTCTGTTAGGAACACCATGTATGACGATCTAAACTACGAGGAAAGTATATCCGCAATGGATGACTTTTACCGCTTATATATCGTTCCTGGCGGATCTCATTGCGGAAGCAACCAAAATCAACCAGGCGGTGGTTGGCCCGCAACTACACTTCAAGCAGTTATCGAATGGGCCGAGAACGGAGTTACCCCTGATACACTCGATAATACGGGGGATATTGATGTATTGTGCAAATGGCCTCTCCGCCCGCTATGGTCTGGTAATGGGACCCATTTCGATTGCGTATATGATTCCAGATCGACAGAGTCCTGGACTTATACGTTTGATGCTTTCAAGTACCCCGTCTATTAGAAATGAGAGCCTTGCTCTGTGCTGTAGCTAGAGTACTGTACTTATGTAGGTACGTATGTTAATAAAACTATAGCTCTGATGGCCACATTCATAATATCCCGTATGCTTAGAATTTAGTAAAGAAATAACATTGCATATCAGCACCAGCAGACATTAATCACATCCAAGGATGATAGCCCCGGAAGCTAGAGTGATAGAACCTATTGAATCCAGTGAGGTACTATATTTGGCTTTAGAAGTGACGATGAGATTGATAAAGAAGCGAAAGGCAGAAAATCGACCTACTTACTTGCCTGTAGGAATAGATTTTTTATATTTTTTCAGTCACGTCCCTCTTTAGTTATTTAGGAATATCAAATTCGGATTTTGAAGTCAGTTGACGCAGCTGGTAAACGGTCACTGTAATAGAAGGTACATGATGTGACGCCGGTGAACTTTTCTCTATTATAAGGTCTATTTGAATTATCCTTTCCAGTTACTCAAGCTTACATCTCTATTCCTTTATATTACGCCTTTACCCTTGAATGACGAAAGAGACGATGTAGATGCCTCTGGCCATTTGATAACCTAGGCCTGTTCCAAACCCTTTCACGTTGTTGTCTATGTACCGATTAACAACCTCATCTATTTACCAAAGCGATAATTTATCTCAACCCAAAACCTCCAAGCTTGTGACAGACAGGCGCTGGTGTCTATCTCGATTAATTACCCTGCTAGGATGGAACCAGTTGTAGGCAAGCGAGACGATAAGCATGGGGAGCGCATCTAAGCAGTACAGATAGGCCTCTTTAGATTGTAACTCTCCGTCGGACCCTAAGACGTACTCTGCTACACGATATACAGATCGAGCCATGATCAGGGCGCTGGATAGGTATAGAGCCATAATAAGCATCCTCCATGGAGTAGGCAGTGCTAGAGCATTTCGAGTAGGGTTCTTCGCAATACGCCTGTGGAATACGAGCGTAACGACTATGAAAAAGCCGAAAAAGAGGATTTGTATGCACAGGCCGCCGATGATGATGTTTTCGCCCCTCCGAACGTCATCCACAGATTTCGCTTGCGTTAGTATGCCGCCGCCTACAGAAACGAATATAAGTATATCGATTAGTCTTGGATAACTCGTTAGGATCGCTTACCTCCGCCTTGAGCAAAGAAGGATAAGAGATCACCCAGAACGAAAACCTTCGTCAACCACCGTGGCTTGATGAGCGAATATCTATCGGCTTCGAGAAGAACGACTAAACGTCCTAGAATCATGTAGATGGAGGCTGCGAAGAGGGTGGGTCCAAGAAGAAGGAGTATCGATTGAATAATATATGGGTTCTTAGTAAAGTTAGGATATTCCCGTGACGACATGGCTCTTCCAACATAGCCGACGGTTTCAACTATACAGATATTGATTAACGATCGGATCTCATGAATACAAAGACATAGATCAAGATACAAGCGAGATTACTTACAGAGACATCCAACGACGAACGGAATAAAATACCATATTCTCTTCTGGAATAGTACTTTAACATGGAGAATAGATGATATGGCGAAGATGATAATGAATATAACAGCAGCAGCCATAGACGGCTGATACCGATAGAAGACGAAGCTAGGAGTCTCGGCAGCCATGTTGTAGATTATTGGTCCTGTATTTTAAGGATTAGGGTGTTCGAAATGAGTAATGACCAGTCTAAACTGAAAATACTGTCTTTAGCTGATGTATACGATAAGCGGTGCTGCGAACAAGCTTTTATATTCCCGGGAATGGAGATCTGCTTGACCGCCGAAACGGGTAAGTTCTAAGATATATGATTCCTCTATAAGGCAAGGTATCTAAGTTAGCATATTTGAGGCTCTGCGATATATGGTTTTTACCCCTGCCCATCTATGCACCAATACCCGTACTCTCACTTAGGCAGCAGAATAAATGGCGCCCCCCCGTTTTACTACTTGTACGTCCGCTCGTACACATTCGCATATTCGTACTCTGAGGAAATTAAGTAGGGATAGTCTATACCGCCGATACTTTGATTCGGAGCTAGTCATAAACAGTTACTACTTATAAGTATTAAATACGATTTTGTCGTTATAGGTACCTACATATCAAATGGGATATGTAGATGCACTAACGTCAACGGTTGCTCGGCTACTTAAGGAAGGAGTCTAGTTTGTTCAGGCCATAGGTTAGAGATACACTAGGTACTGATGATCTCCTTTCACTCCAGTAAGCGCAGACATGATCTTGGCTCACATTGATACTACCTATGTAAGGTCACTGCATAGCGGAACATCAAGAAATACTAGGAATACTTTAAAGGAGTGGATGAGAGAATTTAGAGATTCACAGTGGTTCCATCACATTTCAAGCTCCGCCACAAATACTATTTCAAGAGCCGACATAGAGAAGCTTTGTAGTATTCTACCTTCGTTACAACCCCACTTATATTTCGTACTTCGTATAAATACGAGAGATACGAGCGTTTGCGAAAATGTCGTATCTTGAAGCTTAACGCGTAAGCCAGCGGCGTACCGGTTCAGAAAGTCCACAATATTAAGGTAAATATCCGGCAGTCTCAACAAGTTAGGTTAGACAAGCTATATGTAGGTAATTATCTGGCTTAATGTAGTAGGTAGTATTAATCCGAGACTTCTTTTATATACTAAGTATGTATGTCAAAGCCATTCAGCCACAGATTATATCACTGGAATAGGTATAGAAGTGGGTCTGAATGCCCTCATTCAAATGATCTTTCAAAAAGAAAGCTCCTTAATTTTTCCTTAGAGTTGTATGGATCTTCTAAAGATAGTATGCTAATGACTAGGCTTCTGCTATATGAATTCGATTGTCCGTTATTTATACTCTCGGAAGGAGGAAGGATACCCAAAATATCATCATACTCAAAAGACTACCCAGCAGAGCTATAATCTTGATATTCTCTCGACCTCGGTTCTGAGCTGGTATAGGAATGGTTTCAACAGGATTCTGAGGTTGCCGTGGCGTGTCTATATGCGCTCCACCATCAAAACGCCTGGTCAACCATTCCTGAGGTAATAACCGGCGTCCCTCTCCCTCCTCTGGTAACACGCTGTCTTGTATTGGATTTACCTCCGTAAAATCACCTTCACCGTTTACCTGCCATTCCCAATCTGGCCTCTCCGGAGGAATATAATCCTCATGCGTGGTTCGCCACGTTGTTGTCGATACTGATTCCCCATTGCGGAATAGGTGAAAGACTATAGCTGCTCGCCTGCGTGAACCATCGTTACCGGCATTATCATCGTTACCGATACTATTGTTGCCTTCATTACCTTCATTGCCTTCATTGCCTTCGTTGCCTTCGTTGCCTTCATTGCCTATATTACCGGTATTTTCGGTACTACCAGCATTTTCGTCATTGCCAGCATTACCAGCATTATCAGCATTATCAGCATTACCAGCATTACCAGCGTCAGCGTTCTCCGGCTCTCTTTCCTTATTATCGACATTTCGCTCTTCCGAATCTCCAGATAAACCCGGGAAATCAGGGTGTAGCGTGATAACGATCGTCTGTTCCAAATTATGGTCTGGATCAGCGGCACCGTTGGGTCTCACACGTAATATGGTGGTAACCGTACTCGGATCCGAGTCCGCTTCTGGTTCTACCTCATCTACCTCTCCGTCGTCCGGACTGCTCCAACCTTCGTCCTCTTTGTCGTTGTTTCCCCCTAAGCTAGGCTTGCCATCCTGATCCTCTTCTTTTGGGACAATTTCTGAACTAGACACATTTGAGGGGCCAGCCATTTTGATTTTGTATCCTATTCAATCAAACAATAGAGGTTGAACAGTGATAAATGATAAATATTACATGATCATCAAGCAGTAAGGGGTAAGAATATCCCTAAACATTAAGTATAGGTGATATAATTTTGATGCTAACAGATCTACTAATACATTCCATTTACTTTCAGACATAGTTTTGTGGTATGACCCTTTGTGTTGGTTAGTATACGCGAGATTCATTGTTGCTACTACATTACTGCTTCCGGAATTGATGCTTAGGGTTTAGACTGGAACAGATGAACTAGAAAATAATAAATTTCACCGAATATTATAACAATCTCACCTGCCTTGGTCTTATTAGTTGACGAAAAGGTGTTGTCGATATTTAAAGATCGCCAACTGGAGTTGCGTTACATGGAAAAAAAAGGAAAAAATAAGAAAGAAATTGCGGAATCCTCCAAAAAGGAGTATCTTTAAATATTTGATCGATAAACCTTACTAAAATCCTGGAGCTACAACACAGAGACTTATCTCTAAGCATCTTGACAAATACTACGATAGCTTCGCAATAGAAAAGCACAAAAATGAACCCCCCTCCCTGGTCCCTCCTCCGTCTTCAGGTATCGGAGGGGCAGAGTCAAGATATCGCATTTGTTTACCATGGAAACGCTGAGGAGGACGTACGTTTCACACCATCCGCAGAACCACTCTGTTTGCATTTGGGACGTGAAACACGATCGTGGCGAGGCGATGCGGGATTCGATTTAGGACAGTTGAGAACCGCTATCCATGCAGTCCAGGCTCGTCAAGGCGTTGACAATCCCGAGTTCTTACGGGCCCCATCCGTTAGAGATGGAATTGATCCGTTATCTCTCGTCGGGAGAGTCAGGAGAGACGTGTCACGAATTCCATCTAACTGGCGTCAGCGTCTCATCGCCGTACTTCAACCTCTAACCATAATTGCCGGTATTTTAACTGTAGTCATGTGGGCTACTGTAGCGTTTAATCCATATCTATTTACAGGCCGCTCAAAACCACAATCCCAAAGTACAGAGTCAGCTGAAGGATCGTCATTTTTAAAACCACATACTCTCATCAAAACTATTCCGATGACAAGGAACTTAAGGAGTCTTCTTCTCAAGTACCACAAGCCTTTACATGATAGTTGGGCTGCACTCGATGAGAAATTTGATCATGAGGTAGAGACAGCAATTAATAAACTGAGCATACTCCTTACTCCATCGTCAGCATTAAACCCACCAAGCAATATTTACTCCGCCGGCGACTACGAAGCGAGTCCGGCAGAAATTCTCAATATGCTAAACGGTTTACACACTAACCTTCGCGCTCACGGGCAGCATCGTAAGTCTTGGGATAACGAGGCATTAGCTAAATGGATAAACATGGCAACGTGGTGGAGCTGGGGGGAGCCCGACTTTGATCCCTGGAACCACCTACCGGAATCAATCTCAGGCAACGATACCGCTATCATCCTGAATACTTTTACATCAGTCATAGGACCTCAAAACTCTCGTATTTATCATCTAGCCGACGAGATTCTCTGCTCCGGATACGGAGGCTTACTTCCCTGGCAAGGCATGCGTGCTCACTACGCTCAAGCCCACGACAGCTTGGCCTTGCTTGTCCAAGATATAAGCGGTATTCTATCTCCGCTAACTCGTAGGGAGGAACAGCGGTTTAGTAAGAAAGGAGAGATAGATAACCTCGTCGAGGAATTTTTATCGGCTGCTCAATGGGCTTATGATATAGTCCGGGTCGGGTTGAGCGCTGCGAGGACTCTTGACGTAGAGATAGGGTCTATTTGCGCAACAATCACGGAAGCTGCCCAGCTCGAATGGCGAGTTCTAGCTCAGGATAACAACGTGTTATTTGAGAAATTTGCACCGGGGGGTGATACAAATGATGTGATAGAAGTATGGCTCTCGTGGCCACCTACTACTGAGGCTATTTCTGATCTGACAGATGCAACAAGTATTGTTTGGGGAAGTCGTTTCCGGAACCGCTGACGACATTCAGACGGTACTCGTTTATCAGGAGGTGATGATAATTAATTCCACTAACTTATTCATTATAAAATAACCCCTGAGATATATGTACTACGCTATAAATCAACGAAACGAATGAGCTCTGCTGAGGCGATGGCTTATTGCAGTTCCCCTTTGAAATTGCAATCTATATTGCAATCTATACTCCGCCAATCAAACTATCCTCTCTGTATTCCTCATCACCCTCCCAGAATAGCAATCCTCTCAGCCGCAAACTTGGTTAATAGCCAAATCCCTGCAGTTGTTGCCGCCGTGCTGCCAGCATTGAGACTGAATACCGTTGATCGTTGAAAATACGCTATATAGACAATCCTCGTAAGCAGACGAGCCTACACACTTTGGATTACATCTAGGACAAGCGTCGGCGTAAGTACCAGCCTGCTTTTCGCAGACTGACAAGTCTGGGGGTCCAGAAGGTGCCGGAGCATCGCTGACGACAGGGGTGGATATCTATCGTTGAGGTTAACACATTGCTCGAGATAATTTGTCTAAACACATACCTGAGCTAGCGCTACTGTCGGTAGTACCAGGGTAATGATTGATGCGAACTTCATGATGATGGATAAATGCTATGGAAGCCTTGAGTAGGTATCGAATAGAAAGGGTCGGTAGTTATATTTGAGAATAAAGCTGGTAGTAGTCTTTGAAGTCTATCTTATAGAGAATAGAGTCTACTTATAGTCAATCCTCAACATCCTCCTACGTAGGACTTGGCTTGATTGATGCCTGTTCAGAGTATTCGGCTGGTAACGGCGATTGATGCCTAGTCGGGCTCCATAAATTTTTGATACGGTGAAGAAAAGAAATGAATCCATGTTTATTTCATCCAACGAGATCCACGTCTAATCCTCTGCTCCGTTTGTTCTATGTATTATGGCCAAACGTGATTAGTAAACGACAGGAAGGTAGGAGTAGCTGCTTTAAATAATGCGATAACTAAGTATTGAATAGTGCTAAGTGATTATATAGATGCCCAAGGTTACTAGAGGTTCTTTCTACACTATTCCGTAAAGATTATCCTATCTAGTTGGGCTTCTTCATGCCGTGTTACTTTATGTATGTGACACAGCTATGAATGGTATTTGAGAAAAGGCTTGATTAAGTATCTTCACCGACTATTCAACATGCGCAGCTCCTAACCAGTAAGGATTTAGTGAGCGCGCCGGGTGGCCGAAATCCGCAACCGGAGACTCCGGGAGGACGTGGAAATATTAAATAAAATGCCTAAGGTAAACATTAGGATATTATGTCAAATGCGAATAAAGATTTCCTATTCGGAATATATGCCTTGTTACCTTATCCGAACTTTTCTTACCTTACTAGTAAAATGATATGGCCACTTTCCACTTTGGCAATCTTATGGAAAGTCAACAATATTCAATGAGTTCAATGGAGATAAGGACTTTATATATACCGTTAGAATCGCATAATTGAGCTGAATTGATTCGTGGAAGTTATGATAGGATGCGACACTACTCCACAGGGTTATCAGAAAATCTTTAAATAGGGAAACTGATCTCTGAATAGTGGCATGTAATCTGTTCTGTAAGTATTCCCCAGCCAATACAACGCATTTGATAACTATTACTTATATCAACATAATCCTTAAAATGAGACGGATCTAATGGTATTAAGATTGTATAGATAGGGGGTATTTTAAGAAAGATATTGTTGAGTGACAACCTTACTAGGAGGGAGTCTTTACTAAAAGACCTTAGAGCCACATATTACGTAAGAGGTCTTGAATAGAGGACTTGAATTAGGGACCTTAATATCCTGGCAGCTGCCTGGAATGCTGGGTTTAGTGTACTAGTCCCCTAAAATTAACGAGTGTTCTAGGAAAGTTATAAGGCAAAATAGCACCATGTCATTTTACTAATAATTTTGGTTACCAGCTACTTGCACCTATTCTGTAAGATAATCTATCTGGAAGAGCTGTCATCGTAATCTGTAGGTAGCATCACTCATTTATTAACGTTAAAATACTTAATATATTTGTCTTCGCTTTATGAAACTACAGACTTTATAGGCCCCCATAATGTAATACGCCAATCAGTGCTGGTATAACAGTCTTGAAAGGCCAACACGCGATATGAGCGCCAGGATTAAGGAAAGCCTTCACGACAAATCGGAATATCCGTCTCTTGCAATTCAGATCCATTTACATACCAGGGAGAGAGGTGAGCCCTAAAAGATAGATAATTAGCATGATAGTTCTGTAAAACAGAAGCATGATAACTTACATCCGTCGATGTCCTCGTCGACTGTGCTCTTCACCTGGCACTGGTTCATCTGGGTTACACCCTGAGACTTCAACGGATTTCCGTTCTCGCAGGCGTTAAACATGCAGGAAGAGTCCATAGCACGCTGAAGCGCGTCACCCTTCCAGCCGAATACGTAGTCCGCGTGAGTACCGTATCCTGTGTTGTCGCCGTAGCTCAGCGTGAAGGGCTGCGAGCCATCGCTGGGCCATAGGTTGTTAAACTGAGTCGTATCCCATAGGGTCTCGTAAGCTACCTGCGGAACGCGGATGGGGTGAGACGCGGGGCAAGGTCCGGAGTTTTGGAACGCGTCCTTTACGGTATTATACATGTGAGATTGATGGTCAGGGCTATCCAGATTCTTGCCGTCCCAGCACCTAAATATGGTCAGCGAGTAAGAATATGACGGCTTGGAATGGTACTAACGCGGGGAAGTGGTGGACAGTCATGATACCACCCGCACAAGGCTTCGTGGGGAAGTCGTCAAGTTCGGGGAACCTAGTTCCTTTGTTTTGAAGACAGACGAATTTAAGACCTGGTCCGTATTTCGAGGTAGCAGTGGGAGTGCCCACGGTCATACGGAAGCCCTTTCGTACCTAAGTTAGCATCGTACACCGAAGAGACATCACGCTCGACTTACCGGCTTAAAGGCGGTGATCTTTTGGTTGCCGTTCGAAGAGAAGTCCTGTTGCGTGTAGTAGATGGTCATTCCACCGTTGATGCCGTTCGGCAGAGCAGTGTTCTGCATGATAGGTACACGCTTGTAAGTTCCGTTCGCGTGTTTGAAGAACATGACCGCGGTCCAATAGTTGGAGAAATCCTCGGAGAATGTGCATGTGGTACATGTTCCCCTGTCACCTAGGTCATCACCCATAGTAGCGTTGAAGGCATTCCCGCCGACGATCTGGTGAAGATGGGCTGATGGAACCTTGCCGGGCTCGACTAGGGGATCGAGACGTTGGATGCTTACGGTCGAACATCCAAATCGAAGCGCGGCCTGAGAAGGCACGGCGAGTGCTAGAGTGATAGATAGCCACTTCATCTTCGCGGTTGGTGGTAGAGTTTAGCGACGAGTTTCGGCGACGACAGAGATGCCCACAAGTATGCGATGCGGTTCGGCATGGTCGTAGATATGTATTAGCATCAGAAGCAGACGTTCCCCTGGCGTCTCGATATGCCGACAGCCGGATACCCACGGCAGGATCTTAATAGATTGACTGATCGTCATTCTTTAATAGGTTCCTGGATTTTTCCGTCTTGTTTAATTTAGGCGAGTTCTAAAATGTCCAACTCGGGGGATGCGCCCCCGCATTCTTCATATTGGTCGAGCGCTGTATCGCTTCGGCATCGAATCAGACACGAAGGCGGACGAAGGCAAACGAAGGCAAATTCGGATTTGGAATCATGATCTAAGCTGGTCAAAATATAATGAATTCGATCTTGAATTTAGGACAGGTCGTTACAAGCTGTGATAGAAACGATAGAAGCGTCATCGCAATAAATTGAGCCGGAGCCATCGCATCGGGATAGTGTCATAAATCGGGAGCATAGCGATGATAACGGGAGAATAGCAGCATAGAAGCATAGCAGCCTTACAGAGTTCTAGTTTCAATCTGCCGAATCGGCAGTCATGGTGACATGCTTTGCTACGCCTCTTGGTCGCAACCTTGATTTAAACTTTAAGGCTTGGCCAGAACTTTTGGCCGAAGATAAATTGAAATAATTCCAAATTTTGCCCAACATAGGTACCTCTTTAATAAATCCCTTTCTGTAACTGCAATTTGTTTATTTCTCTTCTAAAAATAAAGCGTGAAATAGAAAGAAAAAAATATCGCATCATCATACATAGGTTACCTTTATCAATTTCAAATGTCTTCAAAGTTAGATGCGGATGATCGACACTGTACCCCACCATGACTTTTAAAATTTATCCGTTACCTTATTTCAACATTCCTCAGCTACCTGTGTAAGCACCATTGCGATGCGATTGTAGAAACGTGTCTATCATTTTACACGTGATATATCTCATACAAGAGTAGATCTGTGTCTTTCAACGATATGCCTATGGTGTTAGTTGCAATTAGCAGTATTCAGTCGTTCATTGAACATGTATCCCCATACAAACTTACCTTATCACGCATGTATCTTTCATGATAACCCCGCCAAAGATCATTTATTATAAGCCCTTTTACTTGGGGATGCGCCCATCCGATTTTTGAAACATGCGACCGAGTAGAATCAATAAAAGCCTTATATCGTTATTGGATTGATTGAATCAAATGTATAGTGTGAGATAAAGATAAGGGTAATGATAAGGATAAGGATTCAATTGTCAATTCAATCTTCAATTGCCTTATACTCAACACATTCAAATAACTTTACAGGCACAACAGCTTAAGGCTCATTAGTAGTATCATTTTATATCCTTAATACGAAATGTATGGTCCAAGTTGCATGACTGCCCGATAGATATTGAATATTTTATTCAATGTTGAAATATTTAGTGCCTTTTAAAAAGACCTTTCGAGGTGTCCTTAAAGGGTATCACGTGCAAGCCTCTTCAAGCAAGGACAACCTTGTTCATATAGTTATAACATATCAACGACAAGGCCGATTTAAATGCAAGTTGGATATTTACTTTCGCGTCAATTAAGGCTATAAGATGATACCAACTGTAGTGTGTTGATGCTCGAATTGGTAAAGTTAAACGAATGTATATTGTGTTGTATAAGGTATATTATTGAATTTGTGTACGTATTTGATATATGCTCTTGAATTAATATGGTGGGGTAGGTACTTGATTTTGGCGGGAATTATAGGAGTATGCCACAAGATCGGGTATTTAAGTACTTACTACAAACATGTCAATCTACTGAGTTGAATGTGAGACTACCTACTCTTATACATTTTACCATTTGACCGCGAGCGCACTTGATTACAAGTCTACGAGGTTACGTGTTATGATACATATTTGCTTGCCATTGCAATATATATCGTGCTTGCTGTATAGTGTACCTTGTAATTGTTTAATTGAATTGTATAGCTACAGGAGATTATAGGTGTTCCTCGCTAGCCTATGTAACAGCGGAATGACTTATCGAAAAAATAAGTTAGCTACCCCTATACTTAAAGTTAGTAGATAACGGGGGAATGACGTAGTTAGATTAAGTTTCTACTCTATCTAGCTGATAAGTTCATTCTCGCAATGTCTTTGAGCAAAATGAATTTTATTAATGCTCAAAGCTACTGATATACTAAATAATTCTAGTTTCGGTATGCCGAAATTAACGATCAAGGGACTACTCTTAAAGGAAGGTTACCACCAACACTCTCTTATTTTGGAAACTCGGGCTTTTAACCCCTAATCCCGCCACCACCGAATAGACCGCCACAATAACTACGCGGGGCACAAATAAGCTTTTACTTAGTGTATACATAGCGGTGAACCTTAATAACACTGGTATCATTCGATAAGGATCTACGATAAGGCTAGTCATTTCCCGCCATAGGAGAGATGTTCAATTCCTCTTATTCATCAGACGTACCTAAGGTATGCTACATAGTGTATCCGTATCATCCCATAAATTCAATTTCACCACACCCGGATTGCACCCAGAGACCTTGTCCCGGGAACCTACTAGCTTCAGTTTGGTACGAGAAACCAAAATCACACGCCGGACCACCGTTCGGAGCGCCGACGTAGTATAGAGCACAGTATCCCGAAGTTCCTGCCATCATACCGACACATCCATCATTATCCTGGCAGAGCTGACAACAAACGCCGGGATCATAGTACTTTTCATCGGGAACATACGTAACCGTAATATTTTTCGCATATTTTCCCGACACTATTCCGAACTCTCCAATACCCTTAATGACATTCGTCGGCTCACATTTAGCAGCAAACGTTGTAGTAGTCGTAGCCTCACACGCTATACTGCTGGTCACGACGCTCGTGGCAACTCGGTACGTTGTCGTGACGCTTGTGATCGTAGTTTCGTATCTCGTAAAGGTGTAATACGGGGCAGTAGACGTAAGAGTCGTAGTAGGAGCAAATACCGTACTCGTAGGCGTCACCGTCACCGTTGTCTCTCCGGACGTCGTGGTTGGGAGCAGATACGTGAACCACGTTACCCCGGTCCTGCAAACGACCTGCGAAGGATACGAAGCCGGCTCAGTAGTTACTTGACCCGGTACAGGAATATAACTACCGCTGTACTCTGTCACGGTGGTCGGAGTAACATCGTTAGTACATATCGTAGTAGGCCACGAGGCTGTGGCTACCGTCGATTGAGCCCCAACCCAACGGGTTGTCGTAGGTATAGTAATCGTCGACTCGGACCACGTCCAAGAGGTTTGTTCAAGTACCGTCGTCGTAACAGCGTCGGCAGTAATAGTAGACGTCGAAGGAACCGTTACCACATCATTTGTGAGCAAAGAATAGACAGTACTAATAGTCGTCGAAGTTGGAAGAGACATCGGCACTGTCCCACCGCTACCCCATGTCGTCGAGCATTTTCCTGCAGTCGTGAAGGAATAGCTTGTTTCCGTAGACGCCCAAACAAGCGTCCCGAAGATGGTAACGATATATACGAATAGACTAAGCATGGCGAAAGAGATAGCAACCTCGTCGGCTAGTTGAGAATGATCTGAAGAGCGACTCTATAGCCTCACGAAGAGTAAATAGCGAGTCAGGAGGAGCGGTCGTATTTATAAAGGTATTAGCGCTTCTTTTTTATATCCATCCTCATACCCTGCAGGAAATGGTAGCAATGTGGGCGGATGATCGTCGTGCATCATGCTTCATCACTCAGCATCTGCAGCAATGACCAAAGCAACTCTCAAAGGTTTGTCAGCTAGTATGAAAAAAAGAATGAAAAAAACATGCTACGACTCGAAAGAATGGACAGGCCTAGAACTGGTCCCTCACGGTAACCAGACCGGATAGATTTCTGGTACCAATGTAAGATTATATTATACAAAATCTTGATTAGGGAGAAAAAGGCAGGAGGAATTGCGAGAATGAACCAATCGTAGTATAGCCTCCAGAAAGGAATTAGGTAACCCGCATATAAGTAAGACAACCGAGGCAACGATCCTAGAGCGGCACAGCTTGTTAATATACTACTAAATGCACGAGACCATATAAAGCCCGAGATTTAATGCATCCGATAGGACGTAATAGGTAACTGTTATAGAAGTCTCCCAACTTCTTCGGTCCGTATTATTCCCAATTCGCCAGGTCGTAGTTATATAGCTTACCTGGGTTGATATTTTAATTTGTACGTGTCAACCAACAGTTGAATACAGAATACAGAATAAACCTTCTGATAGCCTCGGTAATTCATAGCAATATCGCACATATACATAGTAACTAGTAGCAAACAAGTATTAAGAAAGCTCTTTCGTATCCAACTCGCACTCGATGAGACTTTCCACCCCGTCATCGACAGTCCACTATAATATTCAGTGTCAGGATCATATTCATAGGGAATAAGCATATGATATCTTACAGTCTTGCAAATACGTAGTCCAGACGCCTTGATCAGATCTTCCCATTCATGTTTCGTCCTTTCTCTAGATGAAAAGCCAGTCATCATGAGGATATCTAGAGCTGTAGCTTCCCAGTACGCATGGCGTAGAGGGATCACGTTTTCGTTGATGAGCAGCTTGCTATATCCAGGTTCCATAGACTTGGAAAGTTGAGTTAGAATTTGAACGCATTGCTCATCAGGCCAGTCGTGTAAGACGGAGTGCATGTAATAAGCCCTACTACCTGAGTAGAAATACCGAAAAGTTAATAATAATAATTAGATAAGACAGAAGATTACGGGGTAGTTACCTCTAATTGGTTGTTCAGTGAAGAAATTATGCTCCATCCGCTCTATTCTCTCATCCAGAGTATCAATTTGCTGAAGCACATCTGGCAAATCTTGTAATATAAGACGACCGGGTACAGACGGATGCTTGGTTAGAAACTCTGCTATATCATGTCCAATCGAACCCCCAATATCGACCAAGAACACGGCTTCCTTACTCGGGTCTGCCCCATCGACTAGCTTCTCCTGAACTGGGAAGAACTCGGGGTCCATCCAACTTGCTCGCCCCTGGCGATACCCCGCCATATGAAGGTTGAACAGATCGCCGTACGGAGGATTGGCTTGAAGATGCTCGAACAAGTTCTTATCTGTGCCATAGGCGTATTGGAATGGCCCGGACAGCATGTTGCTAGGAACCTCATACCCAGCCTTTTTTATATACTCGTGAAATTTGATATTCGAACCGAGAATACCGCCCGACCTTTAATTCACATTAGCAAGCTGCCAGATCCTAAACTCTAAAGAGGATTCTTACAATAGGGGGTAACCAGCACCGATTATAGGTATGCAGAGGGATCGTGTAAAGTTTGTTGGCGCATATTCGTCGGCATCAGTCTCCTCCACATATCCCATGGCACTAAGGTGACGGAGGAACCGGGCTAAGTAGATCAGCTTAGAAAATGTACAATATCTTATTAGGTACACCTACCTATGAGAGCATGATCGGCACCGACAGCGCTAGCAAGCTCGACAGACGTTTTACTTCTCCCGCCATCTTTAACCATGGCGTCAAACAGTCCCAAATCAACCCCAGTAGTGATAGCAGTCATAGCAGAAGGCTAAAAGAAAATAGAATCAATATCATACTCTTTCTAGCTGTGAAAGGTTATATACTTGTGCCCAGCAATGCTTTATCATCGTCTCGCGGGGAGTTTCTAGGGCTCGTACTAAGCGTCTGGCAGCTTCTGCTAGTTCAAGTCTTGTACCATTATCACTAGGAGAAGCGGCAGCTGCTAGCTTATTGATTTTATCCACGTGCATACTGACGCTGGCGAGGTCGCACGGCCTCGATGCCATGTTGAGATCTGGTGGTTGTATACCAAGGAGAGAATTCCCGTTCGAATGTTGCTGGTCAGACATCGTTAGGTGCGACACGGTGGGTACAATACAAGACGAAATTATATAGATGAAGTAAATAAAGAAGAAGCCAGGCGGCTGAGTTGAAAAATCAATATAAATCCTTAGTTATGGATAAATATGGGAATCGAGGGATGTAATTCATTCCTCAAGTATTACTTCCGACATTTCTTACCTTTTAACGTATCCCTTAACGTAGCCTGCTCACTTCATACTGACGTATTACCCTGATGATCGGTAGTATTCTGCATTACGCTCGCAAATACTTACCGATAATCCCTCCATAGATACGAGCATGGCGCGTTATGAATGGTACATACCCACGAAAGCACACCATTGGGAGTTGTGATACGTCAATTGAGCCAATAACGTGTTCACGCAAGGTGGTAATCCCACATGGACGTTCGACTACTTGCATATGACATATTGCCTTTGCTTATCGCCAAGGACTAAGGTGTAGTCTTACAATCTGTCCCTGTTAAGTAGTTGGACCCGACATCATAGTTTTGATATCGAAAAGTAATAAGACCGCAGTTCCTATTTTACGACTATATTATCATAGTGTAGACCTAGGTATGGGGGTAGCCTTTTTATTCCGACAGGAACCCTGCCCTTAGCTACCAAGACCGGTAACAACTAATAATATATTTACAGAACAACTCCCACATACTGATGGCATACAAGTTCAGTACCGGCCAGCGGAAAGGCATTATTTATCACAAGGCTAAATTCTGATGTACGAAAATAACAAAATTGTTCCTTAAGAAATCCTGTTCCTAACTACGGAAGCTCGTGATTAAAGTACATAGCGAAAACGTCTTTTACCCTAGACGTCGCGTTTATAGTTGCAAATCATTGCAGATTTCCGACTTGTGGCCGCTGTAGAATCCAATAAATCGAACGTACAAGTGATGCCATATAGTAAGTTGGTCGAGGATTTCTCATGTGTATTGTTACTTATCGATGCTTCCCAATGTATGGCCAAAACGAATCAAGATCAACTCGCCCCACAATGCTGTCGCTGTCACTGTTGCTGATATCGTCATGCTCTCCCCATCTGCTTTTTAGGCGGATATATTCTCTTCGACTGTCACGAAATGATTTCACCGCTTCTGTAGCAGTATTATACTGATAGCCAAGTCTTAAGTAATACAAAAGCATCTGGGAGTGATCCCACAAGGGTATCCAACGCTTTTTAAGCATCAGCTTAGGCTCGCGCCCTTCTTTTATCTCCTCATTCCACGCTTTGAGATCTTTTTCCTCCCTTTTAGTAAAGGGGCGGTAGGTACAAGGAAGATTCCAGAGGATGAACCGGCCGAGTCCTTCATCACCTGGAGCAGCTCCGTGGAGAAGCGTGTGGTATGCTTGGCCCCTATTGAGGTGCTCCTCAATTACCGCTCTGACAGAGCTGTCATTGCCAAGATCCGGCCCAGGACTAAGAATGAAGAGACATAAATGATTTCTATCTTGCCGAATCTCGCTTGCCGTATCTACAACGACTGCCTGGACGAGTACTGTGTTATTGAAGGAACAAGGTTCCCAGTCACCCCCAAATAAATGGCCGTTAGATAGAAAGTATGATTTCTTTCCGTCACCTTCAAGAGGCTGGATGGGATTGGCACGATCCTTAGAGCATCTACCGCAAGAATAGCCGTGGCCTTCTGATTCGGCCAACGATGCGAATTTGCTTGACCTCCTTGTAAACGAGCGATTGGCGGTCCTGCGGCGGTACTTAGAAAACCATGACTCCCTCTCCGTCTGTTTTTGGTTGATGAATGCTTCGTATCCTTTACGTCCCTTTCGTCCTTTTCCACCTGACCTTAAATACTGCGCGAGAGATATCGGCTTCAACGGCTTCGAAGGCTGGTTTCGAACGCATTTGGAGTATTCTTCGACTACGTGACCGATTCGAGAATGATCTTGGCTGCAAAAAGTAAAGAAAAACGACTGCAGCTCCTTATCCTTTCGAGCGGTACTTGGGCATATCGAGAAACGGGTGCTTGAGATCGAGGCTTGGAGGTTTTGCAAGGCAGAATCCGATAAAAGACACTCTATCGCTTCATACAGCGACGTGCTAGGACACGCATTGGGTACGTTCTGCAACTGCCTAGCGCCGCGATCATCTTTAGGATTACCACATTCCTGTAAAACGTGAAGAGCTGGTTTCGAAACGGCAAAACAGGTAAGCTCCTTGACGATATCCCAAGAAGGACTCATGAAGCAAGAATATTCGATAATAGCATATACCTCGACGTCAGACGCAGAAGAGAAAGGAGAATCGGTCTTTCGCTTCTCCCCAGTCCACATAAGTTCGATTTCGTCCAAGGTATGTTGGGTGGTGACGATTAGATCGCTGCAGGGTTGTAATTTATCTGCTAGCTTTTTCGCATGAGCGGAACTCATGGAGAGCTTGTCATCAGGCCCTTGGCTAATAATTAATAAACTCTCTACGTTCTCTTCGGTGAGGTTCAGGCTGTTGAAGTAGTACTTCACATGCGAAGCGGATCGAAACGAGCCAATTTTAGTGTTTGGCAAACCCTCTAGCAAATCGACTTTACTCGCCAAAGGGACAGGGCTAGTTCCATCTACCGGTTCTGGTTCTTCGACGATCGCCTCCAAATCCTCTTCGCATTCGGGATTGTCAGTTGCAGGTCCGATCCAGTCAAATACTCTATCGCGTACAGAGTAGATATCACTTTCGAAGCCTATACTGACTTCATCATAGCCTTTCCCAAATGCTAAAGATTTGAGCTGTCGTAGGACAGAAGGTCGATATATATCTCTTGCCCAATCCAATATATAATCAACAATGAGTATGAGCTGCAGAGCTCCGTCTTGGGTCATCAAATCACCACCCCACAAAGGGTGAATGTTCTAATTAGACGTAAGTATTCAACTAAGTATTCAACTTAGTAGGCAAAAGACCAAAGTCGCTTACTCACATATCGAGGTTTGCCATCCGTCTCATCTATATAGCAGCCGTACACTTTCCATTCGCTTCCCCTATTGCCAAGAAACCAGACCAGCGGCTCCTCGGCAACGCATTCAGTCTTTATCTGTAGCTGCTTCTGTAGGTTCAGAAACTTCCAGATAGGGAAGGCAGTTTGAGTTTGAATATCATAAAATCCATTCTTGCTAGAATCCGATTTGGCTTCTAGGACGAGGAAAGGGAAAATCGGCGGGTTCGTCGCTAACTTGAACGGGGTAAATTCGAAAGCCTCGGTGGATGTCGCCATTCGAACTGCTAGTTTTGCAAGAAGGTCGTTTACTTTCTCCGTCGTTTTCAATCCAAAGGTTCGATCGGGTATTTTCTTCTTGGGTAGGTCTTTCAACGCGCTATCAAGTGTCACGATTTCCTCTATGCGATCATCGAAAAGTAGACTGGTGCCTAACTCGTAACTATAGCCACCGTAAGCTCAAAACCCAGCAAGCGGTCGCATGTTCTCATACTAGTCTCGAGGGCCGGTCTCGAAAGGACACTGACACGGCTTTCGGCTCTTTCTACGTTCTTCAAGCTCTTGAACCCATCTACTGTCGGCTTTATAGTCGGACGCTTCGATTTCAGATCGCCAGATGCGAGCTCGGCACTTAGGACTTGTTTTATGTTAGACGAAGCAATATCATAGAAGAAACATCAGAAAACATAGATGGGAGACTACCATACCATGCAACCTCGACCAAGAACCTGTGCATCACATCATTCTCGAGTCCTAAACGCCACCCACTCTCTTTTGGTTGAACGTTCATAGCCAGGTCGCACGCCCTACTCACGAGCCACTGCGTACGAGATTTTATCTGCCGCGTCCAGGGTTCCTGAATCGACCGAACAGTGACATTTTCCGAATAGGTATGGAATTTTGTATCGCCTAGCTCACGGATATCGCCAAATCGCCTACGGTGACACTCTGGCCACTCATCAGATGGCCTCTTGAAAGAGATACCATAACTTTTAGCAAGTCGCCGGAGCAGCCTCAGCTCATCTTCTCTGTCATCTGCCATAACAGGTGAAAATAAAGCAGTCTGGAAGTTCGCACTACCATCCAACAAAAGGGTCAGTCGCAATCCACGATTTCTGCACTATAGAAAAAGATTACAAGGTCTCCTGTCTAGCAAGTGACACTAACTTACATAAACTGAGTGTATCTATTCGATTTAATTGTACTGGGGATTATACTCAAGTTGTAAGTCCCATACAATCACTTTCGACAGAGTAGGTAGGAGTGTAAAGAGTAGCTAGCTATAGTACGAGTAAACAGAAGAAATGGGCGTGTTGGAGTATATGGAAAGGATCGGGTCTATTTTGATTAATGTCGGACCGAGTTGACGTTGCAGCCGAAAGGTTTCAACGTTGCGTGATAAGACTTGGGTTGAAGTAAGGGAAATCTCGTCACATTTGAAATAACCTTAGGATATTCTATATTTAGTTGAGTTTGTTTTAATTTTAATATCTACCTAAGGTACCTAATTAAATGGGCCATAGCCTCAGGTAGGCGATTTATCCCTTCGTTAATAGTCTTCCAGTTGGCCTCATTAAAATCCACATTTTGCAATGACAAACTCCGGGAAGCTGAAAGCAAACTGATTCGTTTGGGACATGATCATCTCGATGGAATCTATTACTTGGGTTAGCAAGTTGATCACATCAAAGCAGTCTTGCGAAGAATACCTATAACGACCCTCTCCGCTTCGTCCTCTTGTCCGATCTGCTTGTGATAAATCTTCTTATGGGCCATAACAGATTAAGTCCTCTTAAAGTAGAGGTTGTCATACTCCTTGGAAGCTAAATTTCTCTCCACAGCTGCCATAGGATCTTGTCGCTTAGCAAGGGTCTGCCAGAGGTATTCCTCGTTGCACGTCGCGAAGTTGACGTCTTCGCCCAAGGTCAATATTTTACCTAGCCAATACCATACCATATTCCACGCCACGGTAATGGCATGGAGGAACAAGATGTCCGTGATATCAACTACTCTGTTAACCGGCGAGAGGACGATCTTGAAGCCAGCGAATTGGCCGTGCTCGTTGCGAGTGGAGATCCAGACTATGTGGAGGTAGCGGCTGTCGACGAGCTGGTTGCTACGACCGATGCGTTCAACGATGCATTTCTGGTGGCTTCGCTCTAGGGGTAGCATTACGGAGAAGCTAGGTTGGTTGCAGACCTTCTTGTGGCCCTTGAAGACCTTGTCCCAGACGGCGTCTGCCTGTTCTTGTGACCAGACATATGTTCCAGTTTCCTCGTTTGCTTTGGTTTCGGTCTGCCAGACTTGTTCCGATTCGGCCTGAGCGAGATGAGACGGCGCTGGTGCTGTGGCTAAAGCCTGTGCTCGTCTCTTTTCCCATTCTGCGGCTGGAATAAGTTGTCCCGTATACAGGTCGCACAAGTCACTGTATTCTTCCGACTTTGGCTCGGTGCAGAGGCCGGGCTTCTTAGCTAGAAAAGGGCATGGTTCAGCACCTTCTAACTTGGACATATTATTCCACATAAGTATATCGGCGCGCCATTGGAAGTAGTCGACGCCAACCCCAGAGCCAATCCCATGCTTCTGGAGGAACTCGGCGGCTTTGGATTTACAAGCTTCCAAGAGGCCTTCAAACTTCTCCTCGGGTTCGCCAGTTATGCGAGAGCAGTACTTAATAGTATCACGTCGTCTAGTAGCGACGTCATCCTCCATGTAATCGCGACGGGATTCTCTGTAAATATCGTCCATCGTAGCGCTGTATGTATGGATTAGTTTGTTTGTGTGTGCGCATATGTGTGGTAAAGATGGGTTTGAAGTTGAAAAGAGTGCGCGTAATTTTGAAATTGTGCGCATCTATGCAATGACATTAAGTGACATTTGAACAAGTACCTCGGGGAGTCAATGTTCAGTTACCAAGGTACCAGGTACCGAATCGACGACCTACCTACCTATATACAACATACCACCTAAGTAATTGGTATCTATCATCACTTGCGTGCTAACCCAACACACTATCCCGCACCTACCACGGAGGAAGTGTAAGGGAGGGCATTGGGCAACGAAGAATAATTTACGATAAAAACATCACATTGTAGATAGTTTGGAAGATACGGTAGTTAGGTTGGGAGTCCGCTGACAGGATGTCATACAACCCACATGTACATAAATATAAGATCGGCCTCATAATAATTGAGATGATGATGATGATGATGATAATGATAACGTTTACGTCTATTTATCTGCTATATGCTACCTACCTAGGTAGATACAACGCGCATCTGTGGCGCTCTTAAACGTCTAGAGTACTCCCTGAGAGAACAGAGCTAGAGTGTCATTCTGGTGATGAACCTGATTATAAAGGAACAACACAGCGTACGCGTATAGAATTCTAAATATTCAATGTCTTATTGCTATCGGACAGGGCAACTCTCAATCTGCTTTGGTGTCGTGAGCGCAATCGCTAGCATCGGGAGCAAGTCTCCTACGAGATATCACTTACCATATGGCTAATCTTAACATCGCCACTTTTAATGGCGCGTCTCCGAAACGCTTGTCAGCTCAATCACATAGAAATCAAAGACTCTAAAGTTGCAAAACTTAGTCATATTTATAACTAGTTATGCTACTAATATCATTACTCCCAGTGACAAATTAACTACAAGGGCTCCAAGATACATGAAGTAGAGATGAGACGAGCCAGATCGGACAGAAATGTAGAAACATGACGGTCATGTGGAAATATGAAGGCAACGTAGAAACTAGACGTTGAAACGAGAATAATAAAGGGTATTTACATGGTTCTCCTTGCGGGGGACCTTGCTGGGACCCGCCACGGATTCCAGGGTCTGTAAATGTGTTAGCAAACCAAGAAAACAAGACGCAAAGGTGAGCATATAAACATACCAAATCGCTCTCTCGTCTCCGCTTATGATATTGTAAATCAGAAGGCATGCCTATGTCTCGGGCGGGAACCTCCTCGACTTCCGAAGCGTGCTGATGATGAGCGTACTGAGGATTGCCGTGCTGATGATAAACGTGTTGATGATGAGCGTGCTGAGGATGATGCTGAGCGGGAATGAAAATCTCCGGTTTCTCAGTACTCGCCAGCGGGGCATAGCTCTTTGGTTGAGTAGCGATGGCCGGCTGGATAAGGTCTGACTGCGGACTGATGGTCGACCGAACAAGGATACAATCCAGTTCTTCGGCGAGCTATGTAGGTTTAGGTCAGATATAGCGGGCGACGGGGAAGCAAGATGACTTACAGCAGTTGTTTGACGCCTTGCCGGAGTGTGACTGAACTGGGAACGACCTCCAGAGATCTATGATAGATACAGATTAGATATAGCATTACAGATGGAGACGCAAGAAAGGCTGGGAGGTAACTTACAGATGTGTCCGATTCCAAGGATGGCAGGGGCGCATTTGGATCGGTAGTCAAGGATTTCAACACCTCTTCGAATCTGGAGTAAGGTGTTGCTACCCCGTATGATCCTGGGAGTCTTAGGGGAGGCTGCGTGTCAAATTAGATTACAAGTTGACAACGGCACGAGGGATTAAGAGTTCTCACATTTACTTCTGGCGGATCCTCTCCTCTCATGCCGCGCAGGACTTTATTTCGAACAGCCACCTGCGCTGATAAAACAGCCGAACTAGCTCTATTACGATATCCCTTCATCTGTTTTTTGAGGTGTTCCTCACAATAGAGGTACTGGTTCTGATAAATGATCAACTCTTCTTCTGCCAGTCTCAATTTGCTGATTTCTCTGAGAAACTGAGAGCCCGAAATGCTGACGGCGGTATTCTCTACAGTCTCGGCCATGGTAGAATGAATGAATGGTAGAATGAATGGATGGTAGAATGAATGAGTGGTAGAATAAAAGATGGGATAGATGGAAGAGATGAGGGGGGGAGGCGGACTAGAAAAGGTTTTTCGTTAGCAATTGCAACTCGAAGGCACGAGTACATGAAGAATAAAGGTACAGAAAGAATGAGGTTGAAAAAAGTTAAACTATTCGCGCAACTGCTGGAAAAAAATCTGTTGGGAATGCTAAACGTCGCACTAATGCGAGTCGTGATCAGTTGATCGATGCAAGAGACTCGTACTTACCAGATGCGAGGTTGAGATATGATGTTCGAGGAAGTTGATACTGTCATTTATGTATTAGTACAAGCCCGATAAGAAGGTGCAATAAGGTGGACTTGCCGTAAACTCCTAAGAGGAGGATGATGGGGGGGGAAGGAGTAAACTACCCTTGTTGTAGACAACGGACGTCTGGCGTCATATTAAGAAAAAGAGAAGTAGAGGGAGGAGACAAGAGGTAATTAGTGACGTATGAGGTAGACTCCTTCCCGAGCAGTTTTTCTCGTCATGCTCAGGACGCTTACGATTAGATTGATTAGAAGGCAAATGCTAGAAGGCAGAAGTCAATGTATTATGAAACAATCAATTCTTATTACCGGCCGAAGAACGACCAAATGAAAATGCGCGAGAAATGCCAGCTAGCTAAGTTATCGTGATGTGTACATGAGGTAGGCTCTGCAAATGAATATCATAATGAGCATGAGCATGAGTACGAGTATGAGTATGAGTATGAGTCTCACCAAGTTCATAACCATAACCGCAAGCCTGTGTAATCCCAACTTCCGACTTATCCTATCGATTCCCATTACCAATCATCAGATGAGAGATTCGAGCTACCCCATTGAGTATCTTTATCAGATGTGCCCCATTGAGTATCCCCATCAGAGGTACCGGCCTGGTTGACATGTTGGGCTTCAGCGATGGTCTCCAGGATAGCATGCTGTTCCTCAGGAGTAGTTTCGAAGCCAGCCTCCTCCTTAGGCCAGGTATCCGCAGGTCCGCTCTGCGACTTGCCCGAACTACCCGAGCCATCCCTAAAAAGACCTCTGATTCGGCTTACTAGCTCAGCAGTGGCATCCGAAAATAAATCTTCCGTGCAGTCAGATCCCTTGAGTTCTGCTGTCGTCTTCGTAATCATAAACTCAGCAGACGGCTCTCTTTTGCTCTGGCCAGCTTGGCGGGCAGCGCGGTCCCGGCTTATCACAGTTCCTGCAGATAACCTTTTGCGGACAATCCTTCTACATGTATCCGGCAGATTGAAAGCGGTGGCAGAGGATTTAGAGTAGGAACCCGTACTTTCGCCAAGGCTGCAATCCGAAGTGCATGCAGCGACTAGCGCCGCTGCAGAAGCCTTCCTCATGTCTAGAGCGAAGACAGTTCTAGCAAATGATTGTCTTCACTACGGGGCCTTTATTCAGGAGCATCGACTAGGCAGATCGGGTTGTAACCGGAATTGATGCTGAGAGGCTTTCCGTCGAGCATGACCGAGGATCTTATGGTTTGGGAAACTGAGGTTGCGGCACCTTGGGGAAGGTCGGTAGCATCATCGATCTCGAACTCCTGTTCCTCTTGCTGGAATAGCTGTACCTATAGAGCTTTGTCAGCGAGAATTGGATATGGAAAGGCTTCCACGAGACTTACCTCGACCTCATATCCGCCGCCGACATATACTTGCTGGAACTCGGCCATGAATACTAAGTAAGATTCCTAGATAACGCGGTTAGCAATCAGGGCTCTTGGGTAGTTCTTGATCGGGAAGCAAACCACGACAAAAGAGCGAAGGAAGCGAGAGAAAAATGGAAAGAGGAAATAGACGAAAAACTCGTTCGAAAAGGAAAGTAAAAATAAATGAATGGGAAGAGTGAAAAGGAAGAAAGGGGAAAGGGGGGGAAAGGGGAGGGGATGGAGTGGAGACTCGTATAGCATGAGGTGGTTGCATAATACATACCAAACCGAGGGCTACTAATGCTTCAGCAACACCAGTGGGTAGTTTTCCGAAACCTGTTAGGGTTTCCATTTGCCTTTGGCACCTAGGTATATTGTATATTTTGTTTAGTTGGGTCATGACATTGCGGTAGGGAGCGCTGCTACTTGGCTGGCCGTAAGGTTCATCTTTGCTAACACGTTGACAACTTTCAGGGCTTCAAGCCATGGTCTCGGTCCGATTATACAAACCGCATTGCAAAATAAAATAAAAATACCAAACCTGAGAGAAGATGATAAAAAATGTAATAGCGACGCGAGATGACAAGGGTTCAAAAGTGTAGCGATAGAAGGAGAACGGTTATATGATGGAACGAGGAAGAGCGAAAACGCATTGACGATGTGATAAATGCGCGACGGACAATATGAGATAAAAACATAAAACAATCAAGAGAAGACGACTTGGGATGGAAGATGCAAACTTACCTCGAAGTTAAGTGCTCTAGTTTAGAATTGATGACGTCCGAGGCTGTCGAGATAGTTCGCATTGTTGACGAGATGTAAACAAGTCATCACAATGATACGCGTCTACTTAGCTTGAAGACGTCGCATATAAAATGATAAAGAAGGTTGCGACGGTTTGTCGCAAGAGATAAAAAGTTACGCGAAGATGAAAGGTTCGTAAAGAGAAAGTAGGAAGATAGAGAGTGACGAAAAAATGTGTAATGAAGGGAAATCTGCGCCTACGCGAACCGAATAAGTTAACGAATGGAATTCAGTAGTGCGGTAAGATGAGGTTTGATAGTTGCGCGATTGAGAGTTGAAGGAGATATTATTTGGTGTTGAGTAAATATTCCTTGGCGCTGTGGAGAAATTGGAGAAGTGGAGAAGAAAGGTTGCCTAAAAGGACGTGGGGAAGGAAGTAACAGATGGGGAAGTGGGGTTGCAAAGCGAAGATCCGGAGTATCCAGGTATCTTATCAGATTTTGGGTTGGCATGAAAGATACGTATTTGCACTAGTAAAATTGTATGGGAATACATGTAGTTACAATGAGACTCCCGCATGACTTGCAATTGTGGCTAGATTTTGTGGCTACTGCCGCAGAATACAAATTAATTAGGCGCCTAGTCTGACACAAAAATTCAACTGTAAATCTACCATCAAAACTATCTCTTTTCCTGTGCATTCAAGGCTTCAGGATATCCTCCAGAGGTACTTGCCAATACCAACCAGCGAGCACGATTGCACCGACGCTCATTGTAAAGGCCATTAGGAAGTTGACGTCATTATTATCTAGTAAATCAAATCCGCTTTCAGCCACTCGAGTAGGCCTCCGGTCGCCAAAATGAGAACTCCGATGTCTATCCTTTGGGTCGTAAGGATCCTTTGAAGAGTTGTCAGCGCCGGCTTTAGAAGAATCTAATCGGCTCTCGACAGCATCGCCTCCTTCTCCGTGAAGTATACTTGCTTTAATGTTAGTAGTAACGTTCTTTTCGGTATTCTGGTGCGTATGGGGCTCGGCGTCCGATGGAGAAGTTAAGACACGAAGTCCTCCTTCGCCCTCGACAATTTTTCCCGAACGCACGTCTCGAACGCTCCTCTGAAACCAACCTCCAAGAAAGCTGTCCAACAGGCTGCCCAACGCACCCCATATACATAATCCCCAAGCCAGCGTAGCTTTCTGGCCGGTAGTCCAGCTCTCGCCGCCGCCGATCTTGTCCTTTGTATCCTCGCCGCAAAAGGGAAGAAACATTAGACTAGTAGCGACGATAATCATAGACCCTAAGAGTCCAGCGACTAATCCCCATATTGTGACACCTCCGTTGGTGCCTGGAGGAACCTTTCGTAGTGAGAAAGAGGTGATCAGTCTTGGGGAGCTGCGCGATAGGATGCCTAGCTCGGAGGAGAAAGTATCAGCGCAAACGGCGGCATAATTGGCGATTATGCCGAGAACTAATATATCTCCGCCCCATCTATAGCAGAACGAGCCCTCCGGAATCTCCTTATGAGTAACTACCGTATCTCGCCGCATGTGGAGCTGGTAGGCATGCATAAGGGTCAGGATTGAGGCCATTAGAGAGTTTGCGAGCACTTGGACATGAGTCCTTGGGCCTTCGCCGCCAGCGCTTCCCTGAGAGTGCAACGTAAGGCCCGATTTGACATTTGCCTTTATCTTGGTGACACGAGTTCCGGCTAGAAAAAAGACGCAGAGAAGCACGAAAGGTAAGTTCCAAGGGTGAACAGCATGAGCGGCAGCGGTTAGTGCAGCAGTCAAGATGCCGAGCGGCGTAAGCGACTTGTGAGAATAAGCCCGGTAAACGAGGGCGAGCGTCGCAGGGATAGCGATCACAGCTTTCATCACGAGAGTCTGCAACAATATTTTTTGACGTCCTGTGACTAAACTGAATTGTGCAAATATATCGCAGATGTGGGTTAAGTAAAGTTAAGTAAACTGTACGATGTTGTAAGTTGATCGAAATCCAGTACACAAATGATGGTGTGGAGAGGAACCGACGCTTACTTAAAAGCCAGGCATGAGTTATCGGTATCTTTATCGATAACTAAAATACTTCCCCAGGCTGTCAGACCAAGTTTAGTTGAGTTTAGTTGAGTTTGGGACCTACATGTACCTAACCTTATATCTTAAGTACCTAAGCCACATGTTAAACTCAAAGTCGGATAGTGGCCTGTCTACCTACTAAATCTAGGTGGCTTAGTACTATGTATAGCGATACTAGCCACTATAGTTTAAAAAAAACCCCAACCTTCATACTGAACGATAAATGTTTACAACATTATGGTTTCTAATATTCCTCAAGTCTTCAGCTACGTTTGACTATTATATACACGAAGAAGATCGTCTACAGCTATCTTAACCTTCCCGTCGATGCCGTACCAAAAGTGTTGCGGACTCAGCATCCAGCGTCGTAAGTGACCTTGGGAGATATCCTTCGCGAGCTGGCCGAGTTCTTTAATGGCCTGTTTAGGGAGCTCAACTAGAAGCTCTCCAACAGCTTCTTTTTGGGCATCGTTCATATGCGTCGTATCTACCTCTTCCCAGATAGTCTTGAGTCTGTCGATGAACGCTTTGGGACTCTGTGGGAAGTCTTCCATCGGATCAGTACAAAGAGGATCCGAAGTTATCTTCTCGCAATACGATAGGAGCGTGATGCCTTCTGGTATCGTAGGATAATCTACGCTGTCCTGCCAAACGCTAATCGGATCGCCGAATACCCCCAACGCGATAACATTTGTAACCGCGCTGCCTAGTTCGCCCAACGCTTTGTGTGCGCACTGAGCACCTTGGCTATTATCAAACGTATTAGTCTCGGGCTTGGAACGATAGCAAGTCTCGAAAGAAGGGATTTAATAAGTTTAACTTACCTCCATCCCCAAATGGCAACTTTAGCATCTGGGCAATACGAGACATATTTCTGTACGCTCTCTCCGATACTCGTAGCGCAACTGCTTGATCCTCCTTCTTCAATGTAGCCAGCTAAATCGGCCGTGTAGTTATTAGTGCTGACGCCTTGGATCGCCAGATTGACGCCCGTCGATCCAGTAACCAAGGCATCACGGAACGGACCACCAACCCAGGGTCCTAGGTTTCTATAAGTTGAGTTTATTAGAATATCTTAAAACTGAGAGAATATTTAGTTGTCTTACCCTTTATCAAAGGTACCGCGAGCGAAGATCACTGCAAGGTCGGCACATTGTGCGCCTTCGATTTCCTGAAGCACGGGGTCCCATTCGTTTACAGAGACAGCCGTGTCCCGGTGACCTATGATGGCGGCCGCTAACACTGGTGACGTAGACACAAAATATAAAGAGGCAATAAAACCGGATAACATGACATGTTTCAAATTCGCATGTACATGCATACCAGCAACGGATACCATCGTCGCAACCTAAGATAGTCAAAACGTCGTGAATGTTAGAATTTAATAGTTTTCCATATAATCCTAAGCATTATACAGAATAGATAGAGATGCCTCACTGATATATAAATGCTCGGTTTTCACATTAGGATGGCATTATGTCTCATATTGAAGCAGCGTAATCTCTCCAATGAACGTGAGGCGGCCATTTTCTAAACAAGCAAGTCAAGGAGCCAAATGCCTGTAAAGGATACTATATTAATTGGTAGGAATTGGAAGTAGAAGGAGTTTCGCGATAGCCGAGGGATAATCCCTGCTATCCTGTCCCAGGTAGCTGGTTCGCTGTTTGAGCTTAATTACACGTGTTTGCGGGTTAGAAACACGATTGCCCTTTAATCTCCTTGTATTCTTCAGTGAGATGATATGAGCTATGGTCTCACGTATTATCTTTCTCTGCCAACAGACGACAGACGGTAACGAGTCATTGAAGATTGATGAAGGTAATTTTCTATTCCTGAATTGCGAAACAGCCTCAGTCTGTTCGTCAACGTCTCTCTGCCGGCGTATATCAATGGGATGTATCATAAAACGGGATTCTTTACAAGATTGCCCCTTCAAAACTCAACTTATACTCAACCAGCAAAAACTAAGGAGTATCCTCCAAGACAAAGTCAATATTGAAGAAAGGATGAAGCTAGCATCGGTGGAAAGGATCGAGGGAGGGATTAAGGCTTCATAGAAACAATAGTGATGTTCGCAGGTATAATATAATTAACTATCTTAGGTATATACCTAGTTTCAATCTGATAGTAAGTATCTTTCGTTGAGCTGAGAGTATCAATACTTTTGACGGATTAGCCCACTAACGCCCCGGGCATTTTATGAATGATATACCATCTTAGTCAAACACGTCGGTAGCGTATCGGACATTTCTCAACTCGTCCCACCATATTTTCGCATCTTCGTCGCTTAGATGCTCTCCCTTTAGCTTCGATTCTTCTTGACGTATATTCTTAACCACCTTTTCAACCCCCTGGCTGACCTTCCGTGAGCCACAAATATATAGCTGTGCGCCATCTTGCCACAATCGGAGAAACCCGAGTCGATCTGCCCATACGATGTCTTGTACGTACTTGGATCCGCCTGACTCCTCCGGCTTTCGACTGAATGCTCGCTTAATTATAACAGCTCCGGCCTTTTCCCACTCGGCAAATTCTGTAGAATACACGTCATCCTTATCCGGTTCCCGACAGCCGTGATATAGCACAGCTGGAGCTAGTTTACGGCCTGATCTGATCATCACAGCACGATGTTGAATAAAGCCGCGGAAAGGCGCTATGCCGCTCCCCGCTGCGATAAGAATCAGTGGCGTCTTCTCCGGAGTATCTGGCAGGTGAAAGGCCATATGAGACGGCCGCACAGACACGCGAAGTCTATCGTTGGTTTCAAGACCTCCTAGATAGGAGCTCGTGACGCCTATGTAGTCTCCTCGGCCGGATTTAGCGCGTCCCGAGACTAAAGAGAAAGTAATAGAGGCCTTAAGAGGATCCTCTAGGGGAGACGACGAGATAGAACTGAGCTTCGCTGTTACTTTGTATTCTTTTCTTAAGAAGGGGTGGGGGGAGAACCTACTATTGGCGAAGACGCATTGGCGGTAACATCGCCAGAAATGATCCTAGACCTAAGTTGATAGAGGGAAACATTTCTAACAAGTCTAATACCGATGCTCGCTTTGCAAGTACTTCTGTATCATATTTTTCGGCGGCTAGGTTCTTCAATGCTCTACGATCGTCCTCGTTATCGGTTACATCGGCTAACGCCAGGATATTCCGTTTGGTAGCTGGCTGGGCGAGCTCTACGAAGTCGCCCAATATGCTACTAGCAGGTACTGATTCGTTGGTAGGTAGCCTTATACCGGTACCTGTGATTTTAATGCTTGTATCCCACTGTCAAAATGTCAATATGATTAGTAAATACTCGAGGGATGAGATTCCGAAGACTTTATCGGAAGAAAGACATATTTACGAATAATAAATCAAAGAAAATAGAAACTTTACCGGTAATCCAAATCTACGCATAGCTCTCTGAACCGTTTCCTTAGGATTGATTGGCAAGACAGACAGATAATCCCCGGGCATATAAGTTACGCCGGCCGGGAGCTGAATTTCCACATGTTTCTTCGCAGGTTCGCCATCTGCGGTTAGAAGTTTGGTTGCGAGTACGCGTCCTTCTTCTACGCTCTGCTTAAGTATAGATGGGCGCGTATTCGATACATCTACCGTCAAAGATGCGTGGTGTATTCCCGGCATCTCGTTCGATCCCTTAGCAACTCTCAACGTATTTAGGGCTGGCCAGAGAACCTGTGCAAGTCAGCGTAAAGAAACTATATACCTATAAATAGGCAGTGTCTGCCTTCAACAGGTTCAGATAATAGTTTATGATAGTGCTTACATTATCTTCCCACGTCTCAAAAGCAACAAATGGATCTTCCAGGGCAGCATCCGCAAGGCCTAGTTCCGCAATCCTAGTTGCGCCGAGGTCTTCTAGCTTTGTATTTACGAGTGTGGGAATTCGATGAAACGTCTGAGACCAATCGTGATGACCACATCCAAAGACTGCGTATGATGACCCGCGGAGAGCTGACTTGTCTTTGATGCTGTTAATCCAAGAAACGAAATGAGCCGCGTTATCTGGAGGTTGTCCTTCGTAACTTGCTGTTATAAAGATAACGGGCTGATCCTCTGGGAGCTTTTCTACTGCAGCATCCATACAGTCCAGAGTAGATACTCTATACCCGTAGGATGCAGCATCAAAAGCCAACCGCTGAGCCATAGACTCGCAAGTGCCGCTATTAGAGCCGTATAGTATAGTGATGGGCTGCTGATCATGACCTATATGTTTATGGTCTAGACCATTGGTACGCGTCTTCGGCTTATCCAACACTGATTCGATTCCCGAGAGTCGATGTTCAAGCTTGACGGGATCTAAGCTGTCGCGTAATATGGCTCGTATGAAGAAATTATCGGGTTTGATAGTCAGGGTCTGTTTATTTCGTAGCTCATAGTCTGCATCTGCTAAGACGAAGTTGAAATTCTGGAAGAGGATAGCCATAGTAAGGATGGCCTCCTGCATCGCGAATGGTCGACCGATACACTATATTTTTTCGTTAGTTCCATATACCACCAAGCTTCTTCGAAATGAGAAGACGAGAAAAGGGGTAGAACTTGGGAGGTTTCTTACGGCTCTAGCACCATTGCCGAATGGTTTCCACGCGTTCTTTGGTAGTTTACTGAAGTTCTCATCAAGCATCCTTTCCGGTTTGAAAGTCATGGGATCCTCAAACACTGTTGGATCGAGATGCGCTTTAGTGAGAAAACATTGGATAAAATCTCCCTTGTAGACTTGGTATTTTCCAGCAAGCAACGTATCCTCCACGGGACTTACTCCAAATATCGGGATTGGTGAATCTAACCGTAATGCTTCACGGAGAACCTATTTCTATATAAGCCTGACGTTTTTGCTGTTCCGGAAGGATTGTAGCATACTGCTGTGATATATGGAAGTTTCTGCATGTGCTGTACTGTCACAGGACCTTTGCCGATAACTTGATCGACCTCTTGTTGCACTTTGCGATAAGCATCGGGGTTCTTCAATAATCTATACTATAACATGTAGAATAAAGTGTTAGCAAGAAGCTCAAGAATAGCAGATATTTGATTCGGTAGTATATTAATGATTTAGTTCCATATCGGATACGCAGCCAATAACTTATGACAAGTACGCACAGCTCACCCGGTCCGGGATGAACTACTTAATAGTAATAGATTAGGGATTAAGATGAACTTACCATAGCATAAGACAACATCCCAGATGTAGTTTCGTGTCCAGCAACCAGAAATGTGATCAAGTTATCAATAATAGATGCGTCGCTCATCTTCTGTCCGCTAAGCGAATCTCGTCCTTTAAGCATAGCTGAGAGGAGGTCTTTTCTCTCGTTTCCGGGATCCGCAAGACGCTCATCCAAGACGGCTTGAGCTGTCTCTGCGAGGACGGCGATGTGGGATTCGTATATTTTATCTCGCGACCGATAAAGGAACGAAGGAAATGGTAGCCGCTGCGTCCTCCGTCCGCTCTCAAGAAGGAATTCTACCATGGCGTTTACGAATGGGTGTAAATTCTCGGAGTAGAAGCTGTTGAATCGGAATCCCATAGAACAAAGAGCAATCGTATCGAGAGTAAGGCGTGTGAAGTCTTCGGGTGCGTTTATTTTTGCATGTGATCCGTGTCTGGCCCATTTCAAAGCAAGCTGCGACGCTATATCTTTCATCTCGTCGAACATATCGCGAATGCCTTTCGGTCCAAAAGCCGGCATTAAAACACGATGAGCGATTCCCCAGTTCGGCTCATCGTTTGTTGCCGTAAACAATCCGTCGCGTAGACCTGCTCTGAGTTGCGTTATAACATCGTTGGGCTTCTTCTGAAACCTCTTTTCATCGCAAACCTCATCAACCAAGGCATGGGTGCTTATAAATACCAGGCTAGCTCCCGGAACGTGTGCTCGGAAGATCTCGCCATAGTTTTCTGATATTCTAGCAAACGATATGAGAGTATTTTCCGGATCGACGCCGGTAACGTACCCTAAGAACGGGAGTTGCGGCGGCTCGGGAATTGGGACTATAGATCCAGTCGCCATAGTCTGAAGATAGGCAACTCTTGATTCTAGAGTAGATGATAGATGCTGAATATTTAAACTTATAGACTAATCCGTAGTGACTATTCCAAGATATCTATTTCAAGATGATACTAGTATGTGGTGTTTCAGGAATACTTATAGCATTTTATATTCCATCTTGAAGATATTATATACCGTTGAAGCGCGGCTACATTCTTTATAATCCAGTGGCCGGGTTAGTTTATACGGCAGCCGGTCCCCGTGTCGTCGGACTGTAATTCCTCCGCATGTTTCCCAATTTCATAACACTCCGCGATAATGTATACAATATGTAGAATCCCGCGGATTCTCGATTATTTTCTATTTTGATTCGTTAACCCGGCTTATATAACATGCCTACGGAAGAACGAATATATCTATAATATGAGTTTATAACATATCCAGACCCCCGGTTTATTCCTGGATTATGAGAGCTAGAAACTTCAAAGCCAACGGATATCACGTATGGTCGGCGTGGCATTTGTACGATTGTACCCACATGAAAAGTAATCAAAAGAAATCCCAGCGTTAGGGTTATCCGAATACCTTTCGTCGCCACCAATTCTATATAAGGTTAATGTATTGCTTAACAATTTATAGATATTATATCCGACCCATACTTGAGGGATACTGGTAGAATGCTCAATGTCAAAGATAATACGTAGGCTATCAGAACGAAACGAAACACGGGTACGGTGGACCATTATGACATTAGTGCCAAAATCAAGAAAATAGGTGGCACTATGTCTAATAAGGTAATAGTAAGGCAAAAATACAGTATAAGCTCAATTAACATACGCTGTATACACAATTAACACCCCTTTTAACCTTATACCACAATAACTTTACGAATATATATCCAAATATTTTTCAAAATACACCAATATTTTGATTTAAAAATAATAAAAATTACTATCCAAATCGCATGTAGTTTGACCCAAGATTTGTAAAGATATTAAAAGTCTTTCCTATTCCAAAAGTTTAAAAGATTAACCAATCAGATATCGCCTTTACCTTAGCCTCAAAATACCCAAATTCAATAACAACACTTACACATACTCAAATAACTTTACCAATATACCATTTCAAAAAGTATAATTAGTATCATTTTATAGCCTTGATTAATGCGAAAATAATGATACAAGTTGCATATATATATATCTTTTGGCTGGTGTATTGTATAGCGTATTATATCAATATCCAGTAAGTCTTATACGGCACGTGATACCCTTTATGACCACCCGTACACATAATAGCCCTCCTTTTATACTACACATTATCTTTACGAAATAAATCAGCAATATTATGAGACTATTTTAATAATTTTTATTATATCTTAAATAGAATATCAGTATTTTATGTCAATTTATATCTCAAAATTTTACTAATTAATAAAATTAATATAAAAATTTTATATTTTACCTTGTATATACCCCGCATAGTATACTGTGCACTTGATATATTACCCTTTTTGGACAGTCCTGACCTATTTTCTTGATTTTGGCACTAATGTCATAATAGTCCACCGTAACGGGATCGGGTTCGGAGTCCGTCTCGGGTTTTAGTGTGGATCCAAGCGAAATATGGATGGGTGAAGGGTTGGTTCGTCTTTGATTCGCGTCAACATTACTCTAGGTATCACTCTAGGTTACTTATCTACCAAGTCTGACTTATGAATAGCGTTTCCAGTATATCCAAAGTATGGATTATGAGCCTCCCCGAATAAAACCGCGTCCCGGGAGAGCGCTCGCTTGTTTACCTTGTCGGAAAAAAAAGCTCCGCTGCGATCATCAACACCCCTGCAGTAATTGCATGCGTTCGAGGAGTAAAATATGCTCTTATCCAAAACCGAAGGACGGTTCTACGTCAATTATCTCTACATCGGTTAGTTCTAGAGATGACGAGACCGCTAGAAACTCTCCTTCAAACTTGGCAAACGGTAAAGAGGAGGAAGAGCAAGAAACCGAATCAACTCGTTGTGAAGTCTGGCATTCAGGCGCGCTAGGATCAGTTTTGGTTTCCATCCCTCCTGGAAGTAGGCTTAATCCCGATACCACATCCTGTCTACCGGTAAACGATAGTCCTCTGCGTGACGATGGACAGTCGAGTACCGGAGATATTCATTCTCATTCCAACCTCACCACGTGTTTGGATAGTTATCCAATAAGAGGCATGATAGTCAAAAAGCGCTACATCTCTCCTACTCATTGGATGTTCTCGTTGACATTGGTAAGACGATAGTAAATCCAAGATAGATTTTTAAAAATCATTATATTAACCCCGCCAGTAGTCGCCGCATGCTTTGGATTGGCTTGATGAACAGATGAGAAAGCAAGGAAAGATATGGCAAGAATTGATGACTTGCAAATTGCTAGCGAGGTCGATTAAAACTAAACGACTCTTCTCTTGGACTCCGGGTCGTTATGGAACGTATTTACCAACCAAGGGAGTAGCAGATGCTCTATTTGGTGCATACTTACGGACTTTCGAAACGATATATCGAATCATTCATATCCCTACTACGAAGCGTGTTTATGATACCTTATGGGAAAGTCCCGGCCTAGCGAGTCCGGCGCAGGTAGTTTTATTACAGCTTTGTTTTACTGTCGGCGCATGCTTCTACGACGACGTCTTCTCGCTTCGGCCTCACGCTCATCAATGGATCCGCGAAGCCGAAAACTGGCTCGAATATCCGGGAAAGCTTCGAATGACGGTGTTTGATATTCAAATAATGTGTCTCTTACATCTAGCTCGGCAGACAGCCCATTATCTCCGAGAAAGCCAAGTCTGGGCCGTCTCCGGCGCCTTAGTTCGGGCTGCGATGTCTGTCGGTTTACATCGCGATCCGACGAGACTGCCAGCAATGCCTGTTTTTGAAATTGAGATGCGACGGCGCCTATGGACGACAATTATCGAGTTGGTTTTAGAATCTAGCATAGATGCTGCGGGACCTCCGATGTTCTCGTCTGATGATTATGATTGTTCTTTACCCCTAAATCTAAACGATTCCGAGCTAGGAGATCTCGGCGAAGACAGCAAACCAACCTCTCATGATATGGCTGAACTTACCGATACATATCTTCAAATAGCCTTAGGCCGGACCTTTGCTGTGCGACTCTCGGTTGCAAAATATTCGAACGGTATAAAGGTTGACATTTCCTATCGTGAGACATTAAGACTCGGTTCGGATTTGATGGCTGAATATCGATCTTTAATGAAACACCTACAAGTTTTGAATCCGCAACCTACAACATTTCAAAAGCGATACTTCGAGTTGGTATTTAGCCGTTACATATTCTCTCTACATTTGCATTATCTTCCTCGGGCTCTAAAAGACCCAGCACAGTTCAACTTCTCCCGAACCATCTGTATTGATACCGCTTTAAGATTAACTTCGTCATTCTTGCCGCTCTCATCCTCGCGTCATGATCCTGTTTTAGTAGCTATGGATAGCATACTTCCTTTCGAGAGCTACTGCTGCGACTATGAGCATCTGCTTACCTGCGGCTCGGCTCCGTTTAGGTCTGTACCTTGGCAAGCCGTCATGGTCATTGCTGTGGAGTTAGCTGCGACACTACACGAAGCGCATAGCACATCTCCGTGGGCTGGTGTAGTTTCCTTTAATCAGAAACAAAATGGGAGCAAATTTCGCAATGTTGAGCTGCTAACGTGGCTTCGAGAAGGAATCAAATGGACGAAACAGCGTATCAAAGCTGGTCACCATAATGTCAAAGATATTGTCTATATAACTGTGCTACTTGCTGGAATCGAAGCGGCAATGGAAGGTACCCCTCCTGAACCAGCTATGGATGCTAAAGGGAGGGAGGCCTTAGCTGAGGCTAAGTCTATTCTTGAGGTGACGGCTGGCACAGGGACCACTGCTTGGGACACCGTTCCCGATATAGAGGATCAGGGGCTTGGTGAAATCAACGAATTTTGGTCCATGGGATTTTCTGGTATGGAATGGGACAGTTTCTTTTAAGACTCAAGTATAATAATGTTTTGCTGTTATTACAATCTATCTCAGGGCAGAAGATCATACCATACCTTAGCGGGAATATTAGGGATTTTATAAGGCTTGCAGGCCTTGTACAGGTGTAGCTATAGTGATAAGCCTTGTGCAAGGGTTCTGTAAGGCTTATTTTTATGACAAGGTTTATAAAGAGGTGTATTTCCCTATATAAATTGGGTGGCTGAATATATCAAAAAGCATTACAGGGCATTTCTACTATTAATTCAATCTTTCATTACCGTATACACCAAACACTACACACTTAAATAACTTCATGAGATCAACAATTCAGATAATACAATTAGTATTATTCAGTAGCCTGAATTGATGCGAAAACAATGATCTAAGTTGCACCTAAATCAGCCTCTTCGTTGTTGTGTTATAGTAATAGTAGAATCAAATAGCGATTGTCTGGAGAGGGAGGCAAACACGTGACACCCTTTACAAGCACCTAGACCATCTAAGGCCATTAAAATCGCTGTATCACCACCCTCACTGTCGAATACCCCCTGAGTCCCTTGAGGCCGTATAATTCAATTAAATACCGCAGCAGGCACGATATACCACAATAGCAAGCGTATAACCTATCGTGTAGTACGTAATATTATGGACTTGTAATCAGATGCCCTCATAGTCAAGCGGTATGTGTAATCTCGTATCTGATATTCAACTCTGCAATATAACATGTCTTTCAATTGTATACTTGTAAATAGACTCGAATAGTAAGGATAACCTAATTGTTTCTTTTGCGACCGTGCTTCGTACATAAATCGTATGCGGTGCAGCATATTACAGATGGTGTAGGTATATATTTCCAGTTGATCTAGTGGTTTATTTACAGTGGTTCTAAGAAATAATTACAGGGCATTTATAGTGGACTGTTTATAAGGCTTATTCTATTTGCAAGGCTTAGATGCCTTGTACATTATTGGCTTTATACCCTATCCCAGACTTTTAAACCCTTTGAGCTGCCTGAAATATAAGGCCTGCGTAAACTTTAAAGTCCCTAGTATTCCTATTAAGGTATCCTGTTAAGGTAATATATGTACCTAATCTATTGCGAGATTCAGCCATATCTTATAGGCCCTGTACCATCATTAAACCAGTCATCCGTAACGAGTGACTCTTCACTTGAAGCATAATTGATGATGGTACTCTTAATCGCTGTGTACGCATTATAAGCATCTACACCATTTTCGCTTCCAACACCACTCGATAACTTAGTACCACCCCACGGACTACTTGGATCGTTTCGATGATGTGTGTTTACCCAAGTGATACCAGCGTCGATTTGTTCTGAAACCCGAAAAGCCTGCGCCAGATCTTGGGTCCAGATTCCAGCTCCGAGACCGAACTCGCTATCGTTGGCCAGCTTAACAGCCTGATTTTCTGTATCAAACCCCACGATCACGATTACAGGACCAAAGGCCTCCTCGCGCCAGATGCGTGTCTCGAGAATGCTATCACCTTCGCACGAAATAAGAATCGTGGGCTCGTAGAAGTAGCCCTTAGAGAAGTCAGTCCCATCAAGAGAGCTGATACCATGCATCCTGCTTCCTCCTACAATTGCTTTTGCTTTGCCACTATTCACAGCGTCGTCAACTAACGTCTCGACGCGGTTGAGCTGTTTTGCCGAGACCAAAGGCCCCATCGTTGACTCTGGGTTTGTAGGGGCACCTATGCGTTGCAGAATCGAATTCGTCTTTACCTTGAGCTTCTCCAGCAGTTGCGATAAGATTTTATCGTGTACGATAATCCTCGTACTCGCAATGCAAGTCTGACCGCTGGCGATAAAACTACCAAACGCGATCCCGTTAACAGCAACCTGAATATCCGCCGTATCAAATACAATCAACGGCGCTTTACCCCCGAGTTCTGCAGTATATCTTGCTAGATTTCCGCCTACGATCCCGCCGATTGCCCTACCCGCTATTGTTCCCCCCGTGATATCTACCTTTTTTACTAGAGGGTGCTGTACGAGTGCCTTTCCGGTTATAGCACCGTATCCGGGCAAAACGCTGAAAACGCCATCGGGAACGCCGGCCTCTTTCAGAATACGACCAAGCAGTAGTGTCGATAACGGCGTTAACTCGCTCGGTTTTAGGATGATGCTATTTCCAGCGGCAAGTGCTGGTGCGAGCTTCTTTACGGCGATAAGCAACGGATGGTTAAAAGGAGTAATCTGAACCACGACACCGAGCGGTACGCGTTGGAGGAAATTGTGCAGCTTCCCCGCTGTTGGTAAGACAGGCTGCTCTTCTACACGCAGAAGCGAGGCGTAATATTTAAACCAGCGCACCAACGAAGGAACCTGAGCGTTCATCTCACGAATCGCGCGGCCAGTCTGTTGCACCTCGAGCGCGATGAGGCTTGGCAGCGACGCTGTAAGGAGCGCGGCAGATTTGTCCAGGATATCAGCGCGGTAGTGGCGCGAGGATCTAGACCAAACGCCAGACTGAAAGGCCGCCTCAGCGCGAGCAATAGTGCGTTCAACATCTGACGCTGATGCCGTATGGCAACTAGTTAAGAACAATAGTACTAAATTAGGTTACGTATACTTATTAGTGTCTAATGTATGGGACGGACTCACAAGGCAAAGGTCTCTCCAGTCGCAGGGTCTTCTACCGGTAATCTATCGTGTTTATTAATAAAATATACGCTATGGTAAAATTATTGAAATATTAAAATTACTGCGCGATGTTAACTTACAATTCCTCTTCTCCAACCTCTTCTTTCCCAGCAACCCACATGAGATAAGTTTGCGCCATTTTGGAAACGATGTCTTGTCGATCTAGATTGTCGGACAATCCGAGTACACATTCAACGGCGCAAGAATTTAGGAATCGGGCCTCTAATCTATCCGCGTAGCTCCGCATCTCGTGGACGTAAAACTTATCGGACTTGGCCGTAAATGTACCTAGTGACCGGCATGTAACCCCTAATCTGATTGCCGATACCTACAGTGGGCCTATGAGGTCCCCGCCGGAGTTAAGGAACCTAACGATATGACCATGTTAGGCTAAGCAGGTAAAAGGTTGAAAGGCCTCTAAAGTAAGCAAGTAAGAGATAGTTATCTGATTACCTAGTACTTATAACCATGTTCGTCTCAACGTTGTAGGCTTCTGCTGTTAGACTGCAGCAGTTAACAGCTGGCGAACTCACCAGCGTTCTCCTTGTTCAGGAGTTTCTAAACCAGATTAAAAAGTACAACTCAACGGGATGCGCTTTAATATTATATCCGTTCTAAATCGTAGTTTAGCTTTACAGACAGCAGAACATCTCAACGACAAAAAAAGGGTGATATAAATAGTTTATATGGGATACCCATAATAATGAAGGTATCGTTATATACAAAAAGACTTTTTAAGAAAACTATTCTAATACGCGTATGATTTAGGATTACATTATATAAAATGAAACTCACTCTAGGTTTAATCTCAACGAATGGAGTTTTTAAACCAAGCGGATCATTTGACAGTATTGGTGTTCTAGACAGTACTCCTACTGATCTCGCTCTGCTCTGAGATTATTATGAAGCAGGAGATTTTGTCGGAAAAAGTACTGTACAGTCTTACGTCAATATTAGTAGAATCATAGCCAATGATTGGTGTAACTATGGTGTATCACACGCTGCTGAGAAGTAGTGTCGAGAAGAAGTGGTACGTCTCTCACCCTTAACCCCTTTTCACGTTCTGTTCAGGTTCTCAATGGTTTATGAAATGTCTTTCTAATTTATAGATAGGAATCCGTATATAATAACGTCCCTATCGTTATTAAAAACAAAGGGGCTAATGTAGTATATCCCCTAGATATTGCCAACGGTAACAGCTTGAGTGTAGAGGATGATAATCTCGGTACCGTACGGAAAACATAATTATCACAGTCTCCTAGAACAAGTTCATATTTATTAACAAGGACTAGATCATGAGTTCCCAGAGACTGAAGGAGTTTATAGCGAATTTTGAGCAAGTACCAGGTGTATAATCACTAGCTGATGTTATCAAATAGAACGAGGAACATGGCAATATATCCTTACCAAGTCGTTAATACTCATTTTCTATCTATATATATATCCTTAGTTTTCTTCCGTATTTTATTATAAGAGTGCCGGACTAAATATGATACCTACATGCTCAGCCTATAGCAGATCAAATTAATTAAATCTCGTGATAACAATATGACGGAGTTGGGCAACCATTTGGACTCTTTGCGCTGGTTCGTGGAGGGAAAGAAGACATGTTATTGAGATTCATAGCTCTCTTCGAGAAAACGTACGAGTATTCCTGAGGACTTTCCCTTTTGAATAATCACATAAAATAGACATTATGTCAAGATCGTATATTTATACGGTTAAGAAACCTACAACATCTACTTTATACCTATTCTTTCATCAGAGGCAGCTCTCGAGAGATATAAAACGAAACACCAGTAAGTACTAGCACTAGGTTTAAATAACTTATGACTAGAATAGATATCCTAAAGTAGAATAGTCAACTTTGTGTCTTTTGGTACGGTTCCTTCAGTTGCCTTCCATCCCGCTTTTAGTGGGTATAGAATCACTCCAGTATCAAACTTATAAAACATTAACAAGATATATCATGGCTTTCCGTGTTTAGTTAAAGAAATGCGATTAAAGTAAGATATAGTACTATCAAATATCGTCTCGTTTAATGAGACTCATTCTTTATGTTGCTTATTTGACCTTCGAGTTGTCTACCCGGTATATTACCTTATGCAAAAGCGGCCGCATAATATTGGAAACGTAAAGTGAGAGAAACTTAAGCATCCTCTTTACGGGATCTATCGACCTAAGCCTCGGTCCAACCTTAGGTCAAAAAGAAGAATCCTCATAAATACTAAGATCTTCGACGTTATTCTAAACCGGACGTAGCTAGTAGAAACTTCACGAATGAAGAACCCTTATAGAAATAACGTGGCATAGCGCTTTGACTTTAACTATACACTAGGGGCTTCAAGATGGGGGTGGGGGGATGGAGAAGCTATACCAATGGCCTGGACAAAACTTCCGTAATTAGTAAATAATTACCGAGCCTTCTAGGCTGCCAAGGCACCGGCGCCGCGAGGTCTGGATCCGGACCCAAGCCGGTGCAGACTTAGCGTGATAAAACCTTGCGAGCCTCGGGGCTCAGTTCTCTTTAGCTAGGATTTGATCCGAAGAACCGGGTATGCTTTCTTTTTTTTCTTCCCCGTAATCGATCCTGATACATCACGGCGGAAGGGCTTCTTGGCTGTACTGCGATCTGGATATGGCAAGGTTGCCTTGCCCCATATAATCGCAAATCCATCTATTTTGCATGAGTTAGGTATTCGAAGGCAGATAGATAATTTGAGACTTAACTACTCTTTGAAAGTAATATCTCTACAGGGTCTATTAAATACTTGGATTCGATACTATTTTACTTATATGAATCTTATATGAATCATTTAAGCTACAACCGCTTTTAATTAAGGGGTCTTCACAATAAGATAAAATATGAGCAAATGCTAAGCGATTTTCACATGCAATAGAGAGCTGCTAGTCTATCATAACGGTGGAATGTCCATATACATACGCGCTATAGGCGCTATATGCACTACTGCGTAAGTCAGGAACGAAACCACCTATGAGGATCCTCTCGATCTGTCCACCAGATAAACGAAAACCATGCAGGGCTGATCCTTGACGTGGAGTATACCCGTATCGACAGCCTACTGGTCGACCGCATTGACTGATGCAAGCGCAAAATTAGGAACAACATACTATATGCAAAATCCGAAGGCAAGACTCGTGCTAAGTTGGGATTTTTCTCTCTAGCGACTTCTATCCTTACGCAATACGCTTGTACATTTCTTATAATGTCCAAGGATCCACCAAGCTGAGTTTTAGATGGTTGGCAGCCTTTCACATAAATGCCTTTGGTCCAGCCGTCACTTAATGGGAATCTCTTAGTTCTGTTTCGAGACTCTGCCTCTTGAGAAAATACTTGCTACTCCCCGAAGCGATATTACAGACCCATATCAAGAGATATCGTCTTTAACAATCATCATAATCATATCGCACAAGTCCTTGCGCTTGGATCGAGGGTTACCCAAAATCCTTCCTCGCGATCATGGGCCCCTCCATCGAATCGGTAGTTGGCCTGTGCCACAAGGCCACGGTCCTTGGCAACAAGATATCCATCCACATGCTCGAGTATGTAGGAACCGTCGAGAAGCATGGTCATCAGTTCGACGAGCTAGCACATGATTTCCTAGAGACATGCCGGATAATGTGGTCGCTCGAGGCTGGCTTGGCTGAATGTTCTAGGAGCAATCAGAGGTTCCCGCCCGAGATGATTACGGAACTCGACAAGAAATTCAGAGCTGCCAATAACGACTTCCAAGTTCTCGATCATATGCTAGGTCGGCTTCTAGAGTACGAGAAGAAGGGTACTATGGGAAAGATCCAAAAAGGATGGCGCAAGATGTTCGCCGATAACGACGTCGAAAAAATGAAAGACAACCTCTCCAAGACTCGCGAGGCCTTGAGGATGAGCGCTCTCGTCTTCCAATGGTCCCTCGGGGATGCTAAGATAGATGAGTCTGTTGGGATTGGATACACAGGTCTTGCTGCCGCTCTAGAACGCATGACCAGGAATAAGAGTGCGGGGAGCATTACAAGAATAAAGACTCACAGCAATAGCACCATTGTTAGTCACCAAGTAGACGAAGTTCCACCTATCTGGCCGCTCCCTCCCAATAGCAAAAGTTCGGTTACGGATCATTCATCCTTGAGGGCGCGTGAAGAGGCACAAAATCCAACAATGCACCTTCTCCCTGAAATACATCGCGAGCCTTCAATATCCAATTATACCATCGGCAGCGGGGCTTCTTCCTCTCGTGGCGCCCGAGAAAGAGTGGTATCTACACTTGAAGCTATGGACCGATCTACTGCGCATAGTACAGTAGCTTCGGGGGGCATCACTGAGGTAGATACGCTTATCGAAGAACTAGATGCTTTTGAGCCGTATAAGGTTATTCGATTGAAAGCCGAACCTCATAATATGCCCCGATGGAGCCCGCGGAATACTGTTGGAGCAAACACACCTGCGTTGAGAGAAGCATTACTTTCCGCGGTAGATTCGGGAAATCACAAACTGGTTGAACAGCTATTAGATCGAGGAGTTTCTCCCGACAGCAGTCCAGAGGCTCATATCCTAAATCAGGCCATCATGCGTCACGACGCAGAAACTGTCCGTATCCTGCTACTCTTTGGGGCCGATCCAAATGCTCCCGACAACCGCAATATGACACCTTTGCTTTTAGCTATCGAAGAATCTTTCAGAGATGCTGTTATAATGCTACTCAAGTAAGTGAATCAAGGGATACCGATATATCTATATCTCTTCATCTCAGCACCCGGTCTCCCATTCTCCAAAGCAAAGAGCATAGAAATAGAAAAAGCAAATTACTAACGATTAATGTTATTCTACTCTAGGTACGGAGCAGATCCTAACCTTGCGGCCGGTCCGGAATTCGAGACTCCTTTTGCCATGTCTGTCGTAGAAGACAAATCCGATCTCACTCGCATCCTCCTCACTTATGGAGGTGATGTTAATCATACTTTGACAAGTGGAGATACCGCATTAATGGCAGCCATAATCAAGAAGAGGACGAAGAGGGTTATTGATATGCTTCTTGATTATGGCTCTGATGCCAACGTGAAAAACAGAGAAGGACACTGTCCCCTTTATGAAGCTATTCTATCGAACCGCATCGAAGTTGTGATAAGCCTGCTAGACCACGGCGCCAACCCCAACCTCCCCGGACCAAAGCACATGGTATATTAAACAGATTCCCCTATCTAATTCTTTTTTTTTTTGAATAAAATACTAACTTGTAGAAGCTTTGGCCAGCAGCAGGACTGCCTCGAATCCTCGAGCTGCTCCTAGCTCGTGGGGCTGACCCGAAAAAAGCCCCTGGAGTCATGGAACTAGCGACATCTATCAACAACATAGAAGCTGTCCGTGTACTGCTGAAGGCTGGAGTAGATCCAAATGCCAAGAAAGATGGTATTTATACGCCGCTCTGCTCATCTATCCGCGACAACAGAACCGATATCTTTGAGCTTCTGCTCGCAAATGGTGCAGGTGAGTTTTAACCGTATTCCGCTCCACTTGGGATTCCTTCGTGATTCTCTGATTCTCTGATTCTCTATGGATATCCAAATATTATACGTTTAGGAGTCATCTAATTTTCGTTTTCGTTTAATAATTAGGTCCGAATGTGCCCAGCGCAGAATATCCTACGTTCAAGTGCGTCACGCATTACCGGACGCAGTATCTAGCACCTCTCGTAGCTGCCGGTGCCGATCTCAACTCTCCAAAGGGTATACTCGAGACCGCCGTCCAATTTAAAAATGTTGAAGCATTATACTGGTTATTAGATACTGGGAAAGTCAACCCTAACGACAAGGCACCCAAGACCGGTGCTACGCCGTTAACTACGGCAATTCGCGAAAATCGTGCCGACTTGGTGGTAAGTACATTTATTCATCTAATTTCTCCGGCGTATCTACGATCAGTTCTTAATGTATTTAACAGGACCTTCTACTATCCCGTGGTGCCGACCCCAACGTCAGAGGAGAAAACTGGCCAGTATGCATGGCAGTACACCAGCCCACTATCTTGAAGCGCCTGTTACCGGCGTTGGCGGAACCACGTGCTTTCAAGGGCGTGATGGAGATGGCTGTCGTAGCTAATCAGCTAGAGAGCATTAAATTATTACTCAAAGCTGGCGTAAGCGTAGAGGACCGAAACGGAGGTGTTTTCTCTCCGTTGACGACGGCCATCCGCGAAGATCGTAAGGAAATAGTACACTACTTGCTGGTAAGTTCATTCTAAACCCCCTATAGAGACATATATATACAAATTGCCATTGCTAATTCTATTATCGTGTCTCTGTAGGAGGAAGCTGGCGCCGATGTCAATGCACCCGGCGAACATCTTCCTATAGTGAAGGCTCTACGACGACTTCACGGAGCTGATACCGAAGTTATCGAGTTGCTTCTAAATCATGGCGCCGACCCGAATAAAATATATCGCGGTCACAACGCCTATATTCAAGCTATCGAGAACGGCGACGCAGATATACTTAAACTCCTCATTAACAAAGCCGGCGTTGACCTCAACGCTAGGGATGACTCCGGAATGACGATAACAGAGATCGCAGATCACCGAGGTTGGGAGGAAGGCCGTCAGATACTACTGGGCGGAAGGGCACCTTGAAGGTACCTAGATAAGATGAGACTTCATACTAACACACTCTTTTTGATTAATTTTCCTTTGTTAGCTTGCAACGCATTTTACCTCTGGCGACGAGCTGGGATGCTTCATGATTTACGCGAAGGTCGGCCTGGATGAAATATATTATAACCCTACTAGATGTTTTCATGTATAATGAATACGTCCATGATTGTATAATTACTATTTACTATAAAAACAATCCAATGGGTTACCTACCTATCTAATATAATATCCAATCTCAACTCTCCCGTCTCGTTACCGAAAAACCACCACGTCTCTCCGGGGCGTAGAAACAATCCGAGAGTGGAGCATTTGTATTAGACAAGTTGAACTGTAGATGAGATGAGCTGGAGTTAGAGTAACCCCATCGGAATTATTACTAAACCCATCCTAAACTCCATTATGACCAACACTTTTCTTGGAAATCTACATCAATTAATCCTTCCGCGTATATCATAGTAGTATCTCCCTCCGAGAATAAGGATCCACCAACACCCGACTTTACGGCAACGTTTCCACTTTTTAACAATGTTAGAGAAGCCGTAACCTAACAACTCTTACATCTAAAGTACCGTAGGATCTATAGAGACGGAATTTATAAGCATTGTAATATTTTGACTAAGTTTATAGCAATGACAAATTCAAGACAACAGTAAATGAATTCGTCATATTGCTACCTACCTCGGACATAAATAAGAGGGTTTGTTCAGGTCGAGTTATTCTTTTTCTCAACACCTAAGAACAAACATTATTCGAAAAACGCAACGAAATTATTACCTAGTTAACATTTATTAAAAATGTCTTCAAGAATCAACACCATCCTCATCATCGGGGCTACTTCGGGTATTGGAGAGGCGTTTGCCCGGCGCTTTCACGGTCTAGGCAAAAAAGTCATTGCTACAGGTCGTAGAAAAGACAGACTCGATGAGTTAGCTCAAGAGTTACAAGGCCTTGAGACACGCCAGGTAAGTAACTGACGCCTTGTGCCCGAGAAGACCTTTTTGACGCTGAACTATTTAATAGTTCGACATTGCCGATTTAACCAACCTTGCAACCAACGTAGAAAGCATCCTGAAGGACTTCCCCCGTCTAGATTCTGTCATAATCAATGCCGGGATCCAAAAAAGCTATAGCCTTTTTGATCCATCAACTTCCAGCCCCGAAGCCATTATCAACGAGATTAATACAGACCTGACGGCTCCCTCTCTTCTCGTTCGTCTGTTTGCTCCGCACCTCTTTGAGTTGGCAAAGGCAGGAAGCAAAACGAACTTATTCCTTACTACCTCCGCTTTAGCCTATGTCCCGCTAAGCTTCTACCCGGCCTATTGTTCGAGCAAAGCTGGTCTCCACACACTAGCCAAAATCTTACGACAACAACTGAGTTTCGCTCCGGAAGAGGCTAAGAAGAATCTGAGTATAGTTGAAATTATTCCACCATATGTCGATACAGGACTCGATCGCGAGCATCGCGAAAACCTAAACGTTATGCAAGGCGGTTCGGAGAAGGCTTATCCACCTATGCCACTAGATGAATATATAAATAAATTCTTCGAGAGCTTAGAGCAGCTTGAGCAAGATGGTTCTTTCAAGAAAGAGATTGGAGTAGGACTTGGAAAGCTGGCTGAGGAGACTTGGAGGGGTAGCTTTGGAAAGGTATTTGAGCAGATGGGCCTCACTGTGTAAACTCAGCAACAGATAAGAATAAGAGGTGAAGCCACAAGGCTGGTGATATGTTCATACTAAATCGAATGATGTCGAAATATACAAGTATACAAAGTTTAAGTTGAGTACAACTCCTCGATTCAATTCAATTCGTTAGATCTGCTTATGTTAGCCAATTACTAAGTAACTCGCTAAACTGATATATTCTTATCTTCAAGTAGTACCTCCTCTTAGCAACATATTTAGATAAGGGTAGTTAAATATTCACAGGATAAGCTCGATATGACACTAAACAGCAACCCCCTGCCAAAAAGAAAAAAAAAAGAGGTACGTAATTCCAAGACTCACGACAGCTATATCAAGACTTTGCGCAATGGTGCAATCTACGAACTATAGAATCTACACGCTGCGTAAATAAAAAAGGCGAGATCAAGTGTAGCAGAATAAACTATAAGCCTATAAGCGAAGTCTAAATATTAGGTAGGGCTTTTATCAGTTGAAAAATCCTATGGTCAAATAGATATGATTATCCGACATGTCCTAGGCCATAGTTCCTTGCTAGGTTCACATTGTACGAACGCCACGATGATAAGTAAAGACATGCATGCTACGAGAAAACCTACGAGAAAAGCCACGAGTAAAATAGAGCAAGGCGCTTCTGGTGAATTACAAATAAGCTCGAGAGAAACATCGCAACCGATACCTTAGAGAATGTTCAAATCCATAAGTTAAATGCTTCGAGAATTGCTAGCAATTGTTTCAACAAAATAGGTCCTATTATGATCCTAAATAAATGAAGGATAGGTACCTAAGGCTCAAACCTTTGAAACACCATAAAGATGGATAACTAAGGAAGAACTACGTATCTCGGTTTAAATGACTCCGACTGCGATACGGCATTGTCAATTCTCCACTTACTACAGTTGGAGATCATGAATGCATCTCCAAAATAAATATATACCTGAGTAGTAGAGCATGCACCATGACGACACCCAAGACTAAAATAATAATATTTGTTATTATGTGCTTCATAGAAGAATTGATGCTTCCTTGAAGGATAGAATGCACGATCTAATTACTCCTGTCCGGTAACAAAGGCATCGCCAGAGTCTGATTCGTAAGAATCTAATATACACAGCCATTTAGACCACTTACGTCAGTGGTCAACTTCTCCAATTTCTCCACAAGCTGTCCTTCTGGTCTAATCCACTCTGGCTCGTTTCTTAGACTCGCCATTTCCATTGACATGACCATTCTCAGTTGAACCATCCTGAGCAGCAAAGTACTCTAGACTACCCTTGGGATCAGCCTTCATTCCCTTGCTGCCATTTTGCCAGCCTGCCGGGCAGACCTCGCCGTGCTCATCGGTGAATTGGAACGCCTGAACGAGTCGGATTGTCTCTTCGACGTCGCGTCCGACGGGAAGATCATTAACGGTGATCTGTCGGAGAACACCCTTAGGGTCGATGATGAAGAGACCGCGTAGGGCGACGCCTTCGTCCTCAATCAGAACGCCATAGCTGCGAGAGATCTTGTGAGACTTGTCTGCTACCAAAGGCAGTTCCAAGTCTGAGCCTAGACCACCCTGCTTGCGAGGTCTCTCAGTCCAGGCCAAGTGGGAGAAGTGAGAGTCGGTTGAGACGCCGAGGACGGTAGTGTTGATGGCACGGAAGCGCGGCAGGGCATCGTTGTACTGGATGATCTCGGTCGGGCAGACGAATGTGAAATCAAGAGGGTAGAAGAGAAGGACGACCCTATAAACGAGGATTAGCACGGGACAAGCTCATACGCACACACTACGTCGGGAAGACCGAGATGAAGACTGAGATATAGAGAGAGGACTAGGTTCAGTGACAGGAATGATAGGAGGGCAGACAAACCATTGACCAAGATAATCCGACAAGGAAATGTCCTTGAACTCGCCGCCAGGAAAGACGGTAGTAGCAGTGAAGGCCGGAGCCTGACGCTGAACGAAAGCAGAAGACATTATCGGCGATGATGGGTCGGCGATGATAGGTTATGATGATGATACGCGTATGTCTTACGATTGGAAAGTTGTTAAAGTAGTAAGTTAAGATTTGGAAAGCCGATTTAAGGAAAGAAAAATATTTAGCAGTTCTTATCTGATCTCCGTTTGCAGTTTCCCAGGTTGCTAGGTTAACACGGTTAACAGGCAGACGGGAAGGTACTAAGCAGCTAGTACTTTAAAAAAGAAGCAAACGACGGGAACTACGGGCTGCTATGGGGGTTCGTGCATGCTGCTCGGACCAAATCTCCACAAGCAACTCCTTATCTTCATTTCGCTAACCCAAACTAAGACTCTTTCTCTACATCGCATGATTGTCGCACGTCAGGACTTGTGAACGCGTTTGTGACCCACAGATGCTTCCTACTCTTACTCTAAAAGAGATATATCTCATTGTAATCTAATTGACCAATCTAAAGTTCGAATCACAGTGAATTACAGCAGATAGCACTTCTCTAGAAATAGGAAGAATTTCAGGTACCTATGTTAATTATATAAAGGGGAATCTTAAAGAGGTTTCTAAGTGTGGGTCAATCGCGTCTTACCTACCATGCTACTAGGTAATCACTTAAACAAGTCTTTAAATCTTCAAATATATCTCCGATTTCGGACTCAATCCAAGGTTGTCGTTCCCAGCTGAATGGAGCCGCTTTCCTCTCTTATGCATCTAGTGTATCTAATGCATCCATGTCATGCATCTGTGCATGCATATGACAATCACTACGACTTCAAATTAACTATCATAAATAATCTCTAATAAAATAAAACAACCAGCACAGCAACTTGGACACACTCCAATAACTCGTCTGATACATCTAATACATGGAGTTAATATATTAAGTATATATAGCTCTTAATGTCTTCCATTATCTCACAAACAAATAAGTCTATCATCCCGAGCCAATAAGAATCGTGAATGGTTCATGATCTAACATGTATTCCTCTATCGTCACGTATTATAAAGTTCTGATTTCTTGACCAGCATTTAATAAAAACCCTGTAACACAACGAGTAGTGTTAATTGGAAAGCTTTGCCGACGAAGCTTTTTAATTAAATGCGTTGAAAATAAAAGCCAATGATTTCGGTTTTTTAAAAGAGTACGTACCTAGAAACTATAACTATCTGTAAATACAAAGTCGTAAGGTTTTACTAGTGTGAAACTCCGATCCCTCTACAAACTCTATAGACTAAATTTAACTTTGGAAAGTAAGCTTTCCAATCAATTCTATAGGTACATTGCTATAGGTATCTTGGATACTGATACACTGAATATATCCAGTCTCAGCTTACACGTAGTACTACCTTAACCCCGCGTCGGGGGTTATCCTTTTGTATAACCCACGAAAGACATTCAACCAGCAGACATACAATTAGATATCATAGACAACATACTTATAACCTAAAATGCCTTCAATCATAATTCCAAAAGCTTTAGACACAGGTGCAACAATTGCCTTCATCTCGCCCTCAGCTCGACTTAATGACCAATATCCCGCTGTCGTATCCCGAGCCACCGCCGTACTCAAAGGACGAGGTTACAACGTTCGAGAATTCTATAATAAGGATATAAGCATTCAATCATCTATCACCAACCGCATATCCGAGCTTCGCGCCGCATCCGTAGATCCCGAGGTTTCTGCTATTATCTGTACCGTCGGCGGGCCATCCTTCACGGAGTTGCTACCAGGTCTGATTGCCGATACGGATCTACACAATATCATCCGCGCCAATCCCAAGATAGTCGTAGGCTATTCCGATATTACCGGGTTACACTGGTTTTTACGCGCATATACGGGACTCCGTACCTTCTACGGACCAGGGATCATACCAGAGCTTGGCGCTTCCGAATCAGTTGACGATGAAACATTACCACTTGCGTTCTGTGTTAAACACCTTTTCCGTGCCATAGCGGATCGTGAACCTATTGGCGACGTCCCGCGATCGCCAACGTATGCGCATAAGCACCCTTCCTGGTTCCACGATTCCGCATCTATACATAAAACAGAGCTCGTCCCTACTCCAGGTTGGATATGGCTCCGTCCAGGTAAGGCTCAGGGACGGCTCTTTGGTGGCTGTCTATCCGTTATGGCACGTCTCAACGGAGTGCGACGTATCGTCCCAGATTGGCGAGGCCGGATTATATTCTTCGAGACTGCTACTGGGGAAAAGTTTGGATCAGGAAACCCAATAGATCGGGTAAAGGCTGGCATTGCAGATCTTATTGCCCAGGGTGTTTTTGAAGAAGCCGTAGGCTTAGTAGTAGGGCGACCGTTCGGTTACGACTCTACGAAGCAGAGAGAAAAATATATCAGTGTTATCAAAGGTCTTTTATGTGATGGTCCGCTCTCTAAGAAAGAATTCCCCATTCTATTTAATGTCGATGTTGGACATACAACCCCGATGGTCACCTTGCCATTCGATGCGCTAGCTATATTAGATTCTGAAAAGGATCGGTTTGCTATTCAAGAGTCGGGAGTTGTATGACTGCTATAGAATCTGAGAAGCCCGAGTTTCCAAAGCATTTGAATTAACCCATTATTATATTGCAACACTAACATGCGAGTATCAGATACCCTAAACATTAAAGCATCCAGGATTAAAAGGCTTCCATCTACATCAATAGTTCATGGCTTAACTCTAGCCTACAGGCTTTATTCCATCAGATCATCCTTGCTCCCTAAAATACATATATACAGATCCGATCTCATAGGTTTCTTTATTATTCTTCCTCCCCTTTCTACCCTTTCCCCCTGTAATCTCCTGAGGCGATTTCGTGACTTTAGCTATAGTTGCCTTCGGCGTAGTAGTAGGAGGGGAGGGTGGAGGAGGACCTGTAGCGTCGTCCATGCAATACCAGTCACCATGACACCAGCATCCCTCATTACAAGCATCACACAGCTCTTTGCTCGGTGGGTCATGCGTCCATGTGTCTCCAACATTCAGAAAGCTGCACGATGAGCTTTCACGCCGGCAGTAAAGGCATCGATTACAATCGCTGCTTACTAGCGGTGCGCTGCAGCCTTGGTTACAATACCAGCCACAAGATTTGCAGTCCTCCGCACAGCCAGATTGCTGCGCAAAGGCGACAGGAAGGATGGTGGTTAGAATAAGGAGATGAATATGCATTTTGATGATTATTTAGTTAGAGGATAGATGGTATGGCGTGCGTTGAAAGTAGAGATGGAACCAAACATCCCTTCTTATAGACCTAAATCAGCATTTCATGTTATTATCGCATATTTCCAGCTTCTGTGATCTTCAGGCTTTACGACGTTTCGATGTCACTTTACTTGCATAGCCGTCGTGATTTTAATTTAGCCCGCATAGCCGATAGGTAAGATACTGAAGATCCTATTTTAATAAATTTGGTATGGTTCATGATAAGGCTTGTGTTTATCCTACCTAGGCTGGAGGGCTTCGTATAATTATAAGCAGTCAATAGAAAATATAGTATGGAATTGAATACGTGAGCGATCTGTTCAGGAGAGGACCCTAATACCGTATTCGAACGTCATCCTTTTCTATTAACACTGTATAGGCTATCCTACCTAGGTAGGTTCTAAACTGAAATTTAGATAGTGGTCCGTACGCTAAATTTAGGTGGCTTACTACTATATTTATAACGATATTAGCCACTACATATAACTCAACTAATCCTTTTTTTCTTTAGATGTGCAAGACTTTTGGCCCGGACCTTCGTATCGCGTCTACATAATAAATTAAAAACACCATATGCTTTTATCCTACACGTTCTCTACTATATACAAAGAAATAAAACTATAGCAGCCAATCACCTGGACATGCTTTTGCACTACCCCTTTCTGTTAGACATGAGATAATATTGGGAAGTTTGTGATCGTGGGCCTCTCACCAGGCCTCCCATTTCTGTCCTCCGATTGCCACGAGACGGTTAAATAGTTCGTCTCTCATGGGCAGCGCGGTGATGCGCCGTACATTTCCAGTCCGATCCGTAATCTCCAACCCGTCAGCTACCTCTCTACCCAGAGACCAGCCCACGACAATTTTGGCCTTCCATCCGTATCCGCCAACCTTCTTAATCTCGGCGATATCGTTTATTGCCACGGTCCATAGCGGGTGTAAATCTTCTCGCTCCGCCGATCCGATCTTCTCGATTGTCTCGTCCGTGCTGAAGGATACCGCTGGGATCGTGGACTTCGTAGTAATATATACATGTCCTTTCTTACCGTTGTAGCGACCCTTAAAATCGACAGGTCCAGAAACGTGGTTAGTATTCGACCGTGGAACAGCACCCAGACGATTCCTAGCATGATGAGATCCCGCCTTCGCTCGAGCGTGATCGGATCCAATGGCTGCCTTAACTGCGCCCTTCGTTGTCCCTTTGAAGAAGCCTATGATCTTACTCCCACGCTTACCGTGCTTGGATGAGCCCTTTGCGGCATCTATATCCGAACCACCAGTTTCGTATGCAGTTTGTGGATCGTGCTCCATGGCCTCTTGAAGCTCTTCGTCGGTCGCATTTAATGGGGGTTCGGCTCCAGTAGCTCGCAATTCGGCATCGGTGACTTCCGTAGGTCTTTCGGGCGGCGGCTCGTTAATGGATGGAGGCGGCGGTAGGGGTGCCTTATTCGCCTCGCCTATCCGAAGTAGGGTAAGTGTCAACTGCGCATTGGTTGGTACGCCTTTGAGGACCGTATTGCGAAGCTCTAGGAGCTTCTGCCAGTGAGGGAATGTGTTGTTAAGCCACTTCAATCCGCGGGAAATAATAGGATCCCCGAAAAATCCAACACCTACTCCAAATGTCACTCCTTTCATAAACATATATGACGTGACGAATAAGGATATGAAGAAGAGGGGTGCAATCAAAGCAGCAAGCCTAAGCCTATAGACCTCCTTTGGGAACGGCGACGTAGGAGAAAGAGCATTTGCGAATCTCTCCCACGTATCTGACACATCTGCGATGCCGTGCATGATAGGTCTCATCTTTGTCCACATTGCCGTCTCGACAGGAACTTTAGTCTTATCATGCTTCGGGCTGGCTTTACCTCCAGCTGCAACGTCCTTTGCCTCGGCAGCTGCCATAGTCGCCCTCGTAGGATCGGGTATAGCATCGTCGGGAGAACTTGACTCTGTCGAGGGTGCTCCTTGTGGATGTTTTCCCGTAGCGCTAGTAACTACGATAGAAGTGAAGCTATTAACGAAGTTGCTAGCTTCCTGCTCGACAGCCTCGCCTTTGAAATTCTGCGGTGCCCCGGTTGAGCTTTCAGTACTACCAAGAACGCCAGCCTTAGGTTTCTGTACGCCGCCGGTTTTGGTATCTACTAAAGCGAGGGGTGCTGGTGGAAATAAAACCTCCCTCGATCGCGGATAGACGATCAAGGTTATGAAAGTCAACGTTAGAAGTGGAACAATCATATCAAACACCCAAGCGATAAAGTAAGCCTATATTTTCTTATCAGTATTTGTCATGAGAGATATGATAATCATACCTATGTAGTTAGGTATCGTTCAGCAAAAGCTTACCGCGCAAAAATAGGAGGTCCGTCGTGCCTCACGCCACGAACGTAATCGTGCAACATGCTTCACGGCTGCGAGTAATCCTACTACGACGGTCATATAAAAACGTTCTATATTAGCGCGTAATTTATCGGGAGAGAATTCCTCCTCGTCGGCGATGTTTAGATCTAGATCTCCAGGCACAGCAGTGGGAACTTCTTTGACGTGGTATACTTGCTGTTATGAGTCAATGCTGTCAGTACTCTCTATTCATTGCCAATCTAAACGACATTATCGTACCTTGTTGAACCTACGAACAAGAAGCCATAAATCTTCGTTGCCTAAGCCTCCGACTAATGGCGCAGGAATATCATGCTTCTTCTCGTTCCAACCTAAATCAACTACCTCCTCGTCGTGTTGTTGTTGAGCCAATCCTTTCTCTTCATGGTTACTAGTAGCTAAAGCATGAGAGAGTGTTGGTTCTTCAGTTAGACTATTTGCCTTTACATGCTTCTCAGGTTCGCTAACAGGCTGTGTCGTTGGCGGAACCGGAAGGATGTCTGCGATTCTGGTGCTGATCGGGGTTTGATCCGAAGGGCCATATCCCTTTCTTTCTTGATTAGTAGACATTGTGAAGGTTGTGCGTAACAGCCAGTCAACTCTTAAAGAATTGATTCCGTCGAGTTGAACGAGTCCTCCAACTTATATATGTGGATATAGAACTAGTACAAGCCTGTCGTCTCGAATTTTCCATGATTTCTTGTTCTTATTCAAAAGGCGATATTCGTACTTGACCAATTAGCTATTAGCTAGACCGATGACGTCGATGGCTCTCTAGAGAACCTGAGAACCTGAGAACTAAGCTTGGTGATGAAGATCTAGAGGCCGAACTCCTTTTAGCGCAGAGCCGGTTTACTATTATCTGGGGCTAATATTCAATTGACATTTTATTCTTAGAAGGTTCATTTTCAAGAAGCTCAGTCTTGATTAAAGTATCATGAAGCCTTAATCAACCCTAAGATCAGTCGCCAAGAAGCAGCTGTTTTCTATGCTTCCTTTAACGTGAATGTCTTATAAAAACCGGTTCCATGACAATGTCCCTAGGTTAGCGCTCAGCCGCATTTGGATGATCGATCGATCAATCTACATCTAGGTGATCATATCGCCTATAGATGATAAAGCCGTACGTACCTCTTACTCCTACATAGGCCTATATGTATTAGGTACCTGATAACTGGGAGGATAGATGCCATACTAATGAGCTAAGAGTTGACATCAACGTCTCTATGATTTTTCTCAAGTAATTCGTATTACTTGAAGGACAACTGTTAAGTAAACAGAACTCTGGGTTAAATTGCCACACGTCGCAGCGGATATCGATCGATTACTGACCTCTATTAAATCCATCCAATCCCCCAAACCCCCACATAATTATGACATGCCCGAGGTTTAACACAAACATCTTCTATGACGACATACCAACATCACGGTGGCATATTTTAAGTACTATGTAAAAGAAGGAATATAACAATTGCCAGCAACAATGTCATAATAGAAAGTAGTTATCATTTCATCCACATGATATTATTATAGATATTAAAAGATTCTTCTAGTTAAATTCTCCTTTAGATATCCCATCAGACGTATTATCTTTTTCAAAGTAAAGTAAATAAAATCTAACGCACATTGCAGTCATAAAAATGACTTCTCAACTCGTTTTTCAGCTGAGCGGTTCTTGCAATAACTACCCCTGGGGCAAGAAGGGGAAGCAGTCTCTAGCAGCACAGATGTGTGCGCAGACCCCTGGAACTGATTTCCATATCAAAGATGACGAGTTTTATTCGGAAATGTGGTTTGGCGATTATCCAGATTTCCCTGCTCGTAAGCTAGATACCGGCGAACCGTTAGCCGAAGTTCTCCAGCAGAATAAAGAGCAGCTTCTGGGGAAGAAGGTCATTGAAAAATTTGGCGGACAGCTACCTTATTTACCCAAGGTAAGATCCGCGTCTTGCTTAAAGAAGCCAACCTCGTTAGTTAGTCGAGAGAACTCACGAAACGCTATAGATCTTGTCAATAGCAAAGGCCCTTCCGTTACAGATCCATCCCAACAAGGAACTTTCCAAAAAGCTTCACGAGAAAGATCCGAACAACTTCACCGATCCAAATCATAAACCTGAAATTGCAGTAGCGCTATCCAAGTTTGAGGTATTCGCCGGTTTCAAGCCGCTTGACCAAATAGCGCCCCTTTTTCGGTTACAGTCACTTCGGCAGTTCAATCCAGAGCAGCCGGAAAAATGGACAGATGAGACGCTACGAACCGTAACCAGAAATCTACTCAAGTCCGACCTTAAGACGGTTAAGACAATTCAGACGGAGCTTGCAAAGACTCCGAGAGATCGACTAGGCGATGCAGCCTATATTCTAGACCTGCTTCCTCGTCTTCAAGATCAGTACGGCCCAGAAGATGCAGGCAGTTTAGTTGCGCTTCTGTGCATGAACTTCATGATCTTCAATCCCGGAGACGCGATATGGATTCCTGCGGACGGGATCCACGCGTATCTAGCTGGTGATATCGTAGAGTGTATGGCTCGGAGCAACAACGTGCTCAACGTCGGCTTCTGTCCACCTGGAGATCGCAACAATGCCGACCTGTTCGCGAATACTCTGACCTTCAAGGCTCATAGTAGGGATGACGTGTACCTCCCTAGCCAGAAGTCGGACAAAAGCAAGAAGGGGAAGACGGTAGTATACAGGCCGCCAATGAGCGAGTTTGACATGCTCAAGACAGACCTAGGCGCCGGCGAGAGTGAGGAGCTTACCGGGAGCGATGGACCCGGCGTTATGATCGTGACTTCTGGGGATGGGGTAATGCATGCCGACGGTACAGATTATCATCTTAAGGAAGGGTTTATTTTTTTCGTTGGTCCAGGCGTCCCGATTAAACTAGAAAGCCAAGATGGGATACAGATACACATGGCTATCGTATGAATAACACACTGGTATAATTATTAATTATAAATTATAATCTAATTAAATCCACGTAAACTTCTAATATCGCCAAGTACAACATGTTTTTATTTACATGCATGTTTATATTTATATGCACATCTTTACATACACATCTTGCTTAAGATATGTACTTGAATTGCCTGTCATGATTATTTCCTTGGTAGGTATAGCGAATTATTGGCGGCAATTAACTATTCGAAAGCCACCAATTATTAAATTTTGCTAAGAATACGACTCTATCTTGCCCATTGAAGAATAATACGAACCGGCCAAGTCTACCGTTTAGGCAATTGACCGGTGGGAATTTACGGAGGGTGATCTCCCGGTAAATGTCTTATTTACTCCGGTCCCCTCATCCCGCCTTGTTCGGGGTCTCGCCGTATATAGGCCTACGTGCGGAGTTCAATAATAAAATACGGAATAATTAAAAAGGTAAGCTAGTAAGTTTTATACAATATACGTCTGTTATTAACCGGGATCTGTAGGCTATCGTTTCATTATGATGCGAGCCTCGGTCTAGATCGTGTTGTCTTAGAAGCGGAATTGAATGCCCAGCTATTTATTTAGATCCACCGGTGGGTACAACTTATGCGGTGTCAATAGACTGATTATCTAGTCTATTAATATCGTATTGATATATATAGATACCATTGGCATTCCTCGTTTTAAAAATTGATGGGAACTCGTAACTGAGGCGAACTTCAACTCTTCCTCTTCGCGTTTAAAAGACACCACATCAGCTTTGACTATGGGTTTCCGCGGGGTTTGGTGGCTTTTAGCCTTAACTGCTACAGCTGCACCGACAGCTCCTACTACTATCCATCTATGCGGCGATTCGACAATGGCAAAGGGAGGCGGTGGCTCGGGAATCCCTACCGAGGGTTGGGGCGAATATCTTCAGTACAGCTTCGGTTCCGATTATGTCGTGCGCAACGCTGCGATCGGTGGGAGGAGCGCAAGGTCGTATACTCGTGAAGGCCGCTTCACGGACGTGGCCAAAATAGTGAAGCCGGGTGATTGGGTCGTTATCGAATTCGGGCACAACGACGGCGGCAGTTTAAGTACTGATAACGGCAGAACCGACTGCCCGGGAGATGGTGCTCAGACCTGCCAAACGACATACAATGGCGTTCAGGAGACAGTACTGACGTATCCGGCTTATTATAAGAATGCTGCGAAGTTATTCCTTGACAAGGGGGCAAAAGTTATCTTAAACTCCCCTACCCCAAATAACATTTGCGAGAGTGGCAAGTGTGTTAGCGAGACGGCTAGATTCGATTATTACGCTTGGTGAGTACCTATCTCGAGTTTATGAGGCCTTATTTATTACTTTTTACTAACCATCTTAAAGGCATGCGGCTGCCGAACTAGCAAGCCCAAATGTTTATCATGTTCCGCATAAGCAGTATGCAGTACAAGCCATGATTAACTTGGGCCCGTCAACTGTCAATGCCAATTATCCAAAGGACCATACGCATACAGGAGCGTATATGGCTGACGTGATGGCTGGGAGCTTCGTGCTTGGTCTCAAGTGCGGAACAACTGCATTAGGTGCAGCTGTTAAGAATTCAACCGAGTCTCTAACGAAAACCTTCTACGGGGCTTGTATACCTCAGAATAGCACCGTACCCATTTAGAATAGCTTACCCAGTATTTGAGATAGGTTGTGCGAAAGGCTAACGAGTAGAGTAGCCAAATTTTATAAAATCAAATCATATATATTTACTCGTCATTTAATAATAATTTCCATACCCATCTATGAAATAGTTAATTCATATATGCTCATACATCCTCTATCTATACGGATCAGATACTCGAGCATCTGACTCGGTTCTCCCTATCGTCCGCTTAGCTTTTTCTCTAGATATCGGAGAGGGAGGTAGAGAATCGCTGTTACAGCAAAAGCCATCTCGAATCCAATATCGCCAGACTTTTTCGCAATTGGTCCCTCAAACCACACTTGCGACATGCTAGGGATCACCAACGCAAAGCTTAGAGCACTTGCCGCCAAAGCAGCGATTCCCCATGGTAAGCGAGACGCCACGTTCCAACTATCGTGATCATACGTGTCGTATTTACCACCCCTAAAAACATTATGTTCTACAATCACCACCGCCACAAATGCCGCAGACCAATACCCGATGAGTGCGACAAAGTTCTCAAGGCTGGCGAAGAATTCCACCGCTGCTCTGATACTAACCGGTATAACGATGGCCGTGACTACGATCGAAAACATATACCGCGGCACCACGACAAGCTGTGGAATCAATATTTGGAAGTTGAGAGTAATCGAGTACATCGTCGCGGCGATGTTCCCAAGTAGAGTTAGCGAAAGTACGACTACGACGAATTTCCCGAAGCCGCCAGCTCGTGACAGCATAGCTGCTAATACGCCGCCAACTTGCGTCGACTCGTATCCCGCTTCCCACTCGGGAATGCTATTTATAGCGCCGCCGATAGAGGCACCTAGAATCATCAGTAACACCGACGGGAATATGAGACCTGCATAACCGTATAAGAAGAGTCTCACGCTTAGGACCGATTAGTTTAGGGGCTAAACAGCTTTACGGGATGTAACGATAACTTACGAAGAGAACTTTGGATTTAAATATGTCGTAAAATCAGATGAGAGACAAGCATACGGTATCATATACGACGCTATGATCATCCCGAAGCTAAGGACACCACCGGCTGTCGCAGGCTCTGCTGGTGCTTGCTGACCGAGGCCCGACCCTCCGCAACCTGTAGTGATGATAATAGCTACCAAAGCCGGAATCCAGGCGAAGCGTTCATATTGATGTAAAACGTCGTATCCGCAAAAAGAAATGAGCAACGCCATAACACCCATGATAACAATGCCAACTGCAGGAGTCAGAGAACCGCCAGCTACAGCAGATAAGCATTGACCCCCAATGACGCAAGTGACGACGCAGAAGCCTGTGAGAGTAGCCAAGTTTAAGATGACCGGTACCGAAACTAAATATCTTCCAAAGGAGAAGCGAGCCTGTATCATCTGGCGTAATCCGGTCTTAGGGCCGAGAGTACCAAGGTAGGCCGGTATGGCAGCGGTTAAGATGCAGAAGAAGAGGATAACCAGAGAACAATCTCTTAAACTTAATCCATAAGTTGGACCTAGCATACCAAATGTGATACTTATTCAGATGTTAGTTAGTAAAAATAGCTTTACTCTTAGTTGATAATACGTACGAATCCGTATTTGACGTAGACTTACGGTAAGAGATTTATATTCATGCATGCCCATATCGAAAAGTAGCTGCTATAGTTGGTAGCTGTTCGATCTTCCAACGATACCGGCATAACTCCTCGATCTTCGATAGGACTGGCTGAGATCAGTTTCGCCAGAGTCTCTTGAAACCTTTTCAGTGAGGTATGACTTTTCGTTTCAACAGTATCGTTTTTTCCGGCAGTCTTTTCGACATCCTTGCTGATTGGAATTGTTTCATTCTGCCTGCTATATTCTCCTTGCCACATCATGACAGAGTTTCTTCCGGGTTAAGATATATGTACCCCGTAGATAACAAGTAGTTACTCGACCAGAGTAGGTAACTAACAAGTCTAAATCGTTCAAGATTCGCTCTATGAATCTAGGTTCCAGGCGTTCGGATCCCAAAAAGCTTATTTCTTGAACGGGAATTCTTCCAAAGGATCGACGAGAATTAGTTATATCATACTCCAAAGTTCTAGGCCCAAGAAATATATACACAGAATTTATTCGCCAGTAGGAATCTGCAGGGGTCTGGGTTTAGCAAGACTGTGAATTAAGTGATGTAATTGCCACTAGAAATAAAAACTTTTCTGTCATCTTTCATCTAAACTAAAAGCTCATAGGCTCCGTACAGTGTATCTTATATAAGCGCTACGTGAATAGTTGAATTTAACACTGTATACCCCCCTTTATCTTACCGAATAGAGATTGACATCTGAGAAGTCATCATTAATCATATTATATTCTACTTAGGAGACAAAGAGTAAATAGTCTCATATTTTGAACCGTTTTATGTTTGATAAGATGTTGACTTTGAATCACTTTATATTATGAGGTAGACATAAGATCAAGTTCCCGAAAGAGTCTACCACAATTATTTGAGTAGCCTTTTTCAACAATTTACATCGAGCCATCAGCGCCACGAGCCTTTGCCCTGCTAGCAGCTTCTCTTCCCGCTATCCTACCCATCACAGTTCCCATAGTCAACCCGCTGCCGCCGGGATAGTTATCCCAAAAGAGCCCCCCTAGCAGCTCACCCGCACAATAGAGACCATCGATTTTTCGGAAGGTTGCTTCGCTCAAGACCTCCGCGGCGCGTGTGACCGCTAATCCACCGAACGTAAACGTAACGCCGCACGTCACCTCTACAGCTTGGAACGGGCCATGTTTGATGGGTATGGCCCAGTTGGTTTTTCCTATTCCAAGCGACCTCGAGGTGCCCTGCGTTGACATGCCATCTTTCACGGCCGGGTCAAACCTAACCTCGGGATATTCCTGTTGGAAGCTCATGCAGGCGGCGTTGAATTCGGCAATCGTCTCAAGAAACTGTGTCTTGTTCTTTAACCCTTTTGTCACAAGTATGTCGGCAAGCTGGTCGAGGGTTTCAGCTCTCATATTCGACGTCACATCGTCTGCATATTCCTCCTGGCGCAGAAATCTACTACCATTTGCGTCCCAAACTTGGAATGCGATACCCTGCGGTTGCTTCAAAATCTCTTTTCCATAAACAGCATAAGTAAAATTGCGTAGGTCGAAGCCTTCGTCCACGAAGCGTCTACCGTCGATATTTACCATAACACCGAGAGGATAACCCGACTTGGTGTATCGGTTAGTTAAGACGCGATTCCCAGATACAAGAGGTGAGTTGGCGTCCCAAGCAACGGAATGACAGCCTGAGTAGTTTCCCTCTAGCTTAGCCCCGAGCTTCCTAGCCATCGTATGGCCGTCTCCGGTATTGTATTTAGATCCTCGAACATGAGCTAAATCCCAACCGGGACCCAGATATTGGGCGCGTAATGCCGGAGACGCTTGAAACCCTCCACAAGCCAATACGATACCTCCTTGAGCGCCAATAGTTCTTAAGCTCCCATTCCTGAATACCTTTACACCAACTACTCCGTTTGATAAAGGATCGGAGATAAGATCGATTGCTGGGGAGTTGAAATAAATTTCCACTCTATGTTTCCTCGCAGTATTCATATGAAATTCGAATAACTCCTTGCCTTGGCCTATGCGAAGGTATCAGTATCAGTATTGAGAACAAGGATAGGCTAAAGAGACGAGATTAAGTAGAGATCTTACCAGCCATGCTCATAACCATTCCGCCCCAGAATTTATACTTTCCATCAACAAAGAACGCTTGTCTATTAAACGAAAGTATGAAGCGGGCACCATTATCCATCAACCACTGAACTGCTTCTCTCGAATTATCCACAAGGATATCAGCGAGCACTGGATCTGCTCTTCCTTTGGTAACCCTATTGATATCCTTTGATAAAGTCAGAAATAGTTAATTCTTCAGAATTCAAAATTGAAGCTTACCGCATGGAAGTCAGCTTCTGTGTAAGGCACCATCTCGATCTTATCAATCTGACTTTGCGACAAACCTTTCGTGCCGTCTGGCTGGAAAAGGTTGGGTAACAAATCTTGCAATCCATCAAAGCAACATCTGAACGCAGCCGCAGTATAGAATGTATTACCCCCCGCGTCTTCATTCGGCGCTTTCTCAAGTAGACAGACTCGCGCACCAGACTGTGCCGCAGTAATGGCTGCGGAAAACCCGGCATTACCCCCTCCAATCACTACGACATCGTAGTTCTCATCAAAATTCATGGTCTACTAAGAAGATAATTGAACGCCGGAAAGGCTATGAGTTTGATGTTCTATAGTACCGATCAATGAATGGGGAAATTCATATCAGCGAATGTAAAAGTAACCAACTCCAACTTACTCCAACTAAGATTGTAGGAGGGGAGGGATAACAGTAAATCGGCAATGAAGGGTTTGAAATCACGGGGCTGAATGCTCCTTTACTACTACCTTCGTAATTATTAATTAATGTATTTCACTCACAGATACATATGTAGAAGGGAAATATCAAGAATCATAGTGTTAGGCCAAAGATTAAAGCATCTAGATGTTGTGTTAGATACTAAAAGATCTCGGAAACTATTTCTTCGGCAACATGGATATAAAATACGGTATAATGTGTTAGTCTAATCAATAGAAGGCTTCGATATAGCCCTAGAGCTGTAGCCTGCAAATCAACGAAATAACTTTATCTAAAAAAATATAAAAAAATATCCTGTTCGGATAAGAAGAGAAATATATTCAAGGGGTATCAGTTATTGTAGGTTATCAGCATAAACCTAACAGCTAGATAATACATACTACCTATTATGTCGCGAATCAACAGCCACTACTCTAGCTCAGCTATCTTTTTACAAATCTTGATATCAATCTATCTCTTCGTTGATTGACAAGTCCACAGCTTCGTGCCAACGCTTTATGCGATGTCGTACAGACCGGTCGTATTCAGGCATGTTCATAAGGGCCCTTGCAAAAGAACCAGAGGCTTCCCTAGTAGCTAGAAGAGTTAACGCCGTATTTACTCTTCCGAGGAAAGACGCAGTCTGTGCGTCAAAGCGGAGACCACAATGGCGCATTTCCTCTAGCAGGTTCAGCACTCCGGATAGATCGCCACGGCGGGTCCAGTAAATTTCTAGGAGCTCGTTATAGAAAGGTGTTGATATACCAAGGATATATGACTCGAGTCCTAGCTCCTTAATCCGAGGTAATATGGAGAAGGCGAGAGGTGATGGCGCGCGAAATGCGGTGTCGAGACGTCGTAGTGCGAGTAGGAGATATTCCGGGTATAGCGGCCCATGTATGTAGAGACTCAATTCCTGGGATGAAGTGTTGTTTTCGGTGGACGTGACGTCTGTTTCTGCGTCTCCCTGAATACCAAGTCTGGCAGGCATTACGAACACTTCCTTTTCTAGGACATCCCAAAGTTTGAAGTCGGTCTCAGCAGCAGTGATTAATCCTTCGACACGGGTGCGCTCAGGGTAACGCTTAGCCTCTAACTCTGCAGTGCGGTCGACGGTATTTGCGGGTACTTTCCAACCTTCATCACCATCAGGGTCTTCTCGGGTAGCGGTAATAGAAGCTTCATCATATGCGATATCATCACCGCTCGGAAGCCTTGGGTTTGAAGGCTGGATTGTATCAAATGCCTTGCTAGCAGCAGCGCGCAATTCGGGTGGAAATCGTAGAAGAGCCTTATGACGATCTTGGGTAGAATCATCCGGTATTCCGGGGGTGGTAAGGGTAACGGGGCGGATATGGCTAGCATCTTGGACAGCTTGTTGCATTATAGATAGAGTAGTGCGAGTAGCTGAGGTTGCTGATGATTCTTCGGGAACAAAAGGCTTAAGACCGCGAGATTTTATATCGGCGAAGATACTTTCAAATACGCGTCTCTCCGACGGAGTGATGGTACCACGACGAAGAGGTTGTTCCGGTGGAGTCTCATCTTGAGGAACGTAAGAGGCAAATGGTATTTCATCACCCTCTCTTAATTGTCGCCGTGTGGCGTGTAAAGAACGAGAAAATGTAAGGGAAATTCGAGGATTCGTTCGTAGGATTGTCCTCGTATTATAAAGAAATGGTAACAAGGTCGATATCATTTTGAATGAGACGAATAAGAAGATATATATTTCGGTTGATAGGGGTTTTCTTTTTCTTTTTTTCGTTGTAACTCAAAGTTGGAGGGATAATTCTTTTGATTTCTTATCGATAAGATATTGGTTTTCTGAACATCAGAGATAACAGCTTAGCGACCTACCCTAGATGACGTAATAATATGTACAGGGATACGCGGTCATAGTGTACGAGCATCGCGTCTTCGGTTTAATGTTCTTAATTGATTTTTTCCATTCCTCTATTCTAATTTAATCATTTCAATCATCATTCATGCTTGCGCTTTTCTCGTACAGCTTCGTTTAATTTTTCCTTAAAAAAATGACCTTGTGATTTGATTACTATTTAATTATCATTCTCTATCTTTTCCTTTTCCGGTGTCCTATTCCGTGACAAGTTAAAGCAAGAAGAAAATAGCGTCTCTATCCGAGGAGACTGAAGCCTAATTCACCCCCGGTCACTTTCATCGCATATACAATATCTAAACATATCTTAGAGTCCTCTCGTGTCAAATCCTCCTTTCCCTTTTTATCTACCTATCTTGAGCGATAGTTACGCAATTACCCCTTTCTCAGTCTCAACATCAGCATCAGCATCAATCTCACAACTCATTGGATCTAATCATAATGGCTCCCGAGCTAAGCACCTTCGAAGCTCGAAGGAGAGCAAATGTGGTTAACAATGCCAAGTTGCTAAAAGAATCGGCCGAGGTCGCAGCAAAGATGCGCAAGGCCGCAGCTCCGCCGCCGAGAGCAACTACATCCAAGAAGAGAAGAGCTGTCGAACCAGCCCCTCGTACCCGTATTATGCCTACTCGTCAGAGCGCAAGACTCGCCGGAGCTGGTGCCGAACCAAGTCTCAAACTTGAAGATGTACCTGCTGAGTTGAAGCCGCCCGAACCCAAACGTATTCGCACAAGTGGTGATTTGCAACTGTCAAATCTTCAAGTCGAAGGCCAGAGATGGTCAAGTACCAATGCTCTCGCTTCGTTCGTTCAAGGCGCTCAACCAGGTGTTCGAACATTCACCGAGGATGATATCAAAGATACCTCGGACAGCAAGCTGAAGGACCTCAGAAAGGAGATGGGCGATCTTACGCTCTACGATGGCTGGGTCCCGAACGGTAGGTGTTTTACGTAAAGGATCTCTCTACCGTAGAATCGTAGTATTAATCACACGCAGATATCAAAATTACCCCTGATCGTGTATATTCTCTCACGTTTCACCCCATACAAGATAAACCGATTATCCTCGCAGGTGATAAGAAGGGCACGTTAGGCTTTTTCGACGCATCGCAGGAAAAGCCCACCTATCCCGATGAGGATGACGAAGATGTCGATATTCCTCTACCTCAAGTAGGTGCCTTCGAAGTACATAGCAGGACTATCACTTCCATAAAAGTGCCCATATTCGATCCAAATTCAGTCATCACTAGCTCTTACGACTCGTCAATACGTTGCCTAGATTTACAGTCGCAAGTTAGCACCCAGCTATGGCAACCCGATGACGACGATATCGATATGGGTATCTCGTGTATTGACCTATCGCCCGAAGCTAAAGACATCATCCTCTTCTCAACTCTGGAAGGTACTTTTGGAAGAGTTGATAGGCGTGCGAAGACCAAAGCAGAAATCTGGAGCCTATCTGATAATAAGATCGGCGGCTTTTCCCTAAACCCTCTCCTACCTTACCTTGTAGCGACAGCATCGCTTGATAGGACATTAAAGATATGGGACTTGAGAATGATCAAGGGCAAAGGGGATCTTCGTCGTCCCTCATTACTAGGCGAACACCAATCTCGATTATCTGTATCGCATGCTTCATGGAGTCGAAGTGGCTACTTAGCAACATCATCATACGACGACACGGTTAAAGTCTACGATATGACAGACGCGATGAAATGGAAGTCTGACCAAGACCTGTCCGCCAAGCAGATGAAGCCGGCACACGTAATTCCGCATAATAATCAGACAGGCCGCTGGGTAACTATTCTCAAGCCGCAATGGCAGATCAACCCGGCGGACGGTGTAGAGAAGTTCGCCATCGCCAATATGAACCGGTTCGTTGATATTTACGACAGCAAGGGAAAGCAGCTCGGTCAGCTGGACGGCGAAGGAATTACCGCAGTGCCTGCAGTCGCAGAGTTTCATCCTACATTGAATTGGCTGGTATGTATTTCAAATGTGTTTGGTGTTTTGTTACGCTGGTTCATAGTAATACTAACTTATTTTGTGGTAGGCTGGCGGGACTTCCAGTGGAAAGTTATGTCTCTGGATGTAAGAATAGATAAATGAACAAAGCAGTGTATGATGGTTAGGGAGTTGAAGGGCGAATGGACAGGGATTTGTAGCTATAGCTTTGGCACTTGTACAAACTACGATATTGCATCCTATGGTAGGAAAGCCATGGGAATGATATACCCAGGGTATCGGCGTAGAGACGCGATTGGCTAGTTCTAATCTATGTTGTCCGGGACGAAGTCCGTTATTTTAATAATAGACAATGAATACCCATCTCGTACCTACGCATCGAATAGCAGGCACACCACGAAGTAACTAGTAATAATCAAATCCAGCAAATCTAATTATTGCTATCACAATTATAGTCTAAACATAAATGCCCGATAAGATACGTTTTGGTTACTACGTGGACGAATACCCCTTCACCCTTTGAAGTATAAGAGGAGTCGTAGAAGGATGATGATCAATAACTGTATTCCAAGCCCTAACGTTATTTAGAATTTGCTAAGTAATCTATGCATTTATAATAGCACACACTTCCTTCGCTTGCCTTAGAGTCTTTAGGCAGTATAAGCTACGTATAAGTACGATAACGTGAAATAAGGAGTTGATCAGGCATTTAGATATGGCCATCCGACCACGCATCTACCTCTACTAGCTATCCAATATAGTACCTCTTATCTCGTCAAGATATTTCCAGACAAAAGTAAATCTAAAGTTATTCACATTTGTATTATATTATAGTATAAGGTATTTAGTATAAACTCTGAATGGTGGCATACCGACCAGGCTTATTACCATTATATTCCATCCGATGAGAACTTGGCAACCAACTCCCTTAGCACACTCCCGTGTCCTTTTTATCCCCATAGCCGAGTAAGCATCTGATATCACCCCCACACACTATGTTGTACGTATAGGGTTCACCATGCTCATGATCCTAAAACTCATAAGAGTACGATTATGAAGCGGGTTGGCTTCTGCTCGTCCCGGATTCGAAGTGATATTACATCCCTTATAGCGCTCTAGATAAATTCTAGGATCCTATTTAGAGCTATCATAACAACATCACATCATCTTCTAGTTCCGGCTCCGGCTCCGTATCCGCATCAATCTGTAAAAATTCGTGCACCAGCGCCTGCTTAGCGCTGATCCTCTTCGTCGGGTCTAATTCCATACACCTTGTCAAAAACTCGATGGCGCCCTTCTCCTCTTCGGTCAATGTGCTAGGTCTGCCGTCCTTGCTCACATCGCTCCTACACGTGCTCCATAGCATGATCTTTTCGAAAGTAAAGCCCCTCTCACCGATAGTGGGTATATTGGTGTCAAAGACGCAACCGTGCAGTTGTCCTGCCATCTTCATCTTTTTTGCGCCGAATATAGTAGCGATCTCAATTAGTGCCTCGACGTCATCTGCGCTATTGAAAAAAGGGAACCGTTTGCAGAGAATAGTTAATAAGATGACACCAGCAGACCAGATATCTATCTTGGTCGTTTGTTCCGTACATTTGAATAAAACCTCGGGTGCCCGGAAACCACGGGTGCCCGCTCTGTTGGCGCGACGAGAAGGACGGGTATCATTTACTGGGTAGCCTGGTTGCGGACCAGCTTGGACCGAGCTGAACGCGACAGACTGTTGCAGCTTCTGCTTCCTCACTTGCCGATCATCATGGCAAATACATGGTTTGGTTTCTAAACCCTCCCGCTCGGCCAATCCAAAGTCTACTAGAACTCCGCGCTTCTTATCCGGATCGTAGAGAAAGTTGGTGGGCTTAATATCGCGGTGTATAATGCCTTTTTCGTGTACGGCAGCGAGAGCTGTGAAGAGGGATCGAAAGTACACTCTCATATCGTAGACGCTCATGTGAGGGTAGTATTTTCTGAAATCTTGGTGGCGAAAGTAGGGAAGGATAGCGAGAACCTGGTCTGCTTCGCGGAAAGCCGTGATGAGGGGACAGACGGAGTGGGAATCTCGTAGATCGTGGAGGAGTTCGAGCTCGTTGAGGATGCGAGAGGGTGAAGAAGTTACGTAGATTTTCTTAATCGCCACAAACTTTGGCTTTTGGCGGGTGCGAGAAGAAACGGAGTTGGATCGAGAATTTCTGAGGGGTGGAGGTCTCCATTGGTTTTCTAACGCGTCTATATCCCAACGGTTCTCGTACCGATGATATTGTATATCTTCTGCTTTGTAGACGGTAGAGAAAGTTCCTTCGCCGATACGCTTTATTAGACGATAGTTATCTTTGAAGTTGGGAAAGGCAGTTTGTAATTTGTCCATGTCATGCTGAACGCTGAGGTCGATCTCGTCGCTATCATCAGAGGAGTCGGTTTCGCAGTCGTCTTCTTCGGCTGGATTTTCTTGTTCTTCATCTTCACCCTCTTCCCCTAATAAGTAGTCGTGGTCATCGTGGTCGTCATGGTCGTCATGGTCGTCATATTCCTCGTCAGCTCTTCGTGTATGGCTCTGTATAGACTCTTCGGTATCTGAAGTCTGGCCCTTGGGTTGGTCTTGATGAATTTGGAAGGGCGCCTTGGCCACTCGACGATGGGTGGCAGATGCCATATCCCAATGCTGTATATTTTCTTTTTTATTGGTCGTCCTCTACCTTCTCCCTTTGAACGTAACCCAATGCGATCCAGTAATATCGTATTCTAAATCGTGAAACTTCGAGAGAACGAAGGAAAGGCATATGATATGTAGACAACAATTGAACAGCAATTGGCAATTGAAAGGAGTAGGTATTATAAATTTAATTTCAAGTATGGTGGATAAGGTTACGGTGGTAATAGTTTCAAGGTTCTATGACTTGAAATTCTATTTCTATTATTCGAGGTTAAAGTTAAATGGAAATTCCACAGATACATAGTACAAAGTAATCCGTACCTGAATCTCCGATTTCTTATCAAACGCGTTTTTATTTAGCGGGTTGATAGGGATTAGGCGCGGGGTTCTGCTACAGAAGAGATTGATTGGCGGTCGCGCCTTATCAGAAACTAAACAATAACAAAACGGTTGCTAAAGCAGCTTAAAACTTTATTGTAGGTACTATACAGCTTATGCAGCCTATGGCATTAAATTATTTACATACACCCAACGTCTCCACACAATCTCCAAAACATCTTCATCCATGTCGTTATAATCTTCTAAAAAAGAATAACAACCTTTTAAAGATACCCGGGATATTCACCCCTCTCTTCTTCCCCCCCTATTGATTTTATTGAATGTCCCTGGAGACCAACTTTTGTTTTTTCCTACAAAGTAATTCTCTCCTCTGGTTAATATAATCCATCTACTTCGACCTCTACTTCGACCTTTTTCTATCAGCGCTCGTCAGCGCAAATACTCCCGGCCACGATGGATCCGGTCAACTTCGATATAAATGAGGCGCTCATGCACTACATGAGTGACCCGGCAAGTATCGCTACTCCCGAAGCCGACGGCGCCTTAGTCGATTGCGAGTCCGATCCCGAATCGCTATCCAACATCTCGCTTCTTAACTCGGTCTTGAACCCTATCGTCGATGCTGTCGCCGGAAATCCCGACGCTATCATGCGCAGCGCTTATTTTGACTCGCTGCAATTCCTTCTCAAGTGTGCACCCACTTCCATTGCTCCCCCTGATAATCTCCAGTCTTCACAGTCTTCCGTCTCGAGATCGCGAGAACCTATTTCTAAGCTTTTCCTGCAATCCAGATATACGCAATTCCTGCCCACTCACGCCCTAAGCAAGATATTCGACCTTATTATGAGCGGCCTAGCAGCCGAAGCTGATACTATCAACCACGACCTCGAAAATCCCGACGAGCAGGAGATAATCGCCCATCACAAATCTCTACTCGAAATATACGGCTTCCTATTACAATGGACGATCGCCTGCGTCGAGACGAAAGCCGCCGAAAAGTCTTCTACAGCCCCCGTATCGCGCGCCAGAGGTAAAGGCGCCAAGTCCAAGACTACGAACAAAGATAAGGACGGCACTTGGGATAGCGTAGCCCAGCTTCAGTCGGCATTGGATGTTATGTCCAAAGTTCTTAAGTTGAAACTGGGCAAGATATTCCTAACGACTAGCGAGCGCGATAACTTCATAGGCCTTCTCACTAGGCCCGTCTATCTGGTCTTAGAGAGCGAGCAGAGAGTCAAGAATACAGCCATAAAAATGCATGCCTTCAAGGTTCTTTGCATTGCCGTAAAACATCACGGCCACGGCTACGGTGAGCGGACTGAACAGTCAAATTAACTTGGAAGGAATGCTGACATAGTCATTAGCGGCGCAAATATCCATCGTCCAGAATCTAACGTACTTCGAACATCTATCCGAGCCGATGGCCGAGTTTCTACATATATTAGCTGAACAATACGACTACCCGCAGTTGGCTGATGAGATCCTAAGAGAAATCAGCAATAAAGAATTTAATACCAATGATACAAAGGGTCCGAAGTCGGTTTCCTCGTTCATTGTCAAGCTCTCCGAGCTTATTCCCCGCCTAGTGATCAAACAGATGACGATGCTAGCTAAACAATTAGACAGCGAGGTATGTATGACCTATGAATTATAGTCAGTCAGCCTAATGTGTAATAGTCGTATACCCTGCGATGCTCGCTGATCGAGGTTTGCGGTAACATGATCGCACATCTAACTACGCAGGAAGAGCGTAGCGAGAATCACAAATCTCAGATCAATGCTTTCTTCGACGTGTTGGAGGAGCGTTTCCTAGATATCAATCCCTACTGCAGGTGCAGAGCTATGCAAGTCTATACGAGGCTCTGCGAACTTGAACAGAAGTTCCCTAAGCGTAGGCAAAAGGCCGCCGAACTTGCCTGCAGAAGTCTCGAGGACAAGAGCAGTCACGTCAGGAGAAATGCGATAAAACTTCTCGGGACTTTGATCAAAACCCACCCTTTTACTGTGCTACATGGAGCTCAGCTCTCTCGCAAGGATTGGCAGGAAAGGCTTGAGAAGGTCGATGCCCAGCTGGACGCTTTGAAGCCGCCAGCTGGTGAGCCTGGCTTAGGAGAAGACAAAGCTAACGCTACGGCGTTAGTAGATGAGCCGACTCAGATAGAATCACCTCAGAAACCCAGAGAGATGACCGATGAGGAAAAGGTGGCGGCAGTTCAGAAAGCTCAGGAAGACGCCGCCACGTCGGAGGCCATCGAGAAGCTGACTTTGACAAAGCGATATTACATCGATGCCCTTAAGTTTATCGAAGTTTTACACGAGGCTACCTCCACTGTTTGTCAGCTTCTCGGATCCAAGAATAAGTCCGAAGTTATCGAAGCAATGGACTATCTAGAAATCGGAAATGCGTACAACATTGAAGACAATATGGTTGGAATTCGACGGATGATGCGCCTTATCTGGACGAAGGGCAACAGTGACGAGGGTAAAGGTGTACAGTCTCATCTCATCGACTGCTACAGGCGACTATTTTTCGAAGCACCGGATAGCTTTAGTCCGAACGATGCTGCTATCTATATCGCGAGGAATATGATCAGTCTCACGTCAGGTACTACGCCGGCCGAATTGACTAGTCTAGAGCAACTCATCGCAACCATGATGAAGGGCGGTATGATCTCCGACCGAGTAGTAACGAAATTGTGGGAGGTATACGGCTTTCACAAGAGAGAAATATCTCGATCTCAGCGAAGAGGTGCTATCATCGTATTAGGCATGCTTGCTACTGCGTCGCCGGAGATTGTCGTCGGCGAAATGGAAACGATGCTACGAACTGGGCTTGGGTCGCACGGTCGAGCCGACCTCCAATTAGCCAAGTATACGTGCATTGCTCTGCAAAGACTTAACCCTACAGGCCGACAAGCCAAGGATTCGACAGTCAAGTTCAGTCGCCTTCCAAACGAGCATGCCGTACTAGCAAGACTAGCAGCAATTACCGAGGTGCCAAGCGATAGCAAGGAGTGGTTTGGAGTTGCTGAACAGGCCATCAACGCAATCTACACTCTCGCTAAACACCCCGATACGCTATGTTCCGAGATAATTAGACGCAGGACTAAGGTCGTGTTTTCTGCACAACAGAAATCGCCTTCTACATCTCGTCCGGGGTCGAGAGATCAAGATTTCACTGTCACTGCTACTGTTGACCAAGGCATCACCATGGGCCTCGACGCTCCAACTCAGACCGTCAACCGGCTAACTTCAGAGCCACCGGCCGAACCCAAACAGAAGGCGGCGATTGCGCTATCTCAACTTCTTTTCATAGTTGGCCACGTAGCCATCAAACAGATCGTCCATCTTGAACTCTGCGAGCTCGATTTCAAGCGACGGAAGCAAGAGAAGGAGAAGGATTCCGCTGCTAAACCCGCCGCCCCACGGCCATCCGTAGGCCGAAAGGGCAAGACGCCTGCCCCTGCTGTGGAGGAGGAAGGCGACGAGCTAGACCTGATCGGTGGCACGACAGAAGATGATTTCACGGAGGCTATGGCGCATATACGTGAGCAGGAGCTTTTGTTCGGACCGCAGTCTTTGCTATCCAGCTTCGGCCCATTGGTAGCCGAGATCTGTTCACGCAGCGACATATATAGAGATAAAGGTTTACAAGCTGCTGCAACGCTCTGTCTGGCGAAGCTTATGTGCGTCAGTAGCGAGTACTGTGAAGCTCACCTTCCGCTACTCATCACCATCATGGAGCGGTCGCCGGATGCGACAGTGCGGTCGAACGTAGTCATCGCGCTCGGCGACATGGCCGTCTGTTTTAATCACCTCATTGATGAAAACACAGACTTCTTATACCGACGGCTGGCTGACCGAGACCTATCTGTCAAGCGCACATGCTTGATGACGCTGACATTCTTAATTCTTGCGGGACAGGTCAAGGTGAAGGGACAGCTGGGCGAGATGGCTAAATGCTTAGAAGACGAAGATAAGCGAATCGCCGATTTGGCTCGTATGTTCTTCACAGAGTTAAGCACTAAGGATAACGCGGTGTATAATCACTTCGTAGATATGTTCAGTCTGTTGTCTGCGGATCGCCGGATGGAACCAGAACCATTCCGACGGATTGTTAAGTTCTTGTTAGGATTTGTCGAGAAGGTGAGTTTCATGTGCACTATATCCAATATCTTATGCTGACGATATAACAGGACAAACACGCAAAACAGCTTGCAGAGAAACTGGCTGCTCGTCTTCCGCGCTGCGAAACGGAACGACAGTGGAGCGATGTTGCGTTCGCACTGGGATTGCTCCAACATAAAAATGAGGATATCACGAAGGTGGTTAGCGAAGGTTTCAAGGTGGTACATGCTTCTGCTTAAACTAACGACAATGTCCGTGATGGCGCATAGGCTAGGGTAACGAATAACTAGCCGTATTTAAGACACGTATGAATGGATTTATGACTATGGAAGGAGTCTGGCGTTTGGCTGTCTAGAGGTGGTAATCCTCGTGATAGGGAAAATGCAGTTACTAGAATGAAATTCATGATAGAATTACAGTGATGCTCTGGATAGTCCTATTCCCGTACGGGGCTATGTATAAAACCGACAGCCTAGATATCTTCACAGTTGTCTTACGTATTGATATATATAGAGGGTATATCATATAGCTAACTCGCCTCTTACTAATGAGACGTGAGCTAATATACATGTATATGTTTTAATAAACGTAAGCTTCGGGTAACTATTCCTATAACGTACCCCTAATTTTGATAGCTTGATAATGAAACTATTGGTTCGTTGTAGATGTCCTGGATATGACATTCCAAAGTCTTATACCCGTGAGTTGCTCTGATGCTAGTTCTACCATTGATCTTATTCATTTCTAGATAGACACTCAGCGTAGAAATCCAAGCTTGGATTCCCTGGTATATCGCTTTCATGGCATTGTCAGTAGCACTTCAAACTACCCAAGGTAATAATAGCATGAGCTATAGACTCAACCGAACGACTTTGCTAGCTTATTTCTTTCTTTATATACACGCTTCGCACCGTTGCTAACTTCGGGGAGCTCTTCCGCTCGTAGCTAGCTGCGTATTGTATTGCGTCTTAATCTGTGTAGAGTTGCATGTGCCACTGCCACTGCCACTACCACTACCACTATTCTTTATTTCGTCACGCTAGACGGCGTAACGGCAAACGTCGGCCTCACGTATCTACAAGCGTACATATATCAATCAGCATTAATCAATTCTTTCCCCCGACCCTTCTAAACAATCCGCTCGGGGTAGGAGAGTAAAAATGTAAAAATAAATAAAGAGGATAAACATACTTTCCAGAGTTATAAACTTGCATGTTCTCGCCCAGCAGCTCCTTCTCGCGTGCCTGATCAGCCAGATGTCTGCGGACGAGATCGCGGTCTTCCTCGGCTTGTAGGAGAGGGATCAGATGGATACGCGACCACATCTTTTCTCGGGCAAGCTCACTACGAGCAAAAGAACAGACGGTTAGCCACATCGAATCCTATCTTATATATATGTCCCATCCCGTCCATCCATTCGGGAAATACGCACTTCTGCTCTCGGATACCCTGTCCCAACTTGTAGAAACCGAAAGTCATGACGGCGCCCATGGCGAGGAGTAGCGTCGTCGGGCGGAAGCCTGGAGCGGGGAGGTTACGCTGTGGTTAAGAGAGAAGAGAAGTCATATGTTAGCCTTGAATTTACTTCTCGTCCTATTTATAACCCTCAAGCACAAATAACCAAGATACCTAAGATAAAGTAACGAGTTAAAAAAAAAAAAAAAAACTAACCTTGTACTGTACAGGGCCATAGCCCCCGATGGGGGGAAGATCCTGAGGCATTATGGAAAATGGGTATTTCTTGATTGATATTTTGTTGTCGTCGTCGGGAAATCTAATGGACCAATTGATCAAAGCTCCCGATTGATGATTTGATGATTGATGATTGATGACGGCTGATAGGTTCGAATCATGAGACTTTTTATTGGACCGGAGCTTTGAGAAGAATGGAGATACTATTTAACTATCTTATATAAGGATATCACGTGTACAAAGTATATATGCATATATCTTAGATTAGGTACCTAGGTACTCTAACGTTGTAAGTGGATAAGATTATGAATCGCCTCAACTGTGTTCTATCAACAAATACTCAACTAATATAATTCGTAATAGATCCACATAGATAAACTTCCTTTACTAAATTACCCTTCAGCAGCTCAACTAAATAAATCGCTATGCAAAACCTTCCAAACAAAGCCAACCCCCCTTTAATTCCGGTAGGTATCACACCTAATGCCCGCCTTCACTCCCAGACTCCTATGTGTCTGCCGCCTACGACAAATAACTCCTCTTAGAATAAATATAAACACCCATCAAAATTGAGCCAAGTATATCATGTCCGAGCGATTATAAAAACAACCCTTACAACATGATGATGATGATGAAAATGATTATGATGATGATATGCCTATTTTTTTATGCGCCGCCAGAGTCATGCATTCGTCCACTCGTGATACAGACGGACAATCCTATCAAAACAAACGCTTCCTCTTGCCTCTACTAGCCCCAGTTCGCATTGGGGATATAGGTATGGTCAATAAGTCAACCACCTTCGCCTGCTGCTTGTAATTCAGCTTCTAGTTCGGCTTCCAGGTCGGCAAAGTCGTCGTCGTCATCGCCGCTAGCTTCTCCATTACCCTTAACATTTGCTTCGCGAGCCGCATCTTCTTCGTCGCCCGTACCCATCGGCGTAGGCAACCCACTATCCTCTTCGTCCTCCTCGTCTGTAGCGTTTCTAACATTCCGAAGACCCGTAGTTCTCGCTTTCGCGATGCGCTGTTTCTTGGCTAACACACTTCCTCCAGCTTCCTCGCTACCATCATCTTCATCATCCTCATCGCCTAGCTTACGCTTTTTACTCTTAGGCTCCTCCGACTCCGTATCCGTACCGTGGTCCGTCCCCTGCGTGCTTTCGAAATCCGAGTCATCCATATCCGATCCCATGAACTCCTCGAGCTCCTTATCGACATCTCCCCACTCCATTCCATCGAGATCGTCTATAGGACTGTGCTGACCGTCTCCGATATCCGGCGGCATTACATTGTATCTGTCGTGGAACTCTTCGTCGTCGTTTTCGTCATCGTCTTCTTCCTCATCGTCTTCATCCTCCTCTTCGTCGTCATCCCCTGAACCATCCGCGTCGCCATCATCGGCAGCGTCGTTCATTTGCTCTTCGAATAGTTGGCGACCTGAGGTGACGATGGTGATTTTCGGTCGGGGAGGCGAAGCTGAGCCTTCTTCTAACGGTGTTTCGGCATTTCGATCGGCAGGGTGTATTTGTATGAGATACGGCGTCTCATCAAGCCTCGCCCACTGTGCGATGGACTCTGCAAGCCAGTTTTGGTTGACTATTTTGATCGTAGGGATGCGTGCCGCCTGGCGGACCTTTTGAGTCCGCGGGCGTGTGATGTTAATGATCAGATGGGTAACTTCATCGCTCACGCGTGTCCGGATCTCGGCGCCAAAACTTTCGGCTTGCATTCCAATCTCGCTTCTACGAACGTCGACGTCTAACGGGACTAGTCCAGAAAGCACAAGCTTCGTGCCTTTAAGAATTTGCGACTTGAGAAAGTTCAGGGTTGATCCTACATCTGGAATCACATCCGGTACGATGTCACCAGGCCGGCGATTCGCACATCGAGCGTCGTATTGTTCGTAAAACGAATGATGAAGCTTAGCTAGATGCCGTTCGAGAAATTTAAGTTCTCTATCGTCATCGCGTAAAAGTTTATGTCGTTGGTGTGATGGACTTTCCGACTCTCCATTTGTAGAGGGTTCTGGACTATCACCGTTCTCTACCGACTTCTCGGTCTCCTCATCCACTTTATCCAACTCTTCTTGCAGATGAAGTAAGGGACGATCCTTGAGCTGTTTCTCAAGGGTGCGTTCTTGCTCTTCTGCTCGTAATTGTAGAATCGCATTTTCGTCGTTGCCATTAGCTAATGCTTTTTCGTGATCTGGTACGGGATTTGTTGCTGTATCGCTTCCGTTCACATTTGGTCGCGCGGTGTTGCCATTGACCGGCTTCGTCTCGGGGGGTGGTGGTGCGGCTATTATATCTTCACGTTTAGGTAGGAAGCTGGAGTTGATATCTCCAATGCCCGTGAAGAAATCATATGGAGTGACTTTGATTAAGTTCGACCTATTCCGTGGCCAGACGTCGGCTCGATCGTCGATAACCACGACCATGTTGGTACTGACGGGAAACAATCGTTGTAGACTCTTGGCTGTTATGCTGTCGTTCTCGTCTCGGCTAATGATCCGGTTACCGAAGAGTTTTTGTGTCGGATCAACAATCTTGGCGATGTTGAGAGCGTATGCGCGCGTGCCCATTGTATAAACATGTAGCTCGAATAGCTGGGATATCCTTTCGAGAAATTCGGCTAAGCCTGGACGCATCTTAATGTAATACCAACAGCCACTGGCCACACCACGGGGGCCGTCGTCGAGCTGAAAGCTGCGCACATCTTTAACAGCTTCGTAGTTGGGATTGGATGGATCGCGTTGCCATTCACCTACGGTAGGGTCGATGCAAGCGTGGATAATCGTCTGGTCCAGGTCGACAACAAGACTGAGTTTGCGGTCTTGGAGCAATCGACGTTGCAATTGCATTTCGGCGCGTGCGGCTTGGTCCGCGCTGACTGTAAGGGCGATATTATCATGTACCATGGCCACTGTAGCGCGTTCGGTATCGAGAGATTCGCTAGCGTAGGTAGCCTCCTTCATATCTTTACCGCATATGGCGCAGAGGCCAGCGTATTGTACTTCGTGGCCGCAGGACTCCTCGATGGTGACGAGATCCTGATCTTTATTAATCACATCTCCTATCTTAACCCGCCATTGTTTAACCTTGCCCTCGGCAGGGCTGTCCCAATCTGCGACACCTGTTTCTTCTATCTCGTGCTCTTCGTTTTTACTCGGGTCACCAACGCTGCGCGTATACTTGAAGGTATATCGAAGGATGGGCTCTTGCTTAGAGACATCGTCGCCGTGGTTTTTGAGAAATTTGGATATGGTAATGGGATAACGGAGCCGAGCTCCGAGTCGGAGCGTCTTTGCCATGACTAGCGGTGTTGGAGGGTCTAGAGACTTAAGGGACTAGGGTTCTAACAAAGGACACAATGTTAGCATTTGTTGGGTCGTAAGTTGTTGGAGCTGAAAGTTAATGAGTAAATCAGACTCCCTTGTTCAACTTGAGGTATTTGAGGCAAGTTGACAGGGAGAGCCGAGAAAAGAGCGAGACTTTGTAACCGAAGAAGTATGCAAACTGTAGACGGAACAAAGAAAGACTATTGTACTATTGTATGCGATAGGGACATAAAGGTTAGGTTGACGGTTAAAGAAGTTGGGAGACCGACCTCTGTGTGCCACTCTATCGATGGCGGAAGTTGTAAAAGTGGTCTAAGTTGAGCTGAAGAGCACCAGTTTTTCCCATTGCACTAGGGATTGGAACAAGTCTCTTGACAGACGACAGCACACCTTATATGCAGGTTGGATGTTATCGCGATAGAAGAAGAATACAAGTAGGACTTTCGGCGTATAATTCGTTTGACTTGAGGTAAGATCCAGTACGAGTACTGTAATGACACTATCGCGTAGTAGTTACGGTGGTTGCCTTGAATATGAAGATGTGAAGTTGTTGTATGTTGTGAATGTTGTGAATGTTCCGAATATGGTGATAGTCTTAAGGAGAAGGTATGAGCTTATTGCTTGTGCGCGTTGCAATAGCTTCCAGGTTTTTGGTCTGAAAAAGCCAAAGGAGGTTAGTGAGTTTGATTTAATAATGGGAATAATGAACTAGACTGATGAATACGGAAAAGGTATGGTGATACATGTAAAAAGAACCAATCAACGTGTATGGGATATCCCGGTCTTGTGTAACGCTGTCAATTGGGGAAATAGCTTCCAAGCTTCTTCGGTAAGACGAATTGGAGCCAAGGTGAGAGTGACCTGAGAGTGACCTGAATAAATAGAAGGTTATGGGGGTTATAGGGTTCATAGGCTCATGGGTTTATGTAAGATGCATGTAATGTACGTATGTACGTATGTACGTATACAACTTGTGGAACTCCGGACCTCGGGAGCTTCAGATAAGTACCGCCAAGCAAATGCCCGGTAGAAGTAGAACGGCGTTCGCGCAATACTTATAAATGGTATGACAGCTTGTATGACAGCTTGGTCCTGTGGTTGATGCGACGGAATAATGGGATGAGATAAACAGTTTAAGTTAAGTAGATAAGCCGGCACTTGCATGCAGTAAAAAAAAATAGGGTGATGATGGCATTGTTTTGTACACGAGTACAAAAATACTTCCAATCATATGACGTGAAGAGTCGGGTGCTTCAAGCCTCAGCTTAAAAGGAAAATAAAATAAACTAAAGAAAAATAACCCACACGTACCTTAATACCTTAACACTTATTGGTTACAACAGTAAAATGGTTGAACGGGACACTCGATCTTTTTATTCAATGTTGCGTGGCGGAGGATTAAGCAATGGGAGCTGCTCTAATTGGTCAATACGTTGTAGCTTGGTTAATAGCAGGGTCAAATATACCGCTAAGTACCCTGACCGGCCACCTGAGGTAGGTAATGCGTTACGCGTGAACTTCCGTGGTAGTGTGTAATGGTTGGTGGTGGCGTAAGTAAAAAAGTAACCGTTAATTTGTATGTATAAGTAATCCTTTAATCCGTAATTATTTATTTTGGTTGACGGTTATGTATGATGTAGTTTACCCCTACATAAATAGATGGGGATAAAATTTGAAAGGAATTGCGAGATGCCAAAAAAAAAAGTCAAAGATAAAATGTAAAAAGTGATGAGAAGAATACTTTGGTAAAAATAAAGAAATGTTCGTCTGGACATAAGCCACGGAACAAAACGCCTCTTTCTCCTAAAATTCACAAGCGAGATGGTGTCCCCTTAAAAATCTCACTTGGGGATGAGGGGCCTTTTTGTACCTGCTGGCAAGAGCCTGGCCTGAGCTGCACCCCTCGCAGCCCCTTGTCCGTTTGCGGGGAAAAGCTATACCATATAGTCACTTTGATTGGATACTTAAATGACGTGGCTCAAGCTCTGCATGTGGCTAGTGCTACCTATTCTAGTGTACTTCCAGTAAGTACCTATCTTCATCATCTTGATATATCTACAATGACATATCAAATAGGAGGTCAAAATAAATGATGATTTTGGAACAAGCCTAAGTAAATAGCATGTTGTTAAAATATTGGCTATTAAAAATCCAGAAGTGACATTTATCTAAACACATTTACACACATCCAGGGATTTCATCCGATTTCAAGCTCATAAATTTCAAAATCCATATCGCAAAACAGTATATGTTCCCAGGTTGCGTGAAATCTTAAGCGGAAACAATATCCAAATCATCCATAATTCCCGTGGCAATAATTACCTATTGATATCAACTATTGATAATAGTATCACAGAGAAATCAGATCTGTCTCTATCGTCTTGCTTGCTTGTTCGCTTGCCCGTTTCCTTTACCCCCATAAACCCAATGTGTAGCCCGCTGCTGATTACCCCTTAACCCTTATACGTCCTTGCAAGATATTTAGGCAAAGTTATTATGAGATAGAGAGAAGAAGAAAAAGACAAAACCAGACCCGGGCGCCCGCGCTGGCAATGCAGAAAGACCAATCTATGCGCGCACAGCTCCATGCGTAATGTAAAGTCCGTGAATCCTATCAAGTTTTAGTCGGCATCCAATATTCCGATACGGTATTTGTCCTGGTTGCCCTGCGTATTAAAATGCAGATATTGTCGAAGGCCCCTTGGAGTAGAGGCTTAGTTCCGACCCAGAGGCTACGGTACTAGCCGACCGTGCAGGAGTCTTCCTAAGAACCCGTCGTAGTCGACGCAGACCTGATCATCCCAGAATTTGTCCCAACTCTACTACCGAGCAACCTCGAGCCCAACGCCGTGGACCCGGTCGCTCCGCCCATACTGGACTCCATCTGAGAGAGCGCGCTTTTCTTAACAACAAGCTCCGGATCTATGTCGTCCCCTCCAACAAACGTCCAACTCTCTTCCTCCGAGTCGTCAGCTATGGTGCCATCAGGGCTGCTAGCCGTAGCGGCGTTCTTCCCAGCTTTGGATTTGATCAGGCTCTTGGCATACTCAAGATCGCGGTAGATACATTGAATCGCCGTATCGACACCATTTTCCTATAAGAAGTAAGTATGATTAGATACCTATAATCAAAAATACGTTTTTGGTTAGACTCACCTTGCGTATGGTCTCTCCTAATACTCTAGCCTTGACTATCATCCTTTCGCTGTGCGTCGTCTCCCACAGCGCCCTTGCAAAACTGTTGGCGCCCCATTTTTTCAAGCAGATACCAACGCCCAAGTCCTCAACTCGACTTCCGAAGAAGAATTGATCGCCGAAGAACGGACGGATAATGGTAGGAATACCAGCACGTAAGCTAGCGCCTGTGGTCCCCGAACCGCCGTGATGAGCAGCGGCGTCCATTTGCGCAAATAGCCAGTCGTGAGGCGCACTTTTAATCTGGAATATCTCGGGAGGAAGGGTTTGTTCAGGCACCGCGGCATCCTTACTACCAAGTCGGTCTGACCACCCCTTGGACAGAACGCATCGGACGTCAGCTTTCAATACCGCGTCGATGACTTCTTGTGTCATCTTCGCCGGGTCAGGAACAATTATCGAACCGAAACCAACATAAACCAGCTTCTTGTCGTCTTTGCGTGCTTGTTGGATGAAGTTCCTAAGATCATCGGGTGGACTCCACTCGGTCCCTTCGTCTAAGAACCAGTAACCTGTCACGCGGATCCAGTCGCTGTAGTCAAGCGGAGGTGCGACGACGGCTGGGGAGAAGTTATAAAGGAAAGGCACCTTGTTCGGCTGTAATTTTTCCAAATTAGTATTAGGCAAGCCAAGAATATTATTTCGCCAACGGTTAATTTGGTGCGCCGTCGCTTTCCAAAATACGTTGTCAAACATAACATATGTAACGTAGTTGTAAGCACCACCCATCTTATGCTCAGGCATGACGAAAGCGTGAGGGTAAGCGCGCGTTCGGGTCCAGGGCATCGTGAAAGCTCGGAAGTATGGAATAGCTAGAGCCTCGGCGATGTGAATCCCGGCCATAGCGCTAGGACTCTCGATAAGCAGGTCTGAACCTTGGCATGCCGTATAAGCAGATGCGAGGAGCTCGTCCAGCCAGCCTCGGAATTTTGAGTTGGCTTCTCTCAAGAAAGCCCACGTAAATGTGCCGTTTTGGATACAAATACGCATGAGTTCGCTGGGATCCCCCTCCACCGGTGCGAACTCGATACCGTGTCCCTCGATCCAGGTCTTAAATTCAGCATGTGTTGCTATTCGAGGCTTATGTCCCTCAGCCATTAATCCTTTGCAGAGCGCAATATAGGGTTGAACATCTCCTCTTGATCCGATTGTCAAGCAGGTGATCTTCATCGGCTCGGAGGGCTTGAAATTTAGGAACGATGCCCTAGGATCGTCGAAGAGAATTGTTGGCGACGAATCGCCGAGACAAGATGTTTCGTGGGGTAGCTTTAGTTCGTGCTCTGTATTTCCTTGAAGTCGTGCTTTGTGAAGCGCGTCGCGTTCCGCCATCGCTTCGTCCACATCTTCGTGTTCTTCCTGATCTAGCATGCCAATTTCTCGGAGATAACGAGTAGTCTCGAGACTTCGTAGCAGAGTAACCGCGCAGTCATCCCGTATTTCTGCTTTGTTGAATTCAAAGAATATCTCTTCGTGACCACGGATAACAATTACCAAGCCAGAATACCCAAAGCGAAACCCCTTCTCCTTCTCGGCAGTCTCGATGTCCTTCAGAGGCAGGATTAACTTGGTCCGGGTTCCGAGTAGCAGGCTACGGAAGCAGAAATACCGTTCGCTTATGTATACCTTACCATAGAGCGGCAACACTCGGACAATGTAGCCGTAGTAAGTTGCCTGGAGTTTCTCGGTTTCCGGGAGGGCAAAATGCGCGCGGAATCGATCCATATCGACGCCGTCGTCGTCGTCTAATTCGCCATCAGGTTTGAGGGCAGGGGCCTCGTGATAATGCTTGCGGCCACCTTTCCACATGCCCGATACTTTTTCTACGTAACCCATCGACTCGGTAGCTAATAGGTTACTCATATGGCGGCTGGTTTGATTTAAGTAGTTGGCAAATAAACCTGCTCGTTGTAACGGATAAGCTCCCATTTTTGCAATTTTGTTTAGTCCCGGCGTTGCTGCAGACGTTTGATCAAATTTCTCATTAGCTCTAAGGTCATTCACGTGTCCCGTAGTGACGGCGCGATGCTTATCAAAAACGATTGACTCGTCTGATTTGTCACGTAAACGGCTTGTACCGGTTGATCTGTCGCGCCTCGAAGCTCGAGAGGCTGAGATAGAGCGCCTGAGAGTAGGTCTATGAAAGACTTCGCTGCCTCGGAGGATCTGACTGCCAGAAGGATCCTCATTCGACGAAGACGCCATAGCGGAAGTGCTCGGGTCTTCTAGAGACTGTACATATGACTCGGAGGATTCTAATTTGTCCTGCGGCACTGTGCTATCGTGCATACGGTGCTTGCTCAGTGACCTGCTGGTAGCGCTAAAGCTTCGACGGGGCGACGCATCCCGCGTTAGGGTATCAAGATCAAGGCTTCGCCGCCCGAACTGACGAAATGCGTCAAAGCTGCTACGAGTCACGTCACCACTGGCTCGAGGGCTCAGTTCTCGCGGACTGTGTGGCGACATGGGAACCAGTGTCGCTCTCACATTTTCGCGGATCGTTTGGGATTTGAGATCCAGCGTAGCAGGGCCGGGTTTCCGTTTTGGGCTCGCGGAACTGTGTCGAGAGACTCCTCCTTGGCTCTGTTGCTGAGACGAACTTGACTTTGTTTGCTTCGATGCATCATCAACTAGGATTTTGAGGACGTTGATAGCCTCTTTGCTAAAGCTGAAAAATGAGAAGAAATACTATCGAGGTTAGTATATAACATATTTCTGTACGAATAGATTCATCCTTACTTCGTCAATCGCATACGTCTCATCGTTATCGATGACACGGATTTTGCACGTGTCAGCAAATTCGATCATCTGGCTATCTTCGACATCTATAACGTTATCGATCGGCAAGGAAATCTTGACGCTGTCGCCGTCATTGTGGGATCGAAAAATAACTCGTTGCAAGCTCTTGACCCATTCTTTGGCACTCGGGGCGCTATCGGCTTTAAGGTGATATGTTCGGTGATGTGTCACGACGGAGAAGGATAAGCCATCCTTTTCTTTCTCGTCGATACTAGCTGAGATGGCGTAGCTTAGATCAATCTGTCCATGGGGAAAATAGAGATTGGATGGATCGCGATAGTATGCCAACACATCTCCCTTTAAACGAAACCAGTAACGGCTGTATTTAGGATTCCTTTTGCCGCTCTTCGATAGGTATCCAGATTTGGCAACCTCATGCTGCTTAAGTTGTTAGCAGCAAAAAAAAAAAACATCTAAGATAGAGATTCATACAGCTTTCTTCGGCAAGTAAGCATAAAAGCAAATGTGTTTTGCAGTGATGTACATATAACCCTGTAGAAGGACACTTTGTAGTAACCAACAAGGGTATTCTAGTAGAGGACGCAATTAGCCAAGTTCATAATTCGCAGCTTATAATTCAAGGCTGAATAGAGAGAGAGACTGGAGTAATACCTTCGATGACTTCTTCGGGCTCGTCAAACTCGAATATACGTTTCAATTGCCGAGAAAGCAGGCTGGGACCGACTTCTTCTCCGTCGCCCCTACGATGATCCCCAGATAGTCTCTCAATGTCAAAGCTTGGCCTCGACGACATTTCCTCTCTCGCCTCTAGCATCCTACTCATGACTGGGGCAAGTCTTTCTTCGCGGTCGTTTTTAGCAGCATCAAGTATAGGCGAGCTCGAGTCTATTGTTGGGGGTCCTAAACCGTCACCTTCGCCTTCTGCGCTTGAGTCAGAGGGTTGGAGACCGGAGGTTTTAGATTGCTTGAATTTAGATCGTGTCGCAAGGCGCGGAAGTTGAGGCAACGAGCGTAAGAGCTGTCCCGATAATCTCCTACGCTGCTTGTCCCCCTTTTCTCTTCCCAAAGGAGGCTTTTTTAACACTGTGGTCTGCGCAATTTGTTCCCGTCCCTTACCCTTCCTCTGTCTTTCGGTCCGATCAACATCTTCATCTTCGTCGCTCGATTGGCCCTCGAACCGGTCGTTAAAATCTACGTTCGAGCCGGCGGCGGCAATCAATCCGAATATCGATTGATTCATGTTCATAAACATCTGGGCGCCTTGGTTAGGTAATAGAACATCCTCATCTACATCGTCGCCGTGATCTTTCAAGCGTTCGGGAAGCTCCATTGTCGGCTGGTGATCATCTTTTTGCTTCTTATGAAGCTTTTTGCTGACGCGATGATGCGTAGTACTCTCTTCCGATAAGGGTGCCATAACTGAAAATAAACTAAGGTTATATGTTATATTAACCGCTACTGGCTTCTCTATACCGTTCTCGGGGCTTAAGCTCTCGAATTAGTTTCGGTAGGTCTGTCGTACAGGTATAGGCTACACAAACGAGAGGCGAATGGGAGATAGACACGGCTATTCAAGCCAGCGTTGCCAAGGTTCGTCCGCGACCTGCGGAGGTTTTAAGACAAAGGGACACAAGTTGCGCCAGACTCTAAACTATCGAATCAAGAGTCAGCCTTTTAACTTAGGCGTCAGATTCAGAGATGGTTTTGCATCATCGGAAAGGTAGGCGATGGTGAAACTTAGGCAAAAGCGAAGTGATGGACAGGCGGGCAGGCAGACAAGCAGACAATGTGAGGCAGATAATGATAATAGTATTATTAGCTAGGTACTAGACCATAACAGTCAAATACGACTGCTCAGACCGGGGTGACGGATGACTAGATTGGAATCGGGAAGGGATCAGTTGATTGGATGAGTAGGTGACTTGAGAGCGTGTTGCATGTGGATGGATCTTTTTTTGAATGTGAGTGTAGCCTAGAATAACCTGGGATAAGTCCGCATATACATAGGATAATATCACATTGCAGTGGAAGCAAGTTGCAGCACGTAGGTACATTGTAGCGTATCTTTGTAGGTACTACCTACCTGTATTAATAACGATAGGCTAGGTCGTTAAGCAGTCAATATGTATTATCGATAACTTTAGCGCCGAAATGACGTGTTGAACCGCTTATATATGGATACATGTAGGTACATAATGTATTGAATTCCAACGGTCTCAGCACATGCAAAGTAAAACTCAACAATACCTAAAATACCTAAAATACCTAAAATACCTAATAGCCTTACATCCTAGGTACCTTACCTAGGTAGGTTCCTAGGTAATTAGTCCTTACCCAATTACAATTACAGTCAAAGCGGGAAACACGGACCTACTAGTGCCATGTTTATTCGTACGGCTTATCCGGTCGTATCGAGTCACTTGATCCAAACACAAATAACAAAAGGCACACAAGACCATAATCACATGCCAGATCTAAAAAATGACGAAAGAGGTAGTTATATTTAACTTAGAATGTAGATTTAAGTCCAGCATTATATCAAACCGCAGTTGTTTTTATATCCTTCATAATTAGTTTGTTCAAGATATCCACAAGTTTAACAGTTACCTAGGTATTGTCTCATAATATTCTGTCTTTACATGACCGACTCAGATATACAAGTCCCTCCGAAACTTTAAGATTATAACAGGGTCTTACAAAGGACCCTTTATATGAGCCATCTCAATTTAAGTATTCAGGGTTTATAATATCCACAAGGGAAAAGTCTTACTAGCTCAGTACATGAGTTATGAATAGTAGGATCCATTGTTAAATTACGATCCCCAAGCATTTAAACGGTGTTCAAGGTGTTCAAGTTATCTCACATTCGGGACACCGGGTATCAGAAGCAGTTCACTACGGTCGAAACTGCCATCTGCAGCAATTTTCCACCAAAGAGAAGAGTACATACGGCCTTGGATACATAGCCTAGTACTCTACAGGACGGAGGCACCTTCGGCAAGCCTCTCTGCCCAGCTCCTGAAAATCGTAATTAGGCGCTAAGGTCGCCTTCTGAATTGGGTAAAATGCATTTTTTGTATTCAGCTGAACTCCCTTTCGTAGAATCCGATCATGCCATGCGATGCTCGAGAAAGCCGAAGACTACCTGCTATATGTGCAGGTCCGTGAGTTACAACCGTCCCAAACGTCAGGTATCCGTTCCCTTGTTCCGCAAATAGAAACCATCCCGCCTACGCATTCTTACGCGACCAGCTCAACAACTCCACCAGCCTCCGTGATCTTCTTCTCCGCTAACTTGCTGACCCATCTTGCTCGGACAACTAGAGGGACTTCGGGAATTCGGCCCTTGCCGAGGACCTTGGAGTAGCCTAGGGGAAGGAGGTCGATGACAGGGACGGTGTCCTTCTTCTCGCCGGATAGGTAAGCCTCGCGGGTCTCAGTAGGGATGAGCGACCACAGCTACAAAACACCACGTCAGTAAATATATCCAGATATGAATTATAACAGCTACGAAACCCTCGTCTCGACCAGGAAGTGACATCCTAGGAGTATTCGGTATTTCGCTGTATCTGGAGAGGGCAGCATGTATATTTAATCAACGTACCTTGTCGAGGTTGATGATAGGCTTCCAGAATTGGTTCTGTTGCTTGTGGAAGTATCGCATACCAACCTTACCGAAGTAACCAGGATGGTATTTATCGATGTTCGTTCGGTGGTGGTGCTGACCACCGGCCATACCACGACCACCGGGATGCTTGCGGTGCTTACCAACACGACCGTGACCGGCCGAGACGTGGCCACGGCTATTAAATCGTTAGCACACGAACAAAAAAAAATCAATTGCTGCTCAATTCGTCGCGCCGGATGCCATAGATATGCCTTTAATTATCGTCCTGACGGATTTATCGCAGTAGTATCGTGAAATTTTCTTGAATTCCATTTTCGCATTGCTTTTGGTTGTGTTGTTCTCCTGTTATCCCTCCTCTTTCCTACTACTCGATTAAAATATCCAAAATTCATGGCATAATAAAGGCGAGCCGGCGCGACGATAATTGCAGCAACAAGTAATAAATTGGATTCGGTAATAACGTACTGCTTCCTGGTCTTCGACAATCTGGTAGGCATTTTGTCGGATGAGTGGCTTGGTTGTGATGTGTTGAAATTGCCTACTCGAGGTGGGTTGCGAAGATTAGGGCGGGTTTTGAATGTTGTATTGAGTTTGTGAAATTCTCTTCGTTTAATTTTTTGGGTAGGGTTTGGCGCTGTGGGGTCTAAGCCACATAAATTTAGGAATTGTCACTAGCCATTTCCACTATCGATAACACCACAAGCCACACATCAAAATAAGGTAAATGTTTATGTACCCCAATACTTCGTACATGCACTTCGTCTCAAGCCAATTACATTTCACCATTTCACAATTACAACTCACCGAATAATTCCCAGGCTACCAAAGACGGCTCATACCCCTTATTCATTCCTATTGGAATTGTATAAGAAGATCCCTAAGGTGCCTACTTGGGATATAAAATTACATATTATATCCAGGGACTATCCTGAAGAGCGCATATACCCTGGTGAACTTGTAGATGGCTTTTAGCATAGATGTACCCGGACTTGAAGCAAGTGTAGCTTTTGTGCAAACGGTGCATGAGTACGCTCTCACTAGTTTTGCCATCGAAGACATAATCAACGCTCTTAACCATCATAAGCCTATCCGCTGCATTTAATAATTAAACACTGCATGTTGAGAACTTGCTCTAACCAGAAGAGTTGCACGAAGTAATTCGTACTATCCAGGGACAACTAGTCAATAAGTTAACCAGTCAACCTCCTATATGGAAGAAATAATAGGAGGAGTCGAGAGAATCGACTTCCATCATCCATATACGCCATATGACGTACAAGAGCAATTCATGAACACCGCATATGAGGTCTTACAGCAAGGAGAAGGGCAAATTGGTATTCTCGAGAGCCCAACTGGCACCGTATGTTGATGTTTATATCTAAGTCTTCTCTACGCTAACATATTTAGGGGAAATCTCTCTCGCTCATATGCGCTGCTCTTACTTGGTTACGTAACCACAAGAGATCGAAGTTTGAGACTTCGGTTACTGAAGCCGCCCAGGAGTTTAAAGATGAGCCGGACTGGATTGTTGATCAAATGCTAAAGCGGAAGAGAGACGAGATAATTAAGCAATGGGAAGAAAGAGAGGCGCGGTTGAGAAAAATACGAGCCAAAGAAAAGATGACAGAAGAGAGAGGATCCAAGCGAAGGAGACTGGAAGATGGTAACGCTAGAAAGAGTAAGAAGACTGATAACGACGATGATGACGATGAGTGGCTATTGGATGAAGGTCAGGACGAAGATGCATCTCAGGACAGCGATAACCCATTGGGATTCAGCAAGGAGACACGGAACCTCATGAACAAGTTAGGCTTAGGAAGCCTTCAAACCAAAGAAGAGAGCGAGGAGATGGGCGAAAACGAGATTAAGGCGCGTTCGCTCGCGGGTACTTCTGATGGCTTAAACTAATTCATCATAGATCTATTATACATCGAGAACGCATTCACAATTGACACAATTCATCTCGGAGCTACGCCGACCAAATTTCCCAGCATCGTTACCAGATTCTCTTCTTGGCGATAACTCAAGCACCGAATCGGAAGGCATTAAGCACCTCCCGCTATCTTCACGTCAACGACTCTGCATCAATCCGTCGGTCTCTCGTCTCAGCTCTCTCCCCGCGATCAACGATCGCTGTACCGAGCTTCAGCAGCCAAAGTCAAAGGATAGGTGCCAATTCGTACCGAATGCGGACAGCCTAAGTTTAACACATCAGTTTCGAGACAGCGCCCTTGCTACTCTTCCGGATATTGAGGATCTCTTCGAGCTTGGCAAGAAGCTACACGTGTGTCCTTATTACGCCTCGCGAACAGCAGTGCCTAGCGCAGAGATCATTACGTTACCCTATCCTTTACTTTTGCAGAAGACCGCTAGGGATGCTCTCGGTATCAAATTAGAGGGCAACGTGGTTATCGTTGACGAAGCCCATAATATCATGGATGCGGTAGCTAACGTATACGCCTCGGAGATCAGCCTCAACGAACTAAAGCGAGCCAGGCAAATGCTTGGCGTATATGTTAAGAAGTTTGGAAAGAAGCTCAAGGGTGGAAACCGAGTCATGGTTGCGCAAGTCGCTAAGGTTGTAGATGGCCTAAGGGTATGGCTAGAAAGCGCGTCGGAACTAAAGGTGAGGCATAGGCTTCTCATTATTATCAAATTCTTAAATTAAAATACTAACATATATGCTTCTAGAGCGACCAAGGAATAGTCGACCCTAATGTCCTTCTAAAGTCCAAGGGCATCGATCAGATTAATATGTATAAACTCATTCAATACATACAAGACTCGAAACTCGCATATAAAATCGAAGGATATGTTGCGCAAGCCGAGTCTCAGGGCGCGGGAGATGCTTCATCCATAATACGGTCAACACCTGTTCTTCATACTCTCCTCTCATTTCTTGTCTCTTTGAACAACCTGAGCTCTGAAGGTCGTATTTTCTACCACAAAGTTTCCCAAGACGATATCAAGCTTTCTTACCTCCTCCTTTCACCTACACACGCATTTTCTTCTATAGCATCAAGTGCACGAGCAGTCATCCTTGCCGGCGGCACTATGTCACCATTTGAGGATTATACGGCACACCTTTTCCCGGACTTGGCACAAAATAAAATCACGACTCTTAGCTGCGGCCATGTGATTCCATCATCAAATCTTTGCGTTTGGACATTGTCATCTCCGAGACCAAAGACTGATACCAGGAGCGTGGAGTTCGAGTTCAGTTTCCAGAAGCGTAGTGACAAGTCGATGATCTATGAGCTAGGAATCGCGATCCTCAACATTTGTACGGCTGTTCCGGACGGCGTTGTTATTTTCTTCCCTAGCTACGGATATCTTGACGAAGTGGTATCTGTTTGGAGCGAGGTCAATACCGGCCAGCCTAAACCGCTAATGGAGAAACTACAAGCCAAGAAGGCCGTATTCCGCGAGACCAAGGGAGCATCGAGCGACGAAGTGCTAGCGCAGTATAGCGAGGCGATCCTGGGTGATAGTAAACCCGGCCCTCCGCTTAATAGAAACGGAGCCTTATTATTAAGTGTGGTTGGTGGAAAGATGAGCGAAGGAATCAACTTTTCTGACCGACTAGGCCGTTGCGTGGTGGTGGTCGGGTTACCATATCCGAATATCCATTCACCGGACTGGAAAGCTCGTATCGAGTACATCGAGTCGACCACACTCGAGCGCATAAAAGCCACCAATCCGTCTATACCTAAAGGCGAAGCTCTCGTAGCAGCAAAACAGGCGGCTCGCGATTTCTACGAGAATGCATGTATGCGTGCCGTGAATCAGAGCATCGGGCGCGCTATTCGTCATCGAAACGACTACGCCGCCATTGTGCTAGTTGACCGACGGTTTGCAGCCGACCGCATTAAGACTAAGCTACCTGGTTGGATCCGTGATGGCTTGGTCGAGGGAAGCGAAAACGGGGGATTAGGACAGATGATGGGAAAGCTTAGCAGTTTTTTCAGAGGCAAGAAAGCATTGGCGGACGCTTAAGAAACTTGACGGCAATAGAATAGAATAGTCATAATCATAATTATAGTTCTGGCAGATATGTAGAGTCCGGATGATAGTCAAGATGTGACAATGTGTATAATAGTAGGTACCTAGGTACCTATGTACCTACGTACCTCTAAAACATCCCACTATGACCCCGCGATAGGATATGCTTATCGATAAGTAGATTCTAATTAATTATTATGTACCTATGTACCTATGTACGGAATATTAAGCATCCCATTAAACAAGACGCGTTCCCCGTCGCGTCACTAATAAATATTTTCTTCATTCTACGTCGTCCATCACGAATCCGCAAATTCCCCCTTCCTCTGCTGATTCACTTGCCAATTAGTCTAATAATTTTAAAGAGGCTGTAAACATAATATCATTCAAGATGGCATCCTCACCACGACACGAAGAGTACCAATACCTCGATCTCGTTCAGGAGATCTTAGATCACGGAGAGCGTCGACCAGACCGGTAAGCTATAGCTTTATCCTCTCTATTTATTACCCAGTATATCAAAAAGACTAGAAAAAAGTTTCTAAAACTCGACTTCCCTTGTAGAACCGGTACCGGGACATACTCCATCTTCGCCCCTCGATCGCTCAAGTTCAGTCTCAACGATAACGGCAAGCCGATTCTACCATTATTAACGACGAAGCGCGTGTTCCTGCGTGCTGTAATAGCCGAGCTTTTATGGTTTATCGAGGGAAATACATCATCGACATCGCTCAGCGCGCAAGACGTCAAGATATGGGATGGCAACGGATCACGCGAATTCCTCGACAACCTAGGACTCAAAGATCGTGAAGTTGGTGATCTAGGCCCCGTCTACGGTTTCCAATGGCGCCACTTCGGCGCTGAATACGTCGATGCACGCACAGACTATACCGGCCAAGGCGTCGATCAACTAGCTGATGTTATCCACAAATTGCGCAATAATCCCTACGACCGCCGCATGATTCTCTCCGCTTGGAACCCGGCCGACCTGAAGAAAATGGTGTTACCTCCGTGCCACATGTTCGCGCAGTTTTATGTCTCGTTCCCGAGACAGAATAGGGACGAGGAGAACAATGGAGAAGAGAAGCCAAAAGGTCATCTTCACTGCCAATTGTACCAGCGGTCCTGCGACATGGGTCTCGGTGTTCCTTTCAACATCGCGAGCTACGCGCTGCTGACGCATATGTTAGCACATGTCTGCGATCTAGTCCCTGGTAGTTTAACACACGTTATGGGCGACGCACACGTATACATCGACCACGTTGACGCCTTGAAAGTACAGCTAGAGCGCGAGCCACGTCCATTCCCCGAACTACAGATCAAGCGTGATAGTGGTGGCTCAATCGACGGGTGGAAGGTAGAGGATATATCGGTTCTAAATTACGAACCTCACAAGACGATCCCGATGAAGATGTCTGTTTAGCCTAAGACATAACAATTACTTAGATGCTAGAAATATCTTGATTATTAGATTCATAGAGAAATAGGTAGGCAGCTCGAGTCAAGATATGATACGATGATGAATATATTACGTGGGAATGATATGTATTAGGTATGGAGGGTTGAATTTCGTTAGAGGCATAGCCAAGAGACGCGGCGCTGTGAAACTAGAAGAGCTGAATATATTACCTTTACAGTATATAGAATTGGTAGCAAAGGCAAAAAGGCGCCAGGTGTAGTAGATCATGTCTAAACTGATATATCGTTTAAACATTTTTTTTGTGATTTTCTCATGTTGATTACTTGTAAATAATATGTCTTTCAAAATATGATAAAATCTCGATCATATCCACTTTTTCCAAGTGTCTTGATATCTTAGGTACCATAAATATTTCAATACTTACCTCCTAGAGGTAATTACACAATTTCTATTTCTATACCAACTTCTCGCCATAATGTCTGACGAAAAACCCTCCATTTCTACCCTTGCAAAAATAGCAGAAAGCGAGCCCCAGAACTTACAAGCTCATGCCGACAAAGTTGCATCTCTAGAGTTTTTCGGCGATGATGCTTCTCATCATACACTATTCAAGGATTTAAAATTCCCCAACCTTGAGACTCTTTGGCTAGATGCCTCGGACCACAATGACGACACATCTCTGGAACCGTATCTTCAACCTAAGCTGAAGCGCTTTATCTTCTACGGAGGGCCCATCTCAGATTCCTTCCTAGACAAGCTGCAGACTTCTTGTCCGCTCCTAGAAGAGCTACTCATCGATAACCCGCGGGACCTCATCTCCCCTGAGGGTTTCCTTCAGCTCCTTAACGGCGCTAAGAATCTAAAGCGAATATCAGTTATGTACGGCATGAGCCGAGCCGTAACAGACTCCGTCATTATTGCTCTCGCTACAAAGCCCGGCCTTGAAATTCTAGAGTTCCAGGAACTCATTACTGCAGAACTGGCCTCGAGAATCGTCACAGAACAATCCCGGAACGACGTCGAGGAAAAGCTTCTTCCGCAATTTCGTGAATTCATCTGTGTTGCGGAGCCTGGAGGACTTACGAGCCTACTGCCGTATCTATCTAAACTTACTCGCCTAGAAGCGAATATCGTATATGAAGGTTTTCCTTTAACCACGGTGCAGGACCGCGTAGTCCACAGTATCGGCTCGCAATGTATTAACCTACAGAATTTAAGGTTGGAATACAGAGCTATAGAGGGTCAACATATTCATATCCCCTCGGAGGCTCTCGTCAAGCTAGCGCAGGGGCTTGGCAAGTTAGAGGAGCTCAGCATTTCTGGCAATAAGGTCGAAGCTCCAGAATTCGGTGATTCTCAATTTGCCAGTATAATACAAGCCCAGCCGCGCCTCAAGGTCCTACATTTGAAATTCATATGCTACCTTACGGAATCTTCATTGATAGAGGCTGCCAAGAACGGCGGCACGAGGCTAGAGGAACTCGAGCTCAACGGGACTTACAATCTTCTAAATCTAGCAGATAGTCATGTTTCGCTTCCCCAGTTGTTGTCGCTCGAGCTTGGGCAACTGGCGTCCCTTTCTTCCGCAGAAGATGCGATAACTAGAGAAGCAGCTAATATTGCTCAACTTCTAAAGAAGATCGCGCCTAGATTGGAATATTTTGACGTGGTGTCTGGGAATACCGTTAGTGATATGGTATCGTACGAGCTGGATGAAATATAATTAAATTGTTACTTATACTTAGGAGTATGTGCTTCTATTCGTACGCGAGGTATTTCACTTATGGTCGCTTATATGGATTTATTTCATTGGCTCACGAAATATCACGCTACAACAGAAGTTGTCCAAGTTCAAGCTACAGCCTCGGCAAGTCATAGTAGAACTAATTCAGAAAAATATATGGCGTTAGCAAAGAGTATCGCATGGATAGCCTAACAAATGTATGTATCTGGTTTAAGTAATAAGTAATCTAATGCTACTACTATAATTCTATATGCTTAGGTTAATGGTCGATAGAACCAAGTAGATAGACCGCCTTTTCCACCTAGCGTCTGGTCTAGAAACTTGAGGGTGCCAAGAGATGCCGGCTGTCCTATATTCAAACGATGTTAAAGATGTCAATTTACGCATTAATTCCGCCATCCTATCGTCCTTTTTTCGAAGGAACACGATCCCTGATCTTACTGTTGCTAGAGCTAGAGCTAGAGCTGTCAGAATTCCTTCTTCAGAGCTGAACACCATATAACGGGTGAACCTTGTTATCCCGCACCGAATCATCACCAAAGACACTCGGGATGAATACTACATTTGGAATCTTTTTGGGATGTGATGGTAAGACGCCTAGCGAAACAATTAAAAGTCCTAGTGCTATACTCAACTTCTCTGACGTAATCGTCGTCGAATCCATCAACAAATCACCTACCTAATACAGCTACAAGGTATATATGTATAATGCCCGTTCAGTCGTGGCCTTTCGATACCCCCGTCGAAGAGCCACTAGCAATATCGACGATCCACATAGGATAGGATAGACATACAGGCTAGCGCCATCATACCTAAAGGGGTCAGTCAGAAAGCAACTGTATAAATATCCTCATTATTTCCCCGCCGAATTCTACATATCATGGGCATGCATCCATACTAGTAGCAACCGACCAACCTCAACAACTAGAATCAATAAACCATGGCTCCCGTAACCGAAATCGTCCTCCACAGCCTCAAGCCAGGCACAGACGTGGAGACATTCTACAAGCTCTTCTCCGTCATCAAAGAGCAATCGGGCGCCCAAGCCGTGCGTGCTTCCACCGTGCACGAGAACCCCGAGCAGGTCGACCTCTTCATCGACTGGGACAGCATCGAGTCGCACCAAGCCCTGCAGGCCCAAACAGAAGCCTACGGCGCCTTCATCGACCAGGTCAAGCCCCACGTCACCAAGCTAGCTACCGTGATCCACGCAGAGCTGACTCCGTTCCCGCCCACCGTGCTGGATAATGCCGATGGCAAAGGCAAATCCCCCGTTGCCCAGCTCATATTTACCTACTTCGCGCCTGACACCGACGCGGCCAAGACGCTTACCGAGGCGCAAAAGTTCGTCTCTAAGCTGTCTGGCACGAGCCTCGCGGGATTGACGGGTGAGTCCTCTTTCGGCTGGACGGTCGAGAAGGACGTTGATTTCAAGGGCGAGAAGACCCGCGTGTTAATTATTATCCTGGGCTGGGAGAGCGTTCAAGCTCATTTGGAGGCGCGCGAGACAGATGCTTGGAAGAGTATAATTGGCGAGTTCCAGGGCGCTGCAGAGGGCCTTAAGGGCTTCGAAGTCACCCACGTTAGCACCAAAGCTGTATAGGGTATATATATACTAGTTAGAGAGCTCAGGGTCCTCATGTTAACATATAAGTATGTTGATACATAGATTAACGATTCACGAAGAAAGGCAACATTTGCTTACGATACTGTACTGTTTATCTTGTATCGTTCTGCGTCGATATGATTTGATTTAGGCAAGTTTGGCTCTATTAGTGAAAGGGGGCCATTCAAATTGACCTCTAAATGTCTAAGTTAGACTATTAATACAGAAATAATAGTTTACCTTTCGATTCGTCAACTTTAGGTAGCTAGACCTATAAAATATCATACAATCTTCGAATCAGACCCTTCTTTGGTGCTTGCTTCCTTTGCTCCCACCTCCTCGTCTAGAGATTGTCCCCTAACAACCCCTACACCATGATCAACCATTTCAGACTTCAAGACCGGTGGTCCAGAGAAGTGTTTGCGGCCCCATGCAAAATACCAGATGATACTAATAGCAGCGAAGCCTGCAAATACCACACTAGCATAATTCATGGAAGAAGCGTTCAGCCCGGTGAGATTAGTCGGCATGCAGAATAAGAAGATGGCAAGGATAATCCATAGCAGCGTTGTCACATTGATAATAAAACCAAAACGACCAAGCGAAAATGAAGCATGTTCTAGCTGCTTCCGACCGCGCATAACGGAAACTAGAATTGGTAGTCCGTACGACGTCGAGAGACATATCGTAGCAACTCCCGTGAAGCTGCTGAATGCTGCCGATGAACCGAAGTAAATGAGGCCTAATAAGCAATCTACGATCGCTGATAGAGTGAGAGCCCATAACGGGATATCGAACCGCTTATCGACTTTACTCCAGAGACCAGAGCCAGGGATAGCGCCGTCGCGTGCAAAAGCGTAAGTACAACGACTTGAAGCCGTCAACGCACCAACGCCGGCAAATAACCAAATACCCAGGATAAGGAATAGTAATCCGAAGCCACCCCCGGCACTTCCTGTTGCCGTCTTGAAAATGAGACCAATTGGCTGACCGTTCGCGACCTCAAGGAGTGTTTGGACATCCGGTAGCACGAAAAGGACCGGAATTAAATAGATAAGACCTGTAAGACCGGCCGCCACGACCGACACTATAGTATTCAGAGTTAGTCATTATAATTCATAGTTATTATAATTCAAAGAGAGTTAGTTATATAGATTACTTACAGACGATAGCCTTGGGAACTTCGCGCTCAGGCGACTGTACTTCCTCGCACATGGCTGCGACCATACCGTATCCCGTCAACACATATGCAGGTTGCAATAGTCCAACGAAGAATGACCAGCCGGTTGGCCAGCCCGACGCCGAGGCATCATAATGTGCAAACACGAACTCGCCACTTCTTTTGCTCGGCGACATGACCAGGAGAACGATCAAGATGATGAGGATAGAGGCACCAGTCCAGTATATACAGACGGTGTTGATAAGATCTAAATATTTAGAACCAAAAATATTAATCAAGTAGCACACGAGCATAACAGCCCAAAACATAAGTATGGTCTGCCATGCGTTGGCAACAAACTCCTCGTCCCATAGCGAAATGGCACTGAGAATCAATTGAGCACCACCGAAGTTGATAGAGAGGGTGACGGTCCAGTTACCAACCAGCGTCAGCCATCCTGTGATCCAACTCGCAATCGGGGCCCATCGAGGCGTTGATAATAATGCGGCCCAGTAGTAAACGCCACCCGCGGTAGGATATACGGAACAGATTTCGGCGAGCGAAGCAGCGATGGCAGTCGAAAGAAGGGAGAGTAATACCCAACCCCAGATAACAGTAACTGATTGTCCGTTTGCTAGCGATATGTAAAATGTAGTACTAAGACCGTATGGAACGGCCATCTATTATGTGTTAGTAACATTATATGAAGCCATCTAGAAGCTATCTAGGAGGTAGTTATATAATGGCTATTGATATATGAGTCACGAGATGTCATTGGATAGTATACTACATACTATTGACTAATTAGTATTCGTCTATGCTAGAGCTAGTTTATGATTTCTTTTTTTCATACGTACCAATAGCAAAGGATAAGCCAAGAACAGAAAGCATACTCAGACTTCGAGGTAACTCGGCCTTGTAACCCATCTTGGCGAGTGCGTCATCTGCTGCTGTCATCTCTACAGATCTGCGCGGTCCAGCGCTGGTAATAGATTGCCTCCCCATCGTCAATAATATCGGTATGAATGATGAGACATAAAAGAAGACATAAAATATGATGATACGAATAAAGAATGGTAGATGAGCGCTACGAAGTTTGTGAGTTTGTGAGTTTGTTAGTTTGTTAGTTTATTAGTTTATTAGTATATCAGGCACACTACAAGGTCCCCTGTCGAGATACTGATAACATAAAGTTCTTATCTCTAAACTAGATCCTTTTCATTAAATACAAGGATACGGTAACTCGATCATCCTAGTTGGACTTATCAGCAATCTATTCCCCAGAGCTGAAATATTAAATTACCACCCACTAAGCTTAATATGGTATCGCGTACGGCCTCACTTCTCATCTCAGCTAGCAACCGTCTCTTTATCTTCTTTATATTACATAGTATAATTATGAATATATACTGTACATATCTATTAGATATCTACCTAGGTTAGATGTATTAGATATATCTAATGATAATTGCAACATAATCCATTTCCATTACAACATCTCATAATACATCAATGATTATACGAAATATGAAACGTACACGAATATTTCTTGTTCAACATTAAAAGTGACAAGGCAACGACGGCAATTAAAGATATACGAACCTGCAGGAATCTCATAATGAGGGGAAATCTGAGGGGATCTTCATTAAAGAGTCCCCAAGTTCCCCGCACGCTATTCGCCTCCATCTCACAGGCGCATCATAATATGAATTCGACAGCTCGTCTTATACGTCTACTCGATGGCTCGACTTAACATAAATCGAATTATCGACAAATTTCAACGAGACTCTCGCACGCGTAGAAAATAATAGTGTAAGAGCTTCAATAGGCAAAGAGAATCACAATCATGGCTCCTCGACCCCGTCTAGAAGGCAAGGTCGCAATCGTGACGGGAGGCGCGTCGGGGTTCGGCAAAGGCATCGTAGCTAAATTCGTCGAAGAAGGGGCTCGAATTATCATCGCCGATCTCTCGGAGGAAGCTGGTCGAGCGGCAGCCCAGGAGCTGGGATGTAATTTCGCAGCAGCCGATGTGACGAAACGCGAGGACTGGGAACGTCTTCTTCAGACGGCTCTGGATACGTCTGGCCAGCTCGACATTGTGGTGAACAACGCCGGAGCGACGTACGCTAATAAGCCTACCGAAGAGGTGACGGATAAAGACTTTGACCTCGTCATGAACGTCAATGTCAAGTCTGTATATATCTCCACTAGCGTTATCGTACCCTACTTCCTCGAAAAGAAGAGATCGGGGAATTTTATTCAGGTTGCTTCTACCGCCGGTGTTCGACCGCGCCCGAGGCTTACCTGGTATAATGCATCAAAGGCAGCTGTGATTAATGCTACAAAGGTATGAGGAATCGCCGCCACCATCCCTTTTCCTCTGGCCCGGCACTATTTTATCTAAAATCTAAACTGAAAATGTTAACCGTAATATATGATAGACGATGGCAGTCGAGTATGGACCTCAGCAGATCCGGTTCAATGCGGTTTCTCCAGTCGTTGGAAGCACAGGGATGACACACCTATTCATCGGCAAGCCCAACACAGCTGAGAACCGCAAAGCGTTCGAGTCTCTGATACCGCTAGGTAGAGGCTCGACTCCGGAAGATGTCGCTAACGCTTGTTGTTACCTAGCTAGCGACGAAGCTGCCTTCATCACCGGGGTCAACATCGAGGTAGATGGAGGGAGATGTGTTTGAGAAATTCCCTCGAATGACTTATGAAGGCATCTTTGAACCTGCGTATAACGTGATAAGAGTTAATGGACTGTTCGGTCCGAAGTTATTGTACGGGAATTCAACCCGCGGTGATGGAGTTAGGTATTTGTTTTGTTATTGGCTATAGCATAAATTTTCAGTCGATATACGATATAATCCGCATGAAGTGACTTAAAATAGAATCACATCTTAATTAACTTCCCAAGCATTAGACCATTCCGCCTAGCGAAGCACATCTTGTTTCCAGATACTACTTCCCAATCGCATCTTTAAATCAGAAAAACTAACGTGAGAAACAGGGTATAACTTGGCCATTTCTGGTTATGATGAGCATATAGGACCGTTGTCTTCAAGGTTCTCGGTTCTCCTATTATTGGTCATCTGCACGATAACTCCCTGGTTTCCGGTGCGGCGTGTAATAAATATTAGCGTACCCGGCAAGGTGGGTTGCGGTAGTTGGCATTTATTAGCATTATATATTAAGGTAGAAATATGTAGTATCGACTTGCCAAATGGGTAGAATTTCCCAACGTCCTTCCGGTATTGCCTCTTTCGGACAACCTCACGGCCTCCTATTCTCCACACATACCCCACGACGAACCCATGAAGCCACGCCCGCGCGCTCTCGCGTACCGGAAAACTTATGTGTTCTCCATGTAGCAAGGCCTGCTTTGTCGCAACAATGATCGCCGACGATGGAACGACGGTCCGCTCGAGCTACCTCTAAAAAATGTCGGGTTAGAGGAACACGATTCCAATAGTTAGTTAGAAAACAGGACAGAATGACAGTTCATTCGCTTACAAGCAATGCTATTGGCATATAGACAGTGACATCATTGATGCCGCGATCCCGGGACATCGGTATTTGATAATCTATATAAAGTGTCTCCTTGCCGTCTGGGAAATGTTGTGAAACCTTTAAGCACAGCGCCATCATCGTCACGGTCAAACTTAAGACTTCATAAGCTATCCCTTGCCCACCATGAAGAACTTCGCCAACATTGCCGCCGTTGCTGCGCTCGCAGCCAACAGCGCTTCCGCCCACTACATCTTCCAGCAGCTCTCTCTCGATGCTACTGAATATGCTCCGTTCGAGTACAGTACGTCTCACGAAGAGGACTCCTTACCTAGCCGTTTGGTTACAAATAAGAGTAAAGACTAATATAATCCGGTTTGAATAGTTCGACAAAACAGCAACTACAACTCACCTGTTACTGGTAAATTTTGAACATCCTTTTTTTTCTTCCCTTCTCCGCTTACCATGACCGTTATAGATTTGACTTCAAACGACCTAAGGTGCAATGTTGGTGCTCAGGGTGCCGATACTAAGACGGTAGATGTGAAGGCCGGTGAATCATTCACTTTCACACTCGACACCGTATGTATTCTATTCCAGATACGCCTCATTTACTTATCTAGTATTACAACTAACTTATTCGCTAGCCTGTGTACCACCAAGGGCCGATCTCCATGTACGGAATAATTGATGTGCTTTGCATTCTAGCAGATATGCTAACAAACCACCAGCTACATGTCCAAGGCTCCGGGAGCTGCCTCGGAATACGACGGCAGTGGTGAATGGTTCAAGATCAAGGACTTTGGTGAGCCACTTCAAGTGTTTAAGCCGTTGGTACTTCAATTGCTAACTCCTATTCATAGCTCCCGACTTCTCAGGTGGCGAAGCTAAGTGGGATATGTCCGGTAAGCATAAATTCCCTCCATAAGTGACCTATTTTACGAAAGCACGAGTTAACAAGGTCGTGTAGGCTCATACTCGTACACCGTCCCGTCGTGTATTGAGGACGGCGAGTATCTCTTGCGAATCCAGAGTCTTGCGATCCACAACCCGTACCCGTCTGGTACTCCTCAATTCTACATCTCCTGCGCTCAGGTCAAGGTATCCGGCGGCAGTGGTAGCTACAACCCTACGACTGTGCGAATCCCCGGCGCTTTTAAGGAGACCGACCCTGGTTATACCGCCAACGTGAGTTTCCTAAACCCAAGGCCTTTTCGGTGATGAGAGGATATGCTAATAGTTTATTAGATCTACTCCAACTTCCACGAGTACACTGTTCCAGGCCCCGCGCCCGTAAGTCGTCCCTTAGCGTATAGCGTATGTTCCAAGTACTGACTATTTCTAGTTGACTTGCTAGATCCTTTTTGGGTTCTCCAGTGGTTATATATATGGGTTCTAGGGTAAAGGATAGGTACGGGCTAGGTTTGGTGTTTGAAATAGTGGCACTTTTATCATTCTATCTTGCTTGGTAAACCCTGATACGAGGTTTCCTTACATAGCGACATACTTCGATTTAGTATTAGATAGATGCCATATTACTTATCAAATATCTTGCCAAATGGTGGCACTGTATACCTATCTTACTGAGGAAGTGTGATCTAAGTAGTCAGTTTTCTCTTACGATACCTACAGTTTCCAACGCCACTATCGTACGCAATAGTAAATGAGCACCATATGCGTATTCCCAATCAATCCGCTCTATGAATATCGAGTTGGTATTACGCTATGTTTTAAGCATCTACTCTCCAGCGAAAGTTTGCAAACGAATTCAAACTGCGGAAGGTAATGCGGATGAAAAGGAGTATTTTGCAAGATGGGAGAATGATGATGTGGTTGGTCTCCCTTCATTCGCTTCTATTTACCAATAAAATCGCAATAGGTCGTCTATTCTTAAAACGAGCGGTTTTATTGGGCTTCTTATCCTATTCCACTTAGGATCATAAGTAAATATTCTAATTATCACATAAATTTTAATTACGAGAGCCTATCGGCTTATGAACAAATATTAGCCTAAGATTAAATAGATACTTCCATAGAAAGGTGGGCAAACTATACTCAAAGCCTCAATGAAACTTATTAGGTTATTTTTGTTTGATATGTTGATTCCTATCCAAGCAGTAGTGAGTATCTCGCGATAATCTAGCACTAGATGGACCCTTAAAACTTCATGAACACTTTCGCATTGAATATATGATATATGTCAGTGAATTACTCTAAGATAATATGTGAGCTTTCAATACTAGAGATACTTGACTTGAGGTTCAGGATGGTTATTAGTGATAGTCTTATAAACAATATATAGATGATCAATATCAGTAGCATCTAGTGATATTCCTATGGGAGGTAACTATCGTCTTAAAGGCTAAGCCAGAGACTTATTGTAGAAAGCTAGAATGGAAACAAGACTTGGTCATTTAAAGGAAATAATTTCTATTCATAAGGGGTAGGTAGGAACTTAAAAGACCTATCACAAAAGGCCATAATCTAATTATTTTATGTACAATATTCCAAGAGACATTGTTTTCCTTCCATGTTGAATGCCTAACCATCGTGATTATGAGACTTTGAATTATGCTTTTCAACTAATTGATAAAAAGATACCGGAATTCCTCGAAGAATATTTAACTTATCAACAAGTGAGAATAGGGTTGTATTAAGGAGTGTGTGCGTTTATATGATAAGACCTTTCTAATCGACTATCTAAAATGGTATCTCATTGAACTAAACATATTCTAACTACAGTATTTTACAAACAAGGGTTGAATAAGAGTTTCAACTTATACATCTTTGGGTTAGTCTCTTATCAAGATATATAGTACATCTTCAACAACTACAGTTAACTTCAAACATGAATACAAATTTTGCAAAACTGCAGTAGAGTCATACACGTGCCCTGCGATAAATTACAAGTTATTCACTACAGTTTCAGTATATCGCATAGTTAAATAGGAACCTAAAGGAAAAAACAAAACAACTCGTATCAGCGTGGTCACGTCGCCGTCAAAGACAGCAAAGACAATCCGGAAGTTCAATACGGCTGAGCAACTGATAGTTAGACTAAGCCATCGCCCACCTCAATCAAGCCCAACTACTGTCATGATGACATGCTTGCCTCCAACAAGCAGATGATCGTGACCCCCATCAACGAACGGCATCAGCCTACCTCCCCTCAACTCAACTCCCCGAATAGAAAATCGCCCCAAACAAACAAACAAACTAAAAAATCAAAACACGACAATACGCAATCCGTCTGCCCACGGTGGCAAATTTCAGCGCCACAGCCCTAGAAACAAGGCGTCAGACTGCCGCTTCGCTTCGCTTCTTCAAGTGTGATACAGCCCCTCCCCAAAAGAACGAGGCCTCGCACGCGCACAGACAAAGATGTAGAAATATCAACACGGAAGCGAAGGGAACGGCCGGGACATGTCGACTGCATACCCACTATACATACATACATACATACATCCACACATACAAAATAGATGACTGACTAGGCAGCCGTCACGCGGCAGCCAAGTGACTAATACTCCCGCACTCCGAATTCGATCACATGGTCCCCCGTGAACGCGACGACGGGGCGCATAGCAGCCCATGGGGGTTATGGGTGTGGATGGGTTGTGTATTGTATATACGTACCCCGGGCCACACTACGCACACTCGTACGTACATATGTATACTGGGGGAGGGGCAGGGATATCTGACGGCTTGCCTTACATACATATGCCGGGCTTATATATAGGTACATACTGTGTTGGGTATATGCTGCTCTTTCTACTACATAAGCCTTTCCGCTCTAAGAATCCGTATACAACTACATAACCAAAGGGCAAATCACCGTTGTAGATGATATAGTATAGTCCGGGACCGGAACCCTTAATACCTTGATACTTGGTCAAGAAGAGAACCTACGAAGGGTTGGAGTTAGAGTAGAGAACTCGTATACTTATTCGACAGCCGAGTAACTTAAGCAGGCTAATACACACTCCAGGTCAAAATCTTACAGACTTCGAAAGCTGTAAATAAATATGGATACCCACACTTCTTTTTGTGTATACTATTATATATGTGACAAAAGCGAATAGCTGCATGTCAATATCAAGAGATTCTATTGGATCGTCTGTCGCCTGATTCTGAGACTTTTTGTTTCCGTTATATCCAACTTAACATCTAACTCAGTCTTATATAA